AATAAAGAACACCTTGAACAGGGTTCAATTTCTTCATTAGTATCATCTAAAGTCATCATCATCCATTCACACATATGTTGCGGCATTTGTGCTTCAACACACTTTTTATTAGAATTATTTTTTGATTTTGATGTTATTTTTGCTGTTGTTGCTATATTATTAATAGATTTGTCTAATTCAGAAAAATTATTATTTGTTATAGGAGGTAAATGATTATTTATTGGTGTTGTTGTATTAGTTATTATTGGTTGTTGTTGTTGCTGTGTTGTTGTTTTTGAATGTTGGCTGGATTGATTTAATGAATGAAGTTTCTTTTTGTTTGGCTAGAAAAGAGTTAATTAATAATCGAGTCTGAAATTAATTGCGATGCTCACTAGAATTTTGGTTACCAAGGGAAAAGATAGCGAAAAAGATAGCGCTTATCGGGAGATTTCGAATGATATGGTTCATTCGGATTGGATTATGGATGTTATAGCCGATAAATTCAGAAAAAATGAAAATGTAAGCATGTAACACAAGAGAACCCAAAAAACTCCCGTCATTAAAAACTTTCATAATCAAAATTTTGGATAAACAATAAAATCCTAATTAACATTAATACCCAAAAGAAAAAATAATTTTAAACAAAAAATAAAATAGATATACATTAACATAAGGCTGTACATGGTGTCCATTAATTTCAACAACTTTAATCCCAGACAAGCCAGCCTGTCCAAAAGAAGCTGCATCTGTTGTTAACATTCCAATTAATTCTAAAAAATAAATTAACGAAATTTAACATTAAAAAAAACAAACGTTCAACAGATTTATTACAACTACTAATTAATTCACAAGCATTTCTTCCTAATTCAGATAATTGCAAAATTGTTTCCAATGAAATAATACAAATCAAAATATCTTTGAGAGTTAAAAGAGTGAAAATACGAGGGAAAAAATTCTGAAAATTTTTTAAAAATATTTTTTTTGAAAAATTAAAAAAAACCGTTTTATCAAGAAAATCACACAAAATAGGTTCATTCAAAGTTGTTTGACATAATCCTCCTATTATTTCAATAAATCGAAGTATTTCAAATCGGTCATTGGAATTTAAACCATTTTGTATTGATTTGAAAAAAGCAGAACCAGTTAGAGGGTCTTCAATTGAAATTAAGCTTATCTGGAAATTCTCTATTTATACTCAAAATTAATCTTTAAAAAATTACATTTTTTGAAATATTGCTAAGTGTTTCACAAGCTATACGTTTAAGTAATTGCCATCGACAGTTACAACAAATAAGTAGTAATCTAAAAATTTGTTTTAAAAAAGGGGATTTCTGCATTTTATCGTTTTATTATTTTTTTAATTTACTCGCTACAATCAAAATAAAAATTTGTGAAAAATGAAAAAGGTAACCATTAAGTAAAGAATTAAAGAAAAAATTTTATATCAGTCAGGTCATTTGAAAAAGTTCACTATAGAAAAAGTTTCTATACGAGTAACACACGGTAAAATCCCTTAAAATTAAAAAAACCTCAATAAAGCTTTATTCTCTCCCATTGTCAACAAATTATTTTCCTCGAAAGAAAGATTGTGTAAAATGCCAAGAATACTGAAAACACGCCAATTTGTCGGTTTAGTGAGATCAAAATTATCATCTTTGTATATTTCAGACAGAGAAGACAATTTCATAGTTTCCTGTTCTGAACTAAAAATCCAAGAATTAAAAATCCCTTCATCAATTCCAGAATATTTCCAAAATTTTGTAAAATCGTAATTGCTTGTTTCTTCCCACCATTTATACAAATTTGATGGAGCAGCACCTTAGTTGATTTTAAAAAATAAATAATAAACGCTGTTAATCCAAAAAATTAACATATCTAATCTAAATCAAGAGTGGTGAGAGGAGAAAATGATTAGTAATGAAAATTTTCGTTTACCGACCTATAAAATCTGAAATTTTTTCCGTTTTCTCCATTAAAGGGAAAAGGATTAATTCCCTCTGATATACCTATGTTAAATAAACAATTTTATAATAATAAAAACCTAGTAAGTCCACTTTAATGCCAATAAGTGAAACCAACAAATCAATGATATTTGGGCAATTCTCGAAATTTAAGACAAATGGTCCTTTAAAGAAAATGTTTTAATTAGAAATTTAAAAAATCAAAAAAAAACCTGGATGTGACATTATTGTAAGCACATTTAATGCAAAAGCAACTTCATTTGGTAATCCACTGAGGAGAGAAAAAACTAATTTGTGGAAATCGAGAGGAGGAAAATTATCTGAAAAAATTTATTTTTAGTAAAATTGTCGTTTTTCCCACTTTATCCTTTTATAAAAATACTATATTACCTTTTAATTATTTAAAAATAAAATTTTTAAAATTACCAGAGGATCTAAAAACACTCATTGGTGGTTCACTATAAGAAGGCATTGCTATCATTCCTTTCAATCGAGCAGATCTAATTCCAATCAATTCATTTTCGTGTTCTTCAACAATATCTCCGCCACTTTCATTTTGTTCAAATTTACATAAATATTGCATATAAATAATACGAACAGCATGTTCAGCCATTTGAATATTTTCAGAAATTGACAATTTCTGGAGAACTAAATTTTACAAAAAAATTTTTGGAAAATTGTTTAATTGTAAGGAATAGGGAAATCCAGCTAGCTAGCATTTAAAACGCTTACTAGGCGATTTAAGATCTATTAAAAGAGAAGGTCCCTTATTTTATCAAAAGAAAAATTTGTATATTTTTGAAAAAAAACAAAAAGGCAGTGCGAGTTATTCACCGGCAGAATAAGTGATATTTAACTAGACATTTAGGGCCGAGCAGATAACTAAATATCGATATTTTAGATTTCCTGGACTTGGAATCCAAGGAAATACCAGAATTTGGACTCAAACTATAAGAAATCCCATGCTTATGTTAGAAAATCCCTTTCAGCCCGATCTCCAAAGCCCAACAATCATTAAAAAATAATTTAAATTAAAAGACCTTCCCCCCATCGATCAAAATTAGTAACTTTCTGCCATCCACCAAGAGAAACAACAGCATCATAAAGCTCATAAAGATCCAACTCCTTCCCATTTGCATAAGGTATACGAAGAGAACATCCCCTAAATTGAGTAAAAAATTTTTGCGGATAATTTAAAAATTTGAGGACAAATTCTGAATTATTAAATTCTAAATTTATATAAAAAGAATGACAAAAAAATTAAGAAGAATATCAAAAATAAATTTACAAAAATGCACAAGAAATTACAAAAGAGAAAAATCTGTCCGCAAAATATTTAACTGTCCACAAATTTTTAATTAACAACAAAAAATAATAAAGATAAAAAATGAAAATTTAAACTTACCATTTTCTTCTATAAAAGTGTCGCAAGTTCTCATAGAATTGATTAGCTTTTAGTCTCTTTTCGACTGGAGTTGAAAGAAATTGAACATACTCATCTTTCAAATTTCTTCTTTTTCTTGCGAGCATTTAAATAAATAAATGTTTTTTATGTTTGGATTTTGTAAGACTAAATTAATTTTTAGTTAAAACAAAAAAAGATTAAGACAAAATAGAAACAAAAACATTAAAACTCCCTTAAACAATCGCAAGAGGGTTTTTTAAAGAATTTTACCCCGTATTGACAAAACATTCGTTTTTGTCCTTGTTGGCAATTTGTGGTAGTGGCAATTCGTCGTAAACACAAATAGACTAGACATAATGAAAAATTTATTCAGTTTTCATTTTAACATTTTCTTTTTGTTTTTTTTGTTGTTTGGTCGACTGTTAATTTGCAGAATAATTAAAAGGCGCGCCGCGGATTCGTCACACTGAACAAAACCTCTAATTCGTCCCCCGCGTATTCCTCCCATTTCAAAATGTCCAGCAGAGTAAAAATACTCAACTTTGTCTAACTAAAAATTAAAAAGGGGAAATCATACCTGAACATACATAAGTTCTTCAGATAATAATATTAAAAATATCTCATCAAAATACTTAAATATCTACAAAAAATTTCTTAAACAAAAAATTTTAAAATCAAAAAATTAAAAAAAACTACAGAAACCGTAGGTTGATTCAACTCTTCTTGCAGTCGAGAGTTATTAAGAACCTCAGTAGTTTACTCAAGAAAAGAATCTGTTGGAGAAAAGCCTCCGAAGTCATATCCGGAATTTATTGGAGTTTGTTTGTTGATGATTAACTTAGTGAGACGAATCCGAGTGCAGCGTAATTGGAACATTGCCTGCAAATCTCCTAAGGCATTACACTCATTTTATCTAATGTTTCTGCATCCATCATTCCCAACGCCATTAGCGACTGATTCAAAGCCGGAAAAAATAAATTCACTTTCATAGAACTTTTTTTTTAAATTTCAATAATTCGCCAAATATTCAAATCTTGCCAATAATGATGATTGGAGACAAATGCGAGGAGGAGAGCCCCCTCAAAAGGTAGATGAATTAGAAAGTAGACTCGGCAAATTAAAAGGCTGCCAAATTAAAAATAAATTTATAAAATTTTATCTATTAAAAAAAAGAATTCTGATGATTTAATACATTTATGTGTGTGACTTTGTCAATAATCACTGAGGTGTTGAATAAATTAAAATTCTGGACAAAATTTATTATTATAGTAGTTTTCCTCTAAAATTGATAATTTGTCCAGAATTTTAAATTTATAGGGTAAAAAAGGGGAACAATTAATTAATTAATTTAGATTTTTGTTCTCTGTCTCATTGTCAAATAAAATTAAAATTTTAAAAACAAACTTTTATTTACAAAAAATATTCAAAATCTCTTCCTGGGATCGACATAATTTAACATTATTTTCTAACAAAATGGTTGGGAAGACAGAGAGAGATTTTTAATTTTACAATCAAACTTCACTAAACACCCTCTCTCTATTTATTATTTTATACTTAAAATTGTTCTTCCTCCCCTACCTCCAATTTAAGGTACACCTCATTATAAGATAATTTTTTTTAATTTTCAAGTGTGTAAAGAGAGGTCCGATTGTTTAATGAAAATGTTGGCTATTTCCAATATGAGAATAAGGGTTAGAATTGTTAGAAGCAAAAAATTGTTGTGTTGCATAAAGTGTTGCAGGGCAATAATTAGCAGCTATAGAATGATCATAAGGATATAAAGAAATTGCCGTAGCTGTTGATTGGTCTAATTTTGAAGTTTGTTGGTCGATATTTAGAGAGGTTTGGAAATATGACATTGCTGCGGGGAAGTTCCCAGGGAGGGGAAAATCTGCAATTGAAGGGGATGGATCTATTAAATTGTTGTTGTTGTTGTTGGGGATTGTTGGAGGGTAATGGAAAGGTGGTGGCATATAACCTGAAAAAGTTTTTGAATTTATTTTTGGAAGAGGTTTGAGAGAAGGGCTTCTTAGTATGGAGCAGTGTTTATAAATTTCAGATTTGCTCGTCTCGTACTTCGTACCGGCCTGTCCCTTTATTCAAACAAAATTCAATTAAAATCCCCCCTTAAAACTAACCATGCATAGAAGCAGCATTCATTCCAGCAGTTGTTAACCCCAAATTAGCAACAGAATTATTATCCCAACAATTATTTTGATTTATTAAAGAATCTTGAGGTAAATTATTAAATTGTTGTTGTTGTTTATTTGTTTGTTGTTGTTGTTTTTGTTGTTGTTCATTTATTATTTTTGTTATTTCTTCTGTTATTTCTTTATTTTTTATTTGTTGGGGAGTACAAGAAGAAGAAGTTCCTGGTAATGATTGACATGGGGTTGTTGTTGAATTAATTAATAATGTTGAGGAGTCATTTCCTCCCCCTCCTCCCCCTCTTCCCTCAATTAAAGTTTTTGTTTCACTTAATTCATCATTTTCTTCTTCTTCTTCTTCTGTTAATCTCATTTCTGTTGAATTCTGTTGTCCATTACATATACTGTTGGTGTTGCTGTTGTTGTGTCCGTAATGACGCTTAAATGGCTGGGGATAAATTAATACTTTATTTAGAGATTAAGTCTTTTCTCTTTTTTTCATATCAGAGGGGTTAATAATGGAAATCGTTTATATTAAAAAACAGTTTTTCACTTTTTTATTCAAACTTTGGATGGATTACAATCAAATTTCGATATCCCCTATTAACTTTCGGGCCGTGACGTCTTATTGAGATTCGTCTGTATTCCCAATTATTTAAACATAATGGAATTACGGATTACACATGTGCCATTTTAATAGGACTCATATGTATTTTCTGAGGCCAATTTTTCTTGAATTTAAACATTTATACATAAGGAAAAAGATTTAATATTTAAATAATTTACCTGTTTTTTGCTTTTACTCCTCCGGTTCTGGAACCAAATTTTTACCTAAAAATTAAAAGAATTTCAGTTAAATCTCACTTTAGGGTACACCTCGGATTTAAGATTTTTAAATTTTGGCCGGCTTTTGGGTGAAGGGAGATACTTAAGTAATACCCTCTATTTAAAATACACCCATTATAAGATCCAACTCAACTCATTTATAAGTCAGGTCAGACTGTATAAAATGTCTTTAGAAAGTATTTTAAGAAAGAACCAATTGTCTTGTCAATGAAGGGATTAGTAGCCCCTTCTTTTTTCTTTTCTTTGTTGTGTCCCCATTTCCTCTCTTAAACAAGTCAAATCGTTCCCCCTCCTTCGCTTTTTTATTTCCTCTTTTATTTTTGATGGAGGTATTTTTATTTTTGTTCATTTTGGCATTCTGTCTTTTTTGTTTCTTTTTTGATTATGTTGATGTATTTTTTTGTTTTCAAGGGAGTGGATTAGGAAGAAGAAGAAACGAGAGAAGATATTTAAAGAGAACAGGTGGGCGAAAGGAAGAAGAAGAAAAATTTTGGGGGGGGGGGGGGGGGGGGGGGGGGTAAAGCATGTAAGGAAACCATGGAATGAATTACTTTGGCTAAGATGACAGAAAATCCCTTTTTTAAGAAATGACAGGTGCGCGTGCCTGAGAAAAATGGAGAGATTTTTTGAAGGAAAGATTGCCTGAATAGATAAGAAAAGAGAAAATGAAAATATTTTTTTGCTTAAGGGGAAATCGTTGAATATTTTCTCATGCTTTACCAAATATTTTTTTTGATTTCGATCAGAGAATCTTTGATTTTTATTCCAATAAAAATTTATTTTTACCTGTGTTTGTGATAACATCAGCATTTCTGCCAGTTCTGCTCTTTGTGGTAATGCTAGGTATTGATGCTGTTTAAATCTAGAAAAAGGTAAAATTAAAAGATAATTAAAATGACTGGATTAGGACACGTGTTTCATTAGCTTATCCCAATTTTGGTTAGTTAATTGGCTGTCAATTAAATGTAGTCACGAATTAAATTGATAAATTTGATTGATCATAACTAGGTCAATACCCATCCTATTTTTCTGAAACTAACATCATTCGACCAAACTCGACGATTCGCGTCGAATGAGTTATTGTTTATTTGACTAATTCTGGCGAATCCTGGGATATATGGATCCAGATCCGATAGCCGAATCGAAAAGCTCGGAATTCGGATACGGAACCGAAATTTTTATTTTCAAAATTTTCGCTTGCGGCGCTGAAAGTTGAGTCCCAATGGAGGATATAGAGGGATTAAGAGCAATTACAAATGGATTTGGAAAAATAACAGAGTTATCGAGGGAATTTAGGATAAACAGATTATCTAGGGGCTTGTGGGGATTGAGTGATTTTGGGGAATTAATAGAGACATCGGGTTTTTTTTGCGTTCAAGTTTAGTGGATTAAAAGCTGGGGGTTGGGGGATTAAGAGAGATATCGAGGGATTTGCTGATTAATCCCCGATATGCTTTCAAAACCCATCATTTTTGAGTTTTTTAGGATTTTTGTTGACTAGAAGACAGATTTCTTCCTTTTTCAGCGCTGCGATCAAAAATTTTTTAGTTTTGGTAGAGGTCTAAGTCCAATTCTTGCCCTAATTTTTCGCTTTTAAATTTCAATAAAAAACCTACGCTTCATTAAGTGCCTGTAATTGTTGTGAAGAATAAATTGTTCGAGGTTTTCTTGTCTTTTTCCCCTTTGCGTTAATATGTACTTCGCTGCCTTCAATAATACGTGTACATGGACCTTGGGCACTTTCTCTGCCAGAACCACTTGAAGGTGGCCGGTCATTTGGAAAACCTTTTAAAAAATAATTTTTAATAATGACTTGTTTTTGTTAATGAAAATTTTGATAAACTTTAAGTGCAGGTTCAAAAAATAGAAAAATGAGAATGTCTACATATTTTTAACGATAAAAGAATTTTTTGTAAACCGAACAAACCGAAAATTGTGTGACTGGTTTTAAATCAAAAGAGTTTGATTTTAGGACTGGCAGATTCAGATATCCAGGGATCCGAAAAAAGTTTTGATGACAGTAAATTTTTAGTTCGGATATCGAACCCAGATATCAGGAGATTTACTCGAATCTGCCAATCTTAGTTGATATATTCTGAGAAAGTGATATTAAAAAAACTTTAACATAAAGATTTTTATAAATTTACTTTTTATTTTTTTACTCCTAAAATTCCAAAAAAAACTTTTTTAATAAAAAAGAAAAGGAATTTCTATTTAGATTTACTCAAAAAATAATGAAAGCTAATTATTTTTAAAAGAATTTTCTCTCAAAATATGTAAAAATTAGCTATAATTTTTAAAAATAAAAACAAAAAATGATTGATTTTGAGAAAAATATTGAAATTTTAAAATAAAATAAATTTGTTAAATTAATTTGTTTTTAATTTAAAATAAGTAAAAAGATCGGAGTTGTTAAAGACAAAATTTAAATGTTTCAAAACAATTTTTGGTCTAACGGCGGGGCAATTTGATTTGATGTAAAATTATTGGATAGAGGTGTCGTCTCGGTTCGGTTAACCAAAGAATTTGGTGAAACCGACAAGCCTATTGTTGGATATTTAAGGAGAATGAAAGGTGTGTGTTTTGCGGTTCCAATAATCACAGAACATTTCGATTTCAAAAACTGGAGAAAGCCGAGTGGGGGAAGTAGGATTTCCTTAATCGGTAGTGTTCTCCTAAAGGGGCCTGAGAACATTCTTGGAATAACAAGATGAAAATTAAAAAAAAAACGTGAGAATATTTAAAAGAAAAAGATTAAAAAATAAAAGATATCCAACAGATTTTGAAATTTTTTCCTTTTTATTCTTTACCTTCAGGAGAACTAGCTGGTTGACTTGTATAGAGAAAATGTGGTTGTTGTTGTTGTTGATATAATTCAGCTAATTGTGAATGTCCAAAATGTGTTGTTGAATTATAAAAGTTTGTGTTATATCCATTACTCCCATTTGAATAATAGGTTGTTGTTGCAGAAGATAATGAACAAGAAGGGGAACTTTAAAGATTTTTAGAAAATTAAGGACAGAATTTTATGTATGTGTTCTCCTAAAGAAAAGTTAAAGGAAAGAGGAAATCTTAGGCTCTATTTTGGAACACAAACTTTTTTTAATTCTCAAGAAAAGTCGAATGATTTGTTGTGATCAATCGAAAGCTATGACTGTGCTGGTTGTTTTTTCAAGAAAAAAAAGATTTTATCGGCTCATCTTATGTAAAGATATGGTTGGATAAGTATCGAAGATCACGATTGAGCACACTTATCAGAGTGAAACATTTTAAGTGATTATCTGATTAGAACAGTCTTGTGAAAGGAAAATAATCTGGAAATTCATAGCTTTCGATCGATGCAAAAATCACTCAAATTGGTTAATAATTGTTCTCTAAAATAGTAGGACCGAGGGACTGAGGCTTAAAAATAATGGTCGAAAAATTGTTAAAAAAATAATAATTTGTTAGTTTAGATTCTCATTAAATTTTTAAAATTAAAAAAAGAGAACAGTTAAAAAAACAAATTTTTAAAGTTCCCAAAAATTTACTTGTTAATTAAAAAATTATTATTTGGACTCTGTTCAACACCAAATAAAGCATTTCTTGTAGCCGTAACATTTTTAGAATCTTGAAATTTATTTTCGATAAAATTAGAAGTTTGTTGTTGTTGTTGGGATAATAATAAATCTTCTCTAGGCTTTTGGTCAATTAAAAGAAATGAAGGGGGAGGTTTAGTGTCTATAGCTTCTGTCGAGAAATGAGGGGGAATTGCTTGGGAATTTTCTGAAGCTTGTAATGATGTTGTTGTTGTAGACATTCTCCTTTTCAGTTAATTATTGTTGCATTAGATGGCAACAAACAAAATTGATCGCTGCTGGAGAAATTTAGAAGGAATGGGCGGTAATTAGTCGGCAAAGCCCAATTATCTTTTAAAAAGAGAATGGGGAAAAGATGTGGTGGTGATTGTAATACAAGCTAATAATTAAATATTATTTTTTAAAAAAGAAGGGGGTTGGCAATTAGAAGAGGAAAAGAGAGAAGGAACGCGGCAATATTTGGAGAAAAGGTAAAAAAAATTTTTTAATTTTTAGAAGGAACGGATAAATATTTAAATAAACATTTAAAAAAACTTAACCAAACAATTGTTTAATAGAGGGAAAGAAAGCTTCTCTAGAGATAGCTTAGCTCTTCCACCCCCTTTTTTCATAAAAATACAGAAAAGAAGAGAAAAAGTCGTTGAAGCAAAAAGGCGGGGGGAAAGGGGTATTAACGCCTATTGGTTTAAAATAAAAATAAAAAAAGGGGAAACAGTAAAAGAAAGGCGGGGCTATTAAAAGAATAAAAGAAATGAGCATGCATTGTATGGAAAGAAAATTGAGGGTTAAAACAAGCAAATAAATAAAAATAAATTGAAAAAGAAGAAGAAAAAAGTCAAGGAGATATTTGAGGAGGAAAGAATATGTACATACATACACTCGACTTTTCTTCTTAAAAAATAAATATATTTTTTTAAAAACAATTGTTTTGTGAGGGAAAAGAAAAAATTATTTTCTTTGTTTTTTCAAAAAAATTTTTTCTATAAAATTTGATACCGTTGGACCCTAAATTGTGGAGATCCGGAGATTTTCCAATAACCAAAGCCGAGACTGTGGGCTGAACAGGGACAATCTCAAAATTTAAAGTTTTTATCTAATCAGGAGAGAATCTTTTTTAATAAAAGATTCCCTTGAAAAAGCTGTATATTTAACTCTACCAACATTTTCTACACCTTTTTATTAAATAAATATTAATTTTTTGTTTCAAAACAAAACTAAAGAAGCCTATCACTACCTCACTAATTTAATTTTAAAGTTACATTTGATTAATTGTGTAATGTTTATGTATGCTTTGCAAAAAATTTCTTGGGTGTAAAAATACAACGGAATTAACCCCCAGAATCATAGATAATTATTTTTATTTATTTATAAATATTTCTTCAAGTGCGGACACAACAGCACAACATGATATTTATTAGATCGAGACGAGATTTTATAAAAAGGCCATTAAGCTCGAAAAATCTGTGATTGAGAGATCTGTGACTCTCCAATTAATTAAAGCTTCAAGGGATTTAAAATCTGTATTGTCTTCAATTTTTCACAATTTTCTGGATTCTTCCTTCAACTTCATTCTCCCCCAACATTCTAATCCCTTCTCTTCCACAAATCCCTCACTTTTTCACCCAAATAATTCTTTCAAACAAACATTCCCCTACAGTAATAAAAATATTTTTTCCATTCATTTCCTCTTGTCTCGACAGTCCGTCACAACCCGTAGGTGTCGCTATTGTTGTTCATTCAATTTTTTTCAATTCCCTCCTCCTCCCCTCCCCTCCCCCCCCCCCCCTCTTCCCAAAAATACTTTTCACTTGGTCTATTCTTTTGTTAATTCCCCTCCCCTCCCCCCTTCCATCCCTTTTTTATATAAAATTCCCTCACAACCTAAATTTTCTTTCTCCCCCCCCCCCCTTCTACCCAATGAATCGGCGTGAATTTGTTATTGTGAACAAAGCCCCGCAATTTACTGCCGTGTAAAGGTGTGTATAAGGAAGGGGGAAGGAGTTTCGGACAAATATAAAAAACCTTAAAAAGTGATGTTTTCGGCGAGTCTATTTAAAACATACGGATAAAATAGAAAGATAAAAAGAATATAAAAATAAAAAGAAAAAGGTAGATGCAGATGTTGGGAAGGAAAAAAAAGAATTAATTGTTGTGTTTTGTTGTTCACCTTTCACGAAAAGATCTTTCGACGCGAAAAGGTTGGCGCCGAGAGAAATTAGGGAGACGTCAAAAGGTTGCGCCGAAATAACCAACTTTTTTTCATTGGCGGCAAAAAGACGCAAATATTTTTAGTTGAAAAGGAAGGAGAAGATGTGAGGAAGAAAAAAGAGAAGGAATAGTCAGTCAGTCAGGTAGCTGAGAAAATTACCAAGTCTATAAAATCTTCATGGATTCACTCATCTGATGATTCAACCGGATTTTCTTCTTCTTTTTTTCCCCCTCCAAGGCCCTTCTAACCAACCAAACATTTTTCCCTCAGAATCAATCCGGTCTTTTCTCTTAAAGGTGTCAGAAAAAAGAAGAGAAAATAAATAAATATATTTTTATGTTGATCTACTCTTCAAAAAAGGAGTAAGTGAGGTGGAAGATTTTTTTTATTTATGGCGGCAAAAGGGCAATAAATAAATAAATTTAATATAGAGGAATTTGTGGGGGGATTTTAATTGAAAATTAATTTTTATTTTATTTTTTCAAAAAAATTAGTATAAAAGATTTTTAAGTAAAAGGAGTAGATCACAAATAGATCACAACAATGAATTTATTAACACTCAAAAACGAATGAAGTTCGGCTTTGGTGAGAGGATTTTTGATTGCTTGTATTCAAGATAAGGTCTGAAATAAATTTTCTGTAATGAAAAATACACGTTGAAAGCCGTAAAAAGTAAATAAAGGAGATTAATTTTTAAAAATTCAAAAAAATTTTGTGATTAAAATTTTTCAAAAATAAAAACATTTCTTCCTCATAATTTTTTCTCTAATCTACAGAAGGTGTACATATGAAGAAAAGAAGCAAGCCAACATCCAGAGGTTTGTGCCCAACGGGAATAATTTCTCTGCGGGAGATTTATATGTTGAACAAATGATTTTGTGTTTGAAAAAAGAGAGAAAGGTTTTGAATTGTTTGGAGGGGGGAAAGGGTTTTGAAAAAAAAATTTTGAATAAAAAACAAAAAATTTTTTGATAGGTAAAAGTAAATTTTCTTTAAATTCTGATTATTGCATTCCAAACCAAAATTTCAATTAAAACGACACTTTAAATTTATGTTGTTTGTAATATTTGCAAGAAAAACTTTAAGTTTTATTAGAGAAAATATATTCTTCGAGTTTGTTTTGGATTCCGTGACATTTTTTATGTTAAGGGCATCTGGGGTAACTAAAATTATACAAAAACAAGCCTAATGGATAGCCCCAATACAGCATCAAACAAAAAATATCTTCCTTGCCTTGCCTTTCTCAGCAAAATTAACAAATATTTTTTACAAAATTTATTTAATAAAAACTAAATAAATATATTTATTTTTTCTATTGTTTTTATTAATAAATAAACACACACAATTTCCTTGCTTTAAGCCTTTCAACGCTTTTTTGCTTCTCATCATCATTGTTTTATGTGCAACGGCCTTCAGCAATGTTTTAGAAAGGCATAAAAATAATATTAAACAATAATTGCCCATTTCCTTTTTTTAATTTTCTCGTTACCTAAATTCTTCTCTTTTTTTAATATTCCCCCCCCCCCCCCCCAAACAAAGGATTGTCCTCACTTAACGTCCCTAGGGCCATAATTCTCATAGCTTTTCTTAATTTCTTCCGGCAATTTAAATATACAGTGTCAGGTCATCTCATCTCTTTAGAATAATATATTTCAAAGAGCTGTGTGATGAAACAAAAAAATTTTATCGAAAAAAGTCGAAAAAAAGCGAAAATTGAGAATTTATGCGGAAAAACAATTCACCGAAGTTAAGACAATTCACCGTCATTACAACAATTTTATGAAGTGGTACAATGTTATTAAGTGGTACATACAAAAATATACAGTTAAACTTTATTCTTAGATACAGCCATTACTAGATAACCTCAATGTAAGATACGTTTTTTAAGAACCTCTAAATAAAAACCGATTATTTCAACAACAATAGGCATCTAAAGTGAGAGTTTAAGTTCAAATATATGAAAATTAAAATCTTATTCGTTAAGTAAAAATATTTACGTATCTAGTATTTCGACTTAACTAAAAATAGAAACTATCAGCGAATTGTCGGGACGGTGAATTGTCACTTCTACTTTCACGTCTTTTTACATTTCTTCCACCTTTCCTTTTTCTTCATTTTCATTCTTCTCATTCACATCCCCTTCCCCGCTTCTTCTTTTTCCTCCTTCCGGCAATAGGCAATTATCTAGTCCTGCCCAACCGTAATTATAGGGCAGCAGGAAGCATATACAAACGTCGGCCAAGCTTTTTCTTTTTTCCTTCTCCGCTGGCAAAAACGGAAGAAAAACGAAAAAAGAAAGGAAAGAGCAGAAGATGTTTATGGGGGAAGGCCGAAAAAATAAAAATAAATAAAATTGTTTGGTGTGAAATATGGTTGAATAGCATGGGATTGGATATATTTTTATTTAAAAGGAAGAGAGAGAGAATGAAGGATGTTGGGACGAGAATGAAAGCGGCAATAAAAAAAGAAAGAAGAAAGCTTGAAAATAAAAATATGTATAGAGTTTATTGACTTGAATTTAAATAATAATTTTAATCAACAAGTTGTCATCATCAACCTATCTACATACATATCCCTGGAATTATTCCTTGGTGCTTCATGCACCTGGTCTAAAATTTTACGGGTTGGACACCTAAATCCCGCAAATAAATAATTGAAAAAGCCTAAAAATCCGCTTCGTTATGTTGGAAAATCACAGGTGTTTCGTAACAAAACAAAACGATAACAAGAAATCCTATGAAGTAACGAAACGAAATGTTTCGCCGCGTCTGATCCGTATAGAATTCTGCGGAGATTTTTCAAAAATATATTCTGGCTTTATGACCATTAAAAAAGTTGTGGTTTGAAAATTTTTAAAATTATGAAAGGGTTTTTTTGACTACGACTAAGTCTTGATAATGTTAATTAACTCTAATATAGTCCTCTATATTGAGAATGTCAAGAGGTGATAATTAAAAGTTTCTTCAGATCGGATTTTTGGTCCAAGCAATCTGGGTTTGTGACACATGCTTTCTCTATTAAATTTACTCTTATTTAGTTAAGATATTTCTCATTTGAAGACAGCATTATCTAAAATTAATGTTAAATAATATTAAATATTAAACAAAAAACTTTTTCAAATCCAAATAACTGTTTAGTGTTTAAATTTGGTAATAAAAATTTCAAAAACTATCCACCACCACATTATATCCATTAATTCACTAAAAATCCTCTTTTCTCTTCAAAAATTTATTTGGTCATTCCAAGTCCATTCATTCTACGCAATGTGAGAAAAAAGGTATGGAAGCGATGAAAGGGGGAGGGGGTGAATTTTGGGAGAGATGAGAGGAAAAAAGTGGGGGATTTTGGAGAGGAAATTTGTTTGGAAAGATGAACTCTCTCTTTTTTTTATTTTTAAATCCTTCCTTCAAAGCGTGTTCGAAAATGAAGAGAAAATTTTATGGAGATAAAAAAGAGGGGAGGGAGGGGGAGAGGATTAATTTTGAAGGAACGTAAAAAAGAAATAAAATTTAAACCAAATAAAATAAAAAGAAATATAAATCTGGATATTGAAAATGAGAAAATTAACTAGTAGAGAGAGGTAGAAGGTTGTTATGTAGCTGATGAAAATTTAAAGATTCTTTTTTGAAAATCCAAATTTTTATTTTGATTGGTGAACTCCTCAATCTTTTGCCATTTTTCCAGTCGGAACTCACAATAAAATACAAATTAAGGGCCAAAAATACCTTATAAAGAGTTAGTTGTATTTTAAATTCATATATAAATCGCTGTGCGTTTTTTACGACAAGAAAATAACATTGAAAAAATACGAGACAAACTTGCGAGCGACCATTGCTCTTCTCTTTTTCCATTATCTTTTCTGTCGCAAGCAGGGGATGTCCATAAATGAAAAAATTTCCGCAGCCGCAATCCGCAGTCTGCGTCAAAAAAACTTAATTTTACGCAATCCGCAATTGCAGACAACCCTGATCGCAGGTCGCAAATCGGTTTCTATATGAAGTAGATTAGACCTCCCACCAATTTAAGAGAGAGGAGGTTCGACTGTATATTTAAAAGTATTTAATGTTGAATTATTTTGGCTTTGTTTTCAATAGGTAACCTTCATTTCCTCCTTCCAAAAATAAGTTTATCCAAGCGGAATATACCCCAGAGAATGAACGAGGGAAAATAAAAAGAATTTTTAGGATGATCTATAAAAGAAAATGTCGGCATTTTTTGTTTATTAAAAAGTATATATAATAGTGATTTAATGACGAAAATGTTGTGAAAATAATGAAAGAAAGAAGGAAAGAGGAGAGGAGAATTCATGCAATTTCGGTCGAGGCCGGACAAAATAAAAATAAAATTTCAAAGCTAAAACAATTGCTCCTCAACGTTCACTAAGCAATAAAAAAGGAAGGAAATAAAACAATAAAAAAGGTGATCGCTGAAAAATGAGAAAAAGTTCGAGAAGGTTGGAAATTGTAAAATAAAAATGAGAAAAGAAAAAAATTGAATGAATAAATCCGGTTATATGTAAATATAAGGGATCCCGTTAACATAAAATGTTCTTAATTTTTTTTTTGACGCTTTTATGGCAATAAATAAATATTCATGTACTTTATTTTCCCATTATACAAGTGGAACACCAAAGCAACCATCATTAAATTCCATCTGAACATTGAAGAAGCCGTTATTGCCACTTCCTGTGACAAATGAATTTTTGCAAATCCAATATAGTAATACTACCACAAACTTTTCCCACATCAAATAATTTCAAGTATATTTTTGGGTAGAGTTTAAGGCCCCTGGGAAATCCCCGGAACCGATATCCTAAGTGATCTCTGATGTACTGACTTTTTCGGATAAGGATATCTGGATATGCTAACCCTATTCCGGCATGATTTTCTGCCCTAAGGGGTACACTATAGTGAAGCCCGACTGTAGTTATGTAGTTATTCGTATATTTTTTAATGATAGTGGCGGCGCAAAAAGTCGCCCAGCACAAAAGTTGCGGTGCAAATGTTCTCGGCAAAATAATTCGTGATACCGATCAGAGTGCGGACCAAGGATGGGCCGAGTTGAGAAAAAAGTCATGTCGGGTTTTTAAAATTTTCGGATCTTTTGGGTCTCGGGTTTCGGTTAACCTGGCCCTGGTGCGGACCGGACAGGATCACGAACAGTGTCCTGCCCCTAAATCCCGTATCATGGATTGTCAGGATTAATCCCGCTGAATCCTCTCACGTTCAGTCTTTTGAAGAAATCCCTTTACGGGGTTCCGTTAATGCAATTTTTCCACACTAGGATATGTATGATGCCAAATTCGTTTTTATTTTTATTTTTTTATTTTTTTAAATTAAAATATTAATATTGCTTTCTTCAACTTTTTAGAAAAACTGATCTTCAGTTTCTTCTCATAATTTATTTTAATGTAAATCCTTTTTTAATTTTAGGCATTTTTTAAAAAGTATTCTTTGCATATTTTGGGTTGCAATTTTTGATTTTATACATTTATTTTTGCATTTTTCTATCAATTTTCTTTTCTCGTTTTCAATTGACTGGAAATTATTTAAAAGGTATTTAATTTATTTAAAGGTAGAATGGCGGAGTTTGTTGGGGGGGGGGGGGGGGGGGTTTTATCAAGGGCCTGTTTATTGTCCACAGATTCTGTACACAACCACAGATTTTTTGTTTTAGGTATTTCACAGATCTAGATAGAAAAAACGCCGACTTCCGTCTCTGCGATCCACAAATTTCTAAGATTTTTGGATACTTGCTGGTTGGAAATACTCGTCGAGTGATACCAAAATCATTTAAATTTGATGATCCTCGTCTCTCGCGAGCATCAACGAGCCGACAATTTCAGATTTTTCACAGTGTAGAATCTTGGGACAATTAAAACGGGCTTTTCAGAAAGAATAAGTGTCGAGTTATTTTTGAATTTATTTTTTGAATTTAATTTATTTTTAAATTTATTTTTGCATTTTTCTATCAATTTTCTTTTCTCGTTTTCAATTGTTTATTGTCCACAGATTCTGTACACAACCACAGATTTTTTGTTTTAGGCTTTGCTATCCAGAAATTATCTAAATTTTCTAAATTTTTCATTATCTAAATTTTAAACACCACAATATTTAAAAATATTTTTTTTCAAAAAAAATTAGGCACAAAATTGCGCCCTTTCAGATATATAGATGGGAGGTTTAGGCTTAACAATAACATGCGCAATCGGGGCAGGCGCACTTGGTTTGAGTGCAGCCACCCTCCCTTTTGTCCTTCCTGCTTTTCGACGTGTTTGTATACCTTATGTGCCGGCTACTGTTAAACAAATCGAAAATGTTGTTAAATTGATGGATCAATACAAAAATTTAAACCCCGCCACAAGAGGGCTAAAAATAATTGATTTGGGCAGTGGAGATGGAAGAGTTGTAAGTAAATTTATTTTTTTTTTTTTGGTTCAGATTTTGAATTTGGTTGTTTGAGAGACTAGAAAATTTTAAAAATTATTTTTTGTTGTATAAATATTTAAATAAAATTGTGCAATGAAATTTGGGGAACAATTAGCAAGTCATTTAACACCTGAATGGAGAAAGCAATATATTCGTTATGAAGAACTTAAAACACTTTTGTATGATATTATGTTGGAAGCGCCGACTGAAGCAGATGCGAGAGACCAGTTTTGTTTTTTTTTAATATTTTTGAGGGCTTGGAATTTTTGGGGAGTTGACGTCGATATTTAGAGATTGGGGGAATTCTGAAGAATCTTGATTTGATTCTTGGTTTCTCATTAAGAAAAAATAGGAGGTAACTAAAAATCGAGAAAAGTATTTACTATAGTTGTGGCTAGTTAAGAAAATCTTTTGTACACTTTAGAGGATTTTTTTAAACATTTTTCTTTTTTTCCTCTCATGACTCGTGTATATTTCCTCCAATTTTTTTAAATAATTTTAGCTAATTTTTTCTCTTTTTTTAAAGATATATTTCTCAAATGGATGAAACATTTTTTGCAGAATGTGAAAAAGAACTTGTCAAAATTAATTTATTCTTCAGTCAAAAAATAGCTGAAGCTCAAGGAAAATATCACGAATTAACTGCAGAATTGAATACTTTTAAAGATTCAATCGAATCAAGGCAAACTCCAATTGCTCAGAGAAAAAATGTCCGTTTACGCTTTGCTGGAGCTAAACTTTCTCTTAATAAATTGCAAAAAGAACAGTCAAAAACTGCACAACAGCTTAAATTGGCTTTTAGGTTTGTTGATTTTTAAAAATTTTTAGTTAACCTGGCTATGGGGGGGGGGGGTGGGGTTAATCAAAAATGATTAAAAATTTATTTACTTATTGTTAGTATGTTCGTTTGAACAAAACAAATAAACTTGGTTTTGGGGGAATTAGGAATTTGTAAAAAATGAAAAAGGGGCATCATCGACTTTAAAATTATCAATAAATTTGTTTCAATATTTTTGGATTACTTCTGTCCTCACATTTTACGTAGAGTTAACTTCTTAAAGCTTACATTAATTAATTAGCCCCTAAAGACTGAGACTTTGACCTGCCATAACTCAGCCCAAAGTCATCTCACAAAAATAAAGAAAGTCGCTTCGCAATATTAAATCGGGGTTCCTCTATCGAATGGTATCAAAAACATTACTAACTTAATTTTTTATCTTATAAATTCTTAATTTTTCTTAATTTTTAGTGAATTCTACTTAAATCTTGTACTTTTACAAAATTATCAGGTTTTTTAAATTATTTTTTTGTTTGTTAAATTCTTGGCAATTTTAGCAATTAAATGCTACCGGGTTTCGTAAAATTTTCAAAAAACATGACAAATTAATGATGAATGATGCTGGAATGGATTGGCGAATAAATCGGGTTGAAAAATCTTCGTTTTTTCTCAATTCTGATATTGAATCCTTAATTAACAATGTTGAATCGACGGTCATTAATGAACTGGAAGGGGGTAATAGACAGGCGGGAATGAAAAGACTTAAGGTTTTTTAATTTTTTCTAACTTACGGACCTATTTTCCCTTTATTCTACCTCTGACGACTATTCTAAAACAATTAAAAGGGATATCTTGTTTAGGGGGATAGATTTTCGGCCTCAACTTTTGAGGCGTGTGTGTCATTCTAACATACTTTTTGTTTAAATCAAAAATGAGAATGTGATGCTTTTCAACATCCTTATACTTACGAGAATAATAGGGGAGGATTAAAGTGGGGTTTCTGACTAACATAAGTTCAAAATTTCCTAATTATTTTTGAATTTACATTCTTTAAATATCTCATGTCAGGTTCCTCCTCTAAGCGAAAAACAAAATGCTGGAACAACATTCTCGCTAGGCATGTTTATGGGTATATTTATAGTTTTGGCTGTCGCAATAATTCTTTCATGGTTTGGATTGGAACAACAAGTAAATGAACCAAAATGGGTTGCTGTTCGTTTATTTCGTGGCTTTTTTCTTTTTTTCCTTTCAATGTGGCTTTGTGGACTTAACATGTTTTTTTATTATTTAAAAAATGAATATTAAAATATTTTCAAGGTATGGTTGGGCAGCTGCAGGTGTTAATCATGTTCTCATTTTTGAAGTAGATCCTCGCAACCATTTAACTTATCAAACGGTTTTTTAATTAATATTTTTATTTTCTCCTTATAGTACCAGTTAACTAATTTTAAGTAAGATTTAAAACCGCGAGTGGTGATCCCCTCAATGAATGATCCCACTCAGGCCCTAGTCAGGGGGGGGGGGGACTTTATTATTTTGTTGAAAAATCTCAAAAATTATTTCTACTTTTAAAAAATAAAACAAAAATTTAAGGTTATGCAAATTTCTTCTTTTATGTTAATGCTTTGGGCAATGTCTGTACTTGGATATTTATACGCTTCTTGGCTTCGTTTACCTCCTTTTCTCTTTCCAATGGCTTTAATGTTAATTTGTGTTGCTTATCTTTTTAACCCGTAATTTTTTTAATTCTTTAATTATTTTATTTTTTTTTAGTTTCAAACACCCAGAACATTTCTTCCACCGAAATTCTCGTTTTTGGCTTCTTAAACATTGCTTTAATTGTTTGACGGCTCCTTTTCATTATGTTACATTTTCGGATTTCTGGCTAGGCGATCAAATGAATTCTCTTGCGTAAAATTTTTTAATTTAAATATTTTAAATAATTCTTATCGGGAAATTTAAAATATATTCTTCCTTATTGTTAGACTTGATTTGAATAAAGAAAAGAATTCTTAAGAGTTTTCCCTTAATAGAAAAATTCGAAAAAATTATTTTCAGACAAGCAAAAATTAGGAAAAAAATTTTTAAATAATTCTCCCGTATGTCTCCAATGTTATTTCTCAGGCAACCCTTTTCCCCGTGTTAAAATATTTTTTTAAATTTTATTGTAGCGATCGCTCACTTGATAAAAAATTTTTTTTTCAGAATTTGTTTTCTGGATCTCCAATATTTTATTTGTTTCTATGCAACAGAAGTTGACTTTTCTGATGCTCAATTCCAAGTTCGTACCCTCAACATAACCGAAGGCCCCGTTCCCTGGGGTTATGTTGATATCAATACTGGCCAAGATATGTGTGTTGCTTCTTCTGGAATTCGATCTCTTGTATCAGTTGTTCCAGCTCTCGTTCGTTTTTTGCAATGTATTCGTCGTTATCGTGATACTCGAACTTGGCATCCACATTTGGTTAATGCTTGTAAATATGCAACTACTTTTTTGGTTGTTGGAAGTAATTTATTAAGTAAATGGTGGTCAGATGATACTTCTATTTTCTTTTATCTTTGGGTGGCTTCTTATATTTTTAGCTTTACATACACATTTCTGGTTGGTTTTTGTTATTTTTTTGGCAAGGCTAAATTTTTTGGGGTGCGATATTTGCAGGCGTAATTTACAGACAACGCTAAAATTAAAAAAAAAGAAAACTGAAAAATAAAAGCTTACGAAATGCTGACTTTGTGTTAATTTATTTGATCATATTTAATGTTTCGTTTTTTAAATTGTGATGAGCTGGAGTGTCACCTTTTTCAATCTTCTCAACTCATCCTCTTTCTGAGAATGAGTTTTTAAAAATTTATTTTTTAAGTGGGACGTATTTATGGATTGGGGATTAATTGATCCGAGAGCACCCAAAGAAGCTCCACTTCTACGAGAAGAAATGATTTATGGAAGTAAATGGTATTATTATTTTGCAATTGCTGAAGATTTTATTTTACGATTAACTTGGGTAATGAATGTTTCGTTAGCGGAAGCATGGTTTTTCTTAAATTATTTTTTTAATTTATTATTTCAATTTTTAAAGGATGTTACAAGGAGATTTGCTTGTTTGTATATTGGCTCCTTTGGAAGTAATTAGGAGGTTTTGAACTTTTTTTTAATTTTATGTGGGGTTTATTTTTGATTTTATGTTGATTTTACTTGGGGACAAGATTTGCGTGAAATAGTAGGATGGTTTAACAACCAAATTTTTGAACCGAAAACCTAATTTCAAGAATGATTTTTTAAAGATTCCCTCATTAACCATAAATTGAAAGGGCTAGTTAATAATCAGTCATGAACTATCCTTGTTTCTAACAGTTTAAAGAGGACAAAATTGATTTAAACCCCCCCCCCCCCCATAAAATTTTATCTTCGGGTTCGCATTAAAATTAAATTATGCTTACTTTTGTAAAAAAATAATATTTTTTATTTTTAAGATTTATTTGGAACTATTTTCGATTGGAGAATGAGCATGTAAACAATTGTGGTCAGAAAAGATTTATGAGTAAAAAAAGGTTTAAAAAATTTTTTAAGGACAATTTCGAGCAGTTAGGGATATTACAGTTAAACCTATACGAAAAGGTGATTTGGAATCTTTACTTGCAAAAATGGACAATCCTGATGGTGTTACACATAGAGGACAAGATTTGCGTGAAAGGGTTAAAAAACAGAAAAAAGCAGCGCGTGAAAAGAAACAAATTTTGAAAAAGAATAGAATGACTAGAATTAGTTTACCGATTGCTCCGAATTTCCCACATGCACATACACATCCAATTTTAGTTGAAAGTAGACAATAATAGGTAAACTGTTTAGATGACAGTTTTTATAACCTTTTAAAGGTATTTTATGGTAGTATGAAAATTTTATTAAAGAATTCCATTTAGAGAAGAAATCTAGTCTCCTCCCTACCCCTTAAAATTCCTTGTCCTTAAATTTTCCTTGATTCAAAGCTAACAATAAGAATCTTCCTGATAAATGTTCTTAACTAAAATCGAGGGTCGAAATCATTTTTATAAATCTACCATAAAATGTTTTTTTCTTTTAAAAGAAAATTATACGAAATTTTGTATTTTCATAATTCCTTCTCTCTCATGTATATTTATATTTTCACCTCCAAATTTTTTTTGTAATTATCTCTCGAATTTAATAAGTTAGACTTTTGATTTTTTAAATAGTTTTTCAGAGTCTCATCATACTTTTCTGTATTATATTTATACCGGTTTTTGTTTAAACGCTTTAAAAGAATTTTTTCAAGTTTTTCAATACATTCCTTTATTTTTTTTATAAAATTGCAATGATTTTTTTAAAATTTTCCTAGTCTTATTTAAATAAAATTGTTTGGATAAAGTCAATTTTCTAATCAAAATACCCAATAAATTTGAGAAAAATAAAAACGCTTGACTTTATCCAACAAAAAATATGCTTGTATTTTATAATGACGATTAAATATTAATAAATTTTATTATGGACTTTACAATTTCTTTTAAAAAATTTTTAAAAAGAAAAAATAACCTCAAAATCTGAACCATTTATTTGTTTGTACTTTCAATTAATTTAATTTTCAAAATTTATTTTTTTAGGTATTACAACTCGCAAAGGCTGGATACACTAATTCTACAGGCGTTGAATTAAACAGTTTATTGGTTTTGTATTCGCGTTGGAAAAGTTTTCGAGAAGGCACCAAAAAAGTGAAGTTTGTAAAAGCTGATATCTTCAAAACTTGTTTGGAAGATTATGACGTTGTTGTGCTGTTTGGAACTGAAACTATTGTACTCTAAAATTAATTTTGAAAAATTTTTTTATTTTTAAGGTTCCCCAAGTTAGACCAAAATTGCTGGAAATGAAAGATGGAGCAGGGCTGATTTTATGCCGTTTTCCCTTACAATCTGAAGAAGAATGTTGGAAAATGATTTCAACAGAAGGGAAAGGAATCGATCAAACATGGCTTTATATTCGGAAAAAATATTTGTTAAATTAACTGATAAAGTTGTTACTTTTACATAGATTTTCTCAAATATCTTCGGATATTTCTTCATTTCCCTAATAGCGCAACAATAAATTTTCACCTTTTCTCATTTTTCTATTGTGTTTATTCTCCTTTACATATTTTCTTTTCTATTTTTTTTCTATTTTTTAGACCCTTCCATAAATAAAAGATTTTTCTCCATCCATTTCTCAACATTCATCTTGCCCTTTTCCTTCTACAAATCAACTTCATTTTTCGCCTTTTTCTAGCATTGCTATACACAATCAATATTATATAGCTTCTCTGGTCGTCGTGTCAGTAAGGTTTTATGTATACATTGCTAGTCAGCCCATTTATTCTGTCTTGTCTTTCGTCACAAGGCAACCAACATAAAAACTCAATGTGTATTGACTAACCTGACAAAATGGTACATGACAAAATGGTGATATTAACAAAATGGTACTGGGACAAGACGGTTCCTTCCAACCCGGGTTCCTTAAATGCCATTCTGTCTCATTACCATTTTGCCCAAGTACCATTTTGTCTAAAACCATTTTGGACATAAATGTAGCAATGTGTGTATTATTTACATTCTTCTTCCTCTTCTCCATCGGGTTTTCATTTTTGCCTGCCTTCCTTCTCTCCACTTCTTTTTAGTTGTGTAAAATAGCCTTCCTTCCCTACAAACTAACATTTTCTTTTGCTTTCCACATTTAAACAAATATAAGTATTTTCACAATTGTATACAATCCTCCCCAAATATATTCCCTCTTTTTTCCCCCTCAACTTTCATCTTCTTCATTCCTTCCCCATCTTTTCAAAAAATACTTTCATCGTCTCCCCACACATTCACATTCATTTTTACCCAACCAATCTGCTCAGGAATAAAAATAAAATATACACACACATTCATTCACCATCTTCTCCTCTTAAAACGCTACAAAAACACTATTTTTATATTTCTTTTATTTCTCCCCCACACAATTCTACATTATTCCCCCCATTTTTTTCATTTTCTCAACAACACAATTTCTTCGAGATTTGTAGTTTTTCCCTTCTCCTCGCATTCTTTTCTAGTACATTTTATACTCTTTTCTCCTCTTTCCTTGATCCACTTCTCTATTTTTATATGAACTCTAATATAAGCCTGTATAAGTTCTCCAACCTTTTTTTCTTCTCTTATAAGGAGAGGTTAGAGTATATCTCGGAAAGGGGAATTAAAATATAATTTACAAGGGTATGAAAAACAAATGAGATACAGTAAGCTGATCTTTTGAGAGCTGATCTAGAAAAGATTTTGGACAAAAAAAGTTTTGGATGAATTTTTAAGGTATTTATTGATAGTTGATTTTAGCTTGTAAATAAAAACAAGTAAATTGTTCGGGTTGACAAGTTTAAGCTTAACAGGTGTGGTTGGCCTTTAACTTTGGGGAAAATCTTGTTCTAGCTCTGGAGGGGATTCATTTACATCCTGATATTGGTGACAATTTTCATCTGCTTCCATTTGTTTTGTTTCATATCTTTCCATGTTTCCCATCTCTTTTCCGAATTTGAGTTGAAATTGTGTTTGTTTTGATATTCTTACAAGTTTTGATCCTCGTTTCAGAATTTCTAATACTTTATCACTTTGTTTCCTTCTTTAATTAACCTTTCTTTTGCGGCTTATTAACTCTTCTGTTGTTCAAATACAAATTTAAATTATATTTGTTTTCTCATTGCTTTAAATATGAAAATAATTATTAATTTTAGTTATTTAATTCAAAAATGAGTAGTACTTCAGAGCACATTTCTCAACGCCTTTATTATTCCAACCGAACACCAAGTTCGAGAGTTAGCCTTGTTGGGACTTCTGCTGCTTCTTCTCCAGTAATGTTAAGTAATACTCCTCAAGTTAGAGGAAATACAAATCAAGTTGTGGTTGTTTCTGGAGATAATCAATTTAGAAGTATTCCTATTGGAAGCGTTGGTTATCATCCTCCAGGCTGTGCTTGTCCAAATTGTGAAACTAAGGTATTTTTTAGAAATTCCTTAAATATTCCTTTAAAAACTTTTAAATATTCTAGTATGTGCCACCAATTGGACATTCTACTTCTTTAGACAACCGCCACGAGATTTATACATATTCAATTGCAAATGATCCTTCAGGCAATACTGATGGAATTGTACAGGAATTCACAACAGAAAATGGAGAGAGACATGTGGTAATTATTCTAAAGTTTATTGGGGGGGGGGGTAGTTGTTCTTATAAGACCCGAGCTCTTCCGGTTGGAAACTCCGGTTTCGACTCGGATTCGAACTCTAGTAGTTCTTTTTCTGATTTTAAAATTTTTGAATAAGAGATTATAGAGGTTAAATTATTTAAAAAAATCTTCCATTTTTTGAAGGATTTCACCTCCAATTTTAGTTTTTTCCTCACAAAACTCAATTTTTAAGTTTGTCCCATCCATTCATCACTCAACATCTCTGGATAATCGACAAGAACTTGTAGCGAGAACTTCAGACGATAATAAAAGGAATGAAAAAAGTGAGAAGGAAGCCGTTAAGCGTGCTCGACAGGCTGAAGCTGCTCGTCTACGGTTTTTTTAATTTTTTATTTTGGGAATATTTTTTAGTTTAGCTAAATTCATATACAAAAATTTAATAATTTTCTTAGGCTGACTGAGGAGTCATACAAAATTTGGGGTGGGGGACATTTGACTGAATTTTAATTTCCTTAAGTTTGCAATTTGTTCTTTTTAAATTTAATTTTTATTTTTTAAAGTTATCACCGTTTAACACCAGACGAGAAAAAAGCTTTAAACCTCAAAAGGACATTAGCACAAAAAAGAAAAAAACAACGAGAAAAAGAAATGGCTCAATTAGAAGCAATATTGCGTGCTAGTGGAGATATTTATGACGATCCAGAAGTTTTAGAACAACTTAGAGAAAAGAGAATGCGTGCAAAATGGGCTGAGGCTGCTCGTAATAGATATCACAGGTCGTTGGTTAAAAAGATATTTCTACTTTAAAAAATTTTTTAAAAAATTTTTAGAATGACTGATGAAGAAAGAAAATCTCATAATATGAAAAGACGAATTAAACAACAAGTTTCTGTAAAAAATGAAGATAAAAGTTGTGGAAATTTGGGTGGGGAGGCTAATAAAAGAATTAAAGAACAAAATGCGAGGAAGGCTGAAGCTGCTAGACTGCGTTATCATCGAATGGTTTTTTTATCGGTGTGATCTTTTGGGGATTGGGGCTCTATAAAAAATCAAAAATTGTTTTTGGTTAATTGAACCACATTATAAGGCACACCCTCGGGGCTGAAGGTATTTTAAATTGGGGGTATGGGTTAGCTCTTCCTCCAACGCCAGGAAGATTATCGGGTTCCGGATATGAGGAACTGAAAGAGTCTGGAAATATTTGGTTAGAGCATCTGTTCCGGATCTAAATCCGCGCTCTAAATGATAAAGTTTTTTCTAAAATTAGGTTTAAAAATCTGACTCCAAGAAACCTCGTTTTCAATTACCCAATAAAATAAATTTATATTTTTAACAGCCCCAATTCCATTAAAAGATCACATTTGTATTTTTTTTAATTTATTTAACGACAAATTTTTTATTTATAGACTTATGACGAAAAGAAAATGTATAATCAGCGAAGGACTGAAGCATTTCGACGTAGAAGGATGGAAGAAGAAACTCTTTTGGCTATGCCTATTGGAAGAATTAATGGAGAGGCACTTGATAGAGCACAACAAATTGTTATTCGAAATGCTAAGCGTGCTGAAGCTGCTCGACTTCGTTATCAAAGAATGGTTTAAATTTATTTTTGAAATTAATTTGTGTTATAGACTACCCATCCTTGATACAAACTATAATTTTACATTGATTCTTCCAAAATTTTTATGGATCCGGATTAAATCTATATTAAAATATTGGCACTATCCAAGACCTTCCTTATTTTTAAAATGTATTTTTAAGTCCTATTACTATTCCAAAAGAATTGTCAAATCTCTGTTTTGTTTAAAAAATGGATTAAAAAAATTTATTCGTTTTTAGACACCTGAACAGCGAAGGGCTTACAACCAAAAACGTTACACTCCTAAACGTAAACGTCAAATAATGGAAGTTATCTTGGCAGATGTTGATCCAGATTTAAAAATTGAAAAATCAGACGATGAAGAAGAATATGATGCTCTTTCTTCTCTTGAACGTGACGTTTTAAGGCGTACTCAACAAGCACATCAAATCTTGCTTCGTCAGCGTGGTCAACAGCAGCAACAGCACCAACAACCATCCCAACAACAACAACAGTTACCACCACCACCACCACCACAACAACAACAACAACATTATATTTCGCATAGGACACCTCCATTGACACACGCGTGAAAGGGCTGTTTTAAATATTAAAAGTTTTTGTTCTTCTCGTTTATTAGTCTTCATGCTTAAAATGGGAAGTTTGTCGTATTATTAACTATTTTATTTTTTTGTCTCATTATAAAATGAATTTTTGATAAAAGTTGATGACTTTTTTAAACATTTTTTTTCAAAAGAGTTTTTAAATAACTCGAAATATTTTCTCATGTTTTTTTAATTTTTTTAAATTAGATAAATTTTTGTTTAAAGCAATGAGTACTTCAGAACAAAGTTCTCAACGTCAACAACAAATTTATTATTCCAACCGAACACCAAATTCGAGAGTTAGCCTTGTTGGGACTTCTGCTGCTTCTTCTCCAGTAATGTTAAGTAATACTCCTCAAGTTAGAGGAAATGCAAATCAAGTTGTGGTTGTTTCTGGAGACAATCAATTTAGAAGTATTCCCATTGGAAATGTTGGTTATCATCCTCCTGGTTGTGCTTGTCCAAATTGCGAAACTAAGGTTGTTTAAATTTTTATAAATTAATTTGGGGGCCTTTAAAATTTGAAATAGAAATAGATTTGGTGGGTAACAGGGGGATAGGTTTGGTAGAGGTTGAGATTGTGTTGTTCCTGTCATTTGACTATCTAGATTCCATTGAACGGGTCTCTGTTCCTAATGGTTCCAAAATTGCGTCAGTTCACATTTCCGGTTTTGGGCAATCCAAAGAGTGTCGCTTCCACGTTCCGATAATTTTTAAAATTAAAAAATAAATATATTTTTATTTTCAAGTTTGACCCAACTTCCTTGGGTAATAGCCATGATTTTTATACTTATATTGGCAACGACCAATCTAACGATGATGACGATGGAATTGTAGAAGAATTTACAACGGGGAGTGGAGAGAGACATGTTGTGATTATGACTAAAAATGATGCTAATCTTTCAATGCAAGAAAAGTTTGTCTTTAGTTAAAAAATTTATTTCTAACAATAAGGAAGGAAGACGGACAAAAAAAACATAATATTCTAATGGAGTCCTGGGCTTATATTTTCTAATGGGTCTCATTGAGTGGGCTTATAATAGAGCCTGGGCTTCTATTAGGGATAGATGTGCTTATGACATTTACGTATATTTAATTTAGACTTCGTCGTCAAAAATTATCCGAAGCAGCAAGAAATCGTTATGCTCTTCTCAGTGACGACGAAAAAAGAATATTTACTGAACGTCGCATTATTATGCGTCAGCGAAAAAAACAAAAAGAACGAGAAATGGAAGAGTTGGAGGCAATTCTTCGTGCAACTAATGGTTTTAAATTTTTAAATAATATAAAATGGGCCCTTTGTCCTAATGTCCTAAATTTCAAAAAATTGTTGAGTAAAATTTATTCAGCCCCAAAAATCTGGTTTTGAATTTTGTAATCAGTACGGTTTAGAAATAGTCTGGAGATTGCGAGAAAAACTCGGACTCGGACTCTTTTTAATTTTACATATTCTTTTTTTTTAATTTTTTTTTCAAATTTTTAGATATAACAGATGATTTGGTGCTTTTAGACGAACAATCATTGCAAAGAAAACGTGCGAGATTAAGTCGTTATCAAACTATGTCGATTGACGAGAGGCGTGAATATAACCAAAAAAGAAGGCTTAAACAGCTTGGATTGCCCGAAAATATTGAAGAAGTTCCACGACAAAAATTGGAACAAATAAAAAGACATATTAATGAGGTTAATGCTAGAAAGGCTGAGGCGGCACGTCAACGGTATCATCGAATGGTATTTATTTTGTTATTTTTCAAAGAAGTTTGGTATCTAACTTTTTTTGCCATCAGAAAGGCTTTAAATTTAAAACTTTGGTTGATTATGAAGCAAAAATAATTTAACTAAAGACCTTTTTATTAATGTTCTGTTTCTATATGTATAATAAACGTTCTCCATTTTATGGAATGAATAATACATCGAAAGGATTTTGACGACCCCTTTCCTTATTTTTATGAATCGGCAATTCCCTACCCTTAAATATTTTAATTTAAATTTTTTACTTTTGTAGACGGCTGATGAAAGAAAAATTTATAATAGAAGACGAACTGAATCTTTCCGAAAGCGGCGTGTTGAAGAAGAGAAATTACTTTCAACGCCAGCAGGGCAGATTACACCGGAAGCTTTGGAAAAAGCGCAAAGTATAATGCTAAGAAATGCAAAAAGAGCAGAACAAGCACGTTTGAGATATCAAAGAAAGCAACAAGAAAGAGGTGTTGTGCCAAGAAGACAACGAAAACCAAAAACTGAAACTACAAATGAGGCAGCTGAGCCGAATTTAGGTTTTCAGATTTTGTTTTTTATCCATTTCCCATAAAATACAAAATTACTTATTTAAAAATTTTTTAAGACCAAATTTTGGATACGATCGAACGTGATGTTGTCAGAAAGACAGAAGAAGCACGACAAACTTTATTAAAAATGCAACAAAATGAATTGAAAAAAGAGGAAACTATTGGCATTTTAGACGACAAACAACATCATTTTGTGGTGCCAGATAGAGGAGTAGGAACAACTACTCATACTATAGTTCAATCACCTATAAATATTACTCAACAGCAACTTTCTGGAGGAAATGTTGTTCAATATGTTCAGGTTTAAATTTTTTAATTTAAATGAATGAAAGGGGAGGGGGGCTATTCTTATTGTTAATATATTTATTTTTCAGGTGCCTGCGAGAAGTGTTCCAAACGGCTTTATCATCGCTGACAATAAATTTGTTCAAGTTCATACAGATAGTGGAATTCAAACGTCAGGGCCACAGTCTTATACAGTGGTATTTTTCTTCCTTTTTATTTTTGCTTTTAATTTGTATCAAAAAAGATTCAAGAAGCTTCAACCTCAAAATTCGATGCCGGCCCAAGTAGTAGTGGAACAAGTAATTATTATCCAGTTTCTATAATTCACCATGAACCACCACCACATCAACAACAACGTCATCATATTACAACTTCAACTATAGATCACCATCATCATTTAAACCCCCCGACACGAATTGAAATTGTTCAACCAACAATAATAACAACTAATAATACAAATAATTTTGGTGGTCAACATACATCAACAGCAAGTGGTTCATCTACAACATTATTAGCTGCTAGTTCTTCTTCATCTTCGTTAGCATCTTCACGTCGTCATTATACTAGCAATCCATTACAACAAAATCAACAACAACAAACTTTTATAATTCCAAAAACTGAACATCATCCAATTATTGCTAGTCGTTCCTCTATTTCTTCTGGTGAGTAAAAAAGTTTAGCAATCAAATATTGGCCTAAGACTAGCGGTTATTTTATCTAAAAGCTTCGCTTATCACGTGGTAGCGTGGTAGTATCTAATATAATATATCTACTATAGATCCTACACCTTCCCCCCCCCCCCCTCCCTCAACCAATCTAAGCGACTAAAAATATCTTCCCTCTTTACAGGTATGTCATCGTCTAAACAACGTGTTATGGACCCTCATAATTCAAACGATCAAAAATTGTTATTGCAAAAGGCTAAACGTGCAGAACGTGCAAGGAGAAGGTTGTAGACAATAAAAAATAAAAATTGATGTTGATAAAGTTGAGATAATATTTTAAAGATACCATGAAATGTCTGCCGAAGCACGTCATGAATTTAATGCTAAAAGAGCACTTTCATTAAAAATGGCAAGATTGAGGGATGTAAGTTTTATTTTAAATTTTTTAAAATTATTAACTTTTTTAGGAAGAATTGTGTCGTTTGGGTGATGATATGAATACAAAAGGACAAGAACCCGAAGATGTTTGTTTTTTTATTTTTTTTAGTTTTGGAGGTGGTGAGAGTTGAAAGATTAGAATTTTTGGGAAATGACATTAGTTTTTGAGTGAAGTTGTTGTTTTTTTTTGGAAAATCTAGGTATCCGAAACCGAAACTAAAAACTGAACTGACTTGTTATTAACCACCTAAATCTATAACAAGCTAAATAGCGGAGTTTCCCAGTATCTACTACTACAATCGAATTTTACTATAAGATACACTTGTAATAGATCACATCAACTTTAGTTTGCAATTGGCTGAGGGAGTTTAAGATACTACATCTCATTATAAGGACAGCTATAAACAAGAGTTTATCTTATAACGAGTTCCATCTGGAATAATTTATTATTGAATCCTGTAATTTTTAGAGTCTTCGCACTGCTATTGAACAAGCCAGATTGCGTAGAGCCAAAAGAGCAGAAGCTGCTCGTGTTAAATATCAAGTGAGTTTTATTTTTTTTAACTTTCTTACTAATATTCATCAAAGAAGATGACAAGTGAACAGAGGAAAGCACATAATGCAATGCGTGATGCTCAGAGAAGGCAAAGAAAGCGTGAATTGGAGGATACTGTGACAGTTGTGAAACAATGAGAATTACTTAAAGGAGGGAGGGGTAAGGGTTGTGTTTATTCTTGTCAATTATTGTCGAAGACCTCACTTGTAGGATACTCTTTGGGACTTGAAGAATTGTTGGAACCTAAATTGGGTGTTTAAGTTGGGTAACACCCACACTCACTAGCTAATCAAAATTTTAAAGCTATCTTCTTAACTCGAAGTTACAAATGAGGTCATAATGTATAAGAACAATTTTTCTTTCTTTACAACCCGGAACAATTTTTGATTCTCAGATGGATCTACTCAATTATTTTTATTTTTCCAAATATCCAAATTCATGTAGAAGAATCCATCTTAATTCTTTAATTTGATATTTTGCCAAGAATTTTCCACATTTGTCCATATTTTTGAATTAAAAAAACTTATACAAGTTAGCCGGATAAATATAAAATTTTAGCTTGATATTTTAAATAAAAAAGGGTAGTAATTAGACTTAAAGGAAAGTTTGTGGAAAGTGGGGATTTCACCTCCCTTTTTAGCGCCGCAAGCGAAAAATCATCAACTCCCAAACGTGAAAATTTTTACATTTTGGCTTAATTTAGTTGTTAACAATAACCTCTTTCGATTAGCATAAAAGTTGTCTTAATCTCAAATCGCTTTTCTGCGCCGCAGGTAATTTCACATCTAGGGACCAGTGAACCCCACATTTACCGACAAACCTTTTGAGCTTAGAACTTAAAATAAATCCTAAATTTAAAAAGTTAGTAGTAGATCAATTGTTTATTAAAAACAAAAAATAAATTAGCAACGTCCAAAATGTTTAAAAGCTTTAGCAGTTGAAGTTAATTCTTTAATATATTCTTCTAATTCTGAACTAGGCAAAAATCTGTTTCGTAAAGCTGGAAAAATCAAAGAACGAAGAGTTCTCTCAACTCTCAAATTTTGTTTTTTAAAAATATTTTGTTGTTCTTCATTTAAATTTTCATAATCTTCTTCGGTCATTGAGGGAAGATGAAAATCAGCAAGAGCAAAAGCAATTTGGGAATAACAACTTTTTTCCTAAATTATTTTTGGTAAATTGGGTAAAGAAAAGAAGAGAGAAGGAATTCCCCGTCCTTGAAATATAATCGGACCCCCGGAAAATTGTAACATATAATGAGGTATCTTAAATAGACGTTATCGTTTAATTTTTTCTATTCCCTTCTAACTCAAACTCACATCTTCATAATTAACATTGGCCAATTTATATAAAAGTAAAGGTAATCCTTCCATTTCAGGCAAATAACCGTTAATAAGGCAAGGAATTGCTGCTAAAACAGCATCTAAAAAATACTTAGAATTTAAGAAAATATTAAATTTAAAACCTTCATTAATTGAATTTAAAATTATTTTAATTGAGAAAAAATCCCAAAGAATTTCTCTATTTTTAACAAGAATTTGACATAAATTGGAAATCTCCTTTTCCTCTTCTTCTAATAAAAGTAATTGGTAAATTGAAAGATTTTTTGTTGAAAAATTTTCTGATTGAATTATTAAATCATAAGCACCCATATTTCCAAAAGAAAAAATAATTAACTAGAAAAAAAATCACCATCCCCATCTCCCCCCTTACCTGATAGAAAAACTGTCGAAGAATTTTTTGATTATTAATTAAATAAACATTATTTTCTGATTGAATAAGAGCATTTTCTGAATCAAAAAATCCAATTAATAAATGTTTTTTAAATAATTCAACTAATTTATTATCTGCTTTTTGACAAATTTCTCTTCTCAAATCAACAAGAAAATTAAAAGAAAATTCTCTTGGAATACAACAATCTACCTTTAAAGATAAATTTTTTTAATGTTATTTTAAAATTTCCTTTATTTCCCCCCACCTCATTATTTGTTTTTTCGCCACCAATATTTTCTTCATTTTCCCTTTCATTTTCATTTATTTCAATTGGATTTATATTTGAACCCCCTTCTTCATTATTCTCTTCTTCAAAAGCAACTTTTTTTAAAAGAGAAAGTCTAACAGAAGAATTTGGACGTAAATTTAAATCTTCATTTGTCAAAACAAATTCATCCAAACTTCGATTTAAAAAATCTACGCGAATTTTCTGAAAATTAAATAAAAACAGAATTTCCACCTTGTATTTTCTACTTCTGTCCTGAATAAGAAAGAACCAAGGATTTTTTTGGTTAAGTCCGGATAAACAAAAATTTCGATTCGAATAACGGTTATTTTATTCTTCTCCTCAGAAAACAGAGAAATACAAAACTTTTCGGCCCTCTAAAATTTTAACCACAATTCCCGTTTTCACCCCAAGAATATATTTATAGATAAATGTTTAATTCAAATTAATTTTTGGGCAAAATTTATTTAAGAAAAATTTACATTTTTTGGTGCAACCTTCGATGAATTTGATTGAACTTTTGAAGAAACATTTAAAAAAGAAGAACTTTTAGAAGAAGGAAGAGAAGAACAATTCAAATTATTTAAATTTTTTCTATTTTCCTCAAAAATAATTTCTTTTTCATTTCCAGCTTTTCTTTTTCGATTATTTTTGTTTTTTTTCTTAGAACAATCTTCTTCTAATTCTTCATTTAAATTATTAATTTGCATTGATTGACGAGATTGAGTTTCATTCAGAAATTTTTCTATTTGCTAGGAAATAAAATTTTAATTAACAACCAGGAACCGTGTATACTTGAGAGGATAAGTGAGAGAGAGGGAGACAAAAAAAATTAGGAACTACCTGAATTATTGGCAGTTCCTTCTCTTAACACGTAGAGATGCTATACCTGAGTTACCTGATCTTTTTTTAAATAAATTTCTGTCCAGTAAACTTCTTAAATGTTAGGGACTCTCTCTCTCCCTTCCCCCATCAATAGATTATTTAAATTAAAAAATATTTTATTTTTTTACCTTTCCAATAAATTCAATAATATCTTTAAAAAATAAATTTTTAAAATAAATATTATTTTCTACTACTCACCATCTTCACATAAAAAATAAACTAATTTCTTTGTAGGGTGTATATTTACATCAACACGCTGAGGATCAATTAATAAAGAAAAACTGGCAAAAGGGCAAAGTAAATCTCTTGAAGTAAAAATTGAATCAAAAGATTTTTGAAGTCTAAAAGATTCTACTGAACGGCCATTCACAAAACTAAAAAATTTTTTTTTAATATTTCGGTGAATAAAAAACGTTGAAATACTGACAAGTAAATAGGTAAAGAAAGGGAAAATCATTTGTTAATAATGTTAACTACAAAATATTAAAGCATGCAGTTTCAATTCCTATAAGGAAAGGACAATTAAAAACTCACAGGTGAAAGATTTTTATTTTGTCCTAAAATTTTTAAAAATATTAGAAAGAAAAAAAAATTTTTAAACTATACATTTCGTGTTTGGACTGCTTTTGAAGTAAAAATAGCCACAGGTGTAGTTAAACAAATTTTGGCAGAGAAGTGTAGAGAAGAATTGTTAAATTCTAAATTTGTCAATCCCTAAAAGTTAAATTTGAAATAATGGAAGATTTAGGTTCCGTCCGCAAATCATTTTATTTACTAGTGACCGGGAGAATAAATCTCCAAGAAACGGATTTGGATCCGGACGTATTTTTCTGGAATAATCAAGTCCGGAAATAATTCAATCATTGGGATTTGAGATCTGGACTTCGGAAAAATTCTGCCTGATCCAATCCGGTGCTGTAAACTTTATTATTTCTATTTATCTTGCAGACAAAATTTGCGGACTTTTAGGAGTATAGTGGAAAAACCCTAAAAACTAACATTAGATGCTTTTTCATGAAGAAGCCTTTTTATTGTGCCATGTTGATCCTAAAAAATATTTTTTTATTAATTAAAAAAAATAAAATCCTTACCCCACCCCCAGATGTTCTAAAATCATAGCCATTTCCATCTAGACGACGATAAGAAAAAGAAATTTTTGGATAATGAATAGAATAACGAATCTAGAAATTTAAAATAAAAAAATTTTTCTTTAAAAACGAAACTAAAATATCAGCAATTTTATTAGCTTCTTCACTCGGTTGCCGAAAAGCTGCTAATCTCGAAGGCATATTTTGAAAAAGTCTTTCAACACAAATTGTTGTTCCTAAAAGACCTGCTGACCGTTCAATTTGTCCAATTAATTTTCCCTCTAAAAAGTTTTGTGAGAAATTTTGAAATAGGAGCCCCCTATTTTATTTCTTCTCTTATTTTCCCTCACAGTATTCGGACTATCCGGGCTCATTTTAGAAAAGACTTCGAAAAAAATTCCAAAAAAAAATTTTCAAAAAAACCTTTAAAACAAGCTTTAGAAGCACAAATTTCATTTGCTGTCCTTGATGTAATAATTAAATTAGAAACCAAAGAAATAGAAGCTAAAGCCTCTCCACGAAAACCAAAAGTTTGAATTTTTTGTAAATCCTCAAATTCACGCAATTTTGAAGTTGTAAAGCGACAACAAGCAATTGACAATTCTTCTCTATTAATTCCGTGCCCATTATCCGAAAAAGAAATATTATTTAAATGAATTAATGGACCGGGGAAGGCCTCGAAAAAAATTTTTTGGGAAGGCAAAGTCACGGGGATAGGTGAAGAAAATCGACAGGGATTCTTATTGTCAGAAAAAGTCGAGTTCTCCAACTTTCAGTACCCAAGTAGAAACCTAATAAAATTTAAAAAATACTTGAATTTTAATTAATTCCAATCCTCCAGCGCGAATCGAAACATTAATTTCTAAAAATTAAATTTTTTAAAATATAAATAAATCACAAAAATAACCTGTAGCCCCTGCATCTAAACTATTTTCAACAAGTTCTTTTACAGCATTCACTGGGCGAATAACAACTTAAAGGAAAAAAAAAGTATTTTTAAAGCTTAAAAATAATTTTTAAGAAGCTTTGAAAAAGTATTTATCAACAGAGCGGAGCCTATTGAATTTAATAATAATCTTCAATTCTTAAATAAAATAAAAAAAACCTTCTCCAGCAGCAATTTTGTCTACAACATTTTGTGAGAGTTGAATAATTCTGGGAATTGTTGAGGACATAAAAAATTATTTTAAAAAAATGTCAAGATTTTTAAAATAGAAAAATTTTAATTCAAAAAAATAAAATTAAGAAAATAGAATGATTCAATAAACAAAATAGAAATAACAAAGAAAATCCAAATACTTTAATTTAAATAAATATTTAAATAAAATTAATTCCTAAAAATAAATATTTTTTTAAATAAATATTCTAATTCTTCTTATCAAAAAAATTATTTTTTAATTCAAATATCATAAAGCAAAGCCTTCTTTACAGTTTCAGACTTCTCCAAATCAGTCAACATTTCAACCAATTTTAGACTAAAAAGAAAAGCAGTTCCAGGTCCACGGCTTGTAACAACATTCTTCCAAACACAAACTTTGTCCTCAGAATAATTATAACCTCCAGCAATTATTTTTTCTTTAACTGCCGGATAAGAAGTTAAAGTCCCCCCTCCTTCTTTTTTGGCAATTCCATGACTGACTAAAGCTATTGGGGCAGCACAAATTGCAGCAACAATTTTACCTCCTTTTTCGTGACGTTGAAGAAGTTTGCCAACACGTTCATCCTTAAAATATTTTATTTTAAAAGCCTCGAATACTTCCAATATTATATATAAAACTACGTTTTTAAAATTTTGGTTATCCTAGGCAGTATCTCAAATTTAACATTCACCTTATTTCGTAATCCCCCCAATTTTATAGTGAGGTCTGACTGTTATAATTTTTATTGCAAGTAATACTTTATCCAAACTCTATTTGTGGAATGAAAAACAAATCCCCAATTCTGTTTATTGTAGTGATTCTGTACCGTAATATAGATACGGAATACAGATAAACATCGAAAAATACCGTCCGATCATTAGTTAAGATAAAATTCAAGCCTACTTTTGCAAGATTGTCCGATCCAGGCTGGCCTATGAAAAAATTTTTTTCAAATTTTCTAAAAATATTTAAAAACCTCCAGGCAAAATGACAGCATCAAATTCTTTTTCTGCCACATCCTTAAATAAAGCATCAACTTGAAGTATTGCTTTACGAGCTAGAGTGATGTGTTTCTCGTCTTGTAAACCAGCAATAGTCACATCAATTCCTTAAACAGCAAAATTTTTAGAAATACGAGAGGAAAAGTTAAAATAAGAGTTTGAAAGTTTTTCTCATTTCCAAGTTCCCGCACCCCACCCACTTCTTTTTTTAGTTGCCCCAAAATTTTAAAAAAATCAAAAACAAACCAGCTCTACGTAAAACATCACTAGTCACAATTAATTCAATATCTTCAGATCCATCAGATCCAATAATTAGAGCAGTTTTAGTCATTATAGAAGAAAACGATCTAAAAAATAATTTAGAACAGGGCTCGGATTCGTACTTTATTTGAAAGTACAATACTTTAAAATCGACCTCCGTACTTACGAAATTGAATTTGTACTTTATTGAAAGTATGTACTTTAAAATCAACATTCTGGATTAAAAATGAAATTGGGGAAGGGATTGGGCAAAAAAAATGAATTTTTTTGGCCTACGGCCTTCGAAATTCTCAAAATTTTAGCCTGCGGCACTGAAAAAGGAAGATATCTGGCTTCTTGGGCTCCAAATTGCAAAAAATTTTCGACTGCGGCGCTAAAAAAGTGAAATTTTTTGACTACGGCCTTCCAAAATTCTAAAAATTTTTGCCTGCGGCGCTAAAAATGAAAGAAATCTGTCTTAAGAACCCCGAAATTTTCCAAAATTTTCGCCTGCGGCGCTGAAAATGGACGAAAGAAAGTAGCTTGCTTGAGGTTAAGACTGTCAGGGATTTATTTCGTCTGTAAGCGAATTTTGACATGTCATGCATTGAAATGCACAAAATGCTCAGTGGAAACAAGAAATTATTAGAAAAGATTCATTTAGGAGAGAAATATAAAAGATTTGAGCACGATTAAATATTTTCTAATTTAATTTTGAGCGTACTTTAATTTTGGAAATTTTGTCACTATGTACTTTAAAATCATGATTTTTGTACTTTTGATTAGCATTTTGTCGATCCGAGCCCTGATTTAGAACAACAAAGAAAATTCATTTGCTAAAAAATATTTAAAGAAAAATTTTTAAACTTAAAGAAAATATTTTTACAAATTTTTTATTAATTTATTTCGATGATTTTTAACAACAAAAATAATTAAATATTTAAAAAATAAATAATTTTTGTCCTTTTAAATAGTAGGTAAATTTTAAATATCGTCTCTCTTTGATTTTCCCTGGTAAGAGGTGAAATTATATAAAAATAAAGACAAGATCAAAAAAAATTAAATTTTTAGTATATAGACAGTTCAAAAAAAAGGAATTGAAAGAATGAAGAGAAAAAAAAACAAAACAAAAAAACCGAAAGCAAAACAAATATTAAAAGAATAATAATTAAAACACCAACAAAATAAGATAAAACTATTCTAGTTAATTAGCCTGATTGAGGATGTAAAGGTACTGAAATGCTTATACTTTGGACTGGAAATGGAATAGAAACCTGCGATATGTTACAAACCTTTTTATTTTGGGATAATTGTGTCGGCATTTTGGAATAAGTAAAAATAATCTATCGATAAATGTTGGCAAAGTCGGCCTAGTCTTGGGTACACTTGTTCCTAACAACAATTATTTAAATATCCTGTCTTATGTTCCAATCATTGAAAGAGAAAATTTCAAAAATATTACTATACTTAAGTAGAGGGAATTTAATTCAACCATTCCGTTGAAAGTTCGGAACTAAAAAACTAGAATATATTTTACCTCTTTTAAAATTTTTTTGTCTTATTAAAATAGCATCACAACTTCCATTTTTGATAAAAGAATAAAATTTTCTCATTTCTTCTTCTCACCAACTTTTTGTTTATTGTTGTTAGATTGTTCAGTTTTTGTGTTTATTGCTGTTAATGGTCGAATAGTTCCCTTTTTGTTGGATTTTGTCTTAAAAATAAAATTAAAAAAATTAAAAAAACCCAACCTTTTTACTAACAAATTTCTTTCCTTTAATTTGTCTGTCTTTATATTTAATTGATGGACGATTTGGTGGATCAACAACTTTATATATACGAACTAGCCAATTCTCTGTAGTGTAGGCCTCTTCCAATTTTTCTAATGTAAAATCTTTTCTTCCAATTGGATAACCTCTTGTCCGGTCAAAACCTGGAGGTTGATTGTAGCCAATCTTAATAAAAAATTAAAAAATTTAAATCGAATCTCATGTCAGTAAAAGATAAAAGTCTTGGAACAGTAAAAATCCTATCTTATCATGAGGTGTATCATAAATTGGGGTATTGTTTAGGCATTTTCACTCGCCACAACAAAATTTAAAAACGTATCTCAAATGAGGTAAATCTAATTCTAAGGGGATCTTATAGCGAAGTTTGGCCATAGAAAAATAAAAAAAATACTCTTAATTCGCCAAATCGATAATAAGACATTTTATACATAATCGAATCCAGCATTGTTCTAGATGCTTGTGCTCCAACACTGTACTCTCCTGATTCGGTAAAATAGTCACCTTCACGTATCTTAATAAAAAGAATATTTTAAATAAAAATAAAAATAACTTACAACTTTTGGGTGTTCACCTTCAGCAATTCGAACCATCCACAAAAATTTGTTTATATCATCACCACTGTAACCAATCACCCCACCAAAGATTACTAAAAATGGAAAGTAAGAAAGCTCCGTTTAAGAAATAAGCCCCAAAAATAACACAAAGTAACATTTTTCGAAAAAAAACATCAAATTATCCTCAAAATTAAATAAAAATACAAACCTAAAACATAATTAACATCTAAATCCCTCATAATTTCATAAGCAAAAGATTCATTGCTTGACATAGCCATTCCAACCAAAGCAATATGTGAATTATTCCAAGTATTATTATCAACAAGAGTTGTTCTATTTGCCATTCCAGCAATCTGATAACCATAATCCCACCATGACATTATTCTAGCATCATCTGGAGTATTCTTTCTAAGCCAATAATAAGCTTCTCGAAAGTCGTCCATAATTATACGTCCACTGAAATTTAAAAAATTAAAAAAAAATAATAAAAAATAAAACCCGTCGCTTGTATGAGATTGAAGAACAACGCTTGGATGTGAATATGCATTGCTAGTTACATAAGTACAATGTGCAACATACATTAGCAGAATGAATAGCATAGCTACGAGAACGATGGATCTAAAAAAAGAGTAAAAAGTAGAATTCCGACAAATTTTGTTGAATTGTCATCTTTATACTATAATCAGAATATTTATTTGATTCATGAAATTTCGACGGTAAGTTGTGCTCGCGGTAAGTTGGGCTGCCCTTAATCAAAATTCTAATTTTTTAGAAACCTCGTATTCATTCCGATATGATCAGTAACATCAGAAGCACCAATTGCTGGACTAAATGAAGCTGCAGCTGTTTGAGCAGCTTTTTGTTGCTTTCCAATTTTAGCTGTTGCTTTATCATAAAGTCGTCTATCTAAAAAACCTTGTATAAATTTAGAAATAAATTTTTGCAGGAAATTTTAGAGTAGAGAACAAAGCCAACTAATAACTCAACGACAAAATTAAAAATAAGCTAACCTCCCATCCCATCTTTCAAATCCTTTCCTTCACCAGCTTTCTTCTGTTCAACATCTTCAAGCATATATTTTTCAAAAATACAAGAGAAAGCTATGCCAGAAAGGACACAAACAACAGGAGTTAGAGTAAGCATTAACCTGACCATTACACCAGCAAAATAAACGGCAGTAACAGCATAAAGAATAACTTAAAAATTAATATAATGTAAATAAATAAAATTAAAAATAAACCAAAAAGACGTTCACTATTAACATTTTTAACACAAAACCAGAGTCCAGCAGGAAAGACAGCAGCGGTAATATGCAAATCAAAAAAGAAAGAGACCCAAGTTCTAAAAATTATTTAATGTAATTTTAATTTAAAATAGCGATAGAGCTGGGCCTGGGCCAAGACATAAGTATTTCTGAGTTTACAGGGTTTATCCTGGTCACGTAGCCCATGATCCGGGACAGGTCAGTGTTTGAGAATTAATCCAGGTATTCCACGTGGAAGAATAACTCACAATCAGACATATTTATAATATTAATTCTCACGTAGGTTGATGTTCGCTAACACTAGCAATTATAGGAATGTGTATTTTGGCATAACCGGTGTCCCAAAGTGAATAAAAACGACCCGTCCAAGGAGCAACATAACCTTAAAAAAATAAAATTTCATTATTTTTCTCAAAAGATTTTCAAATAACCAGCATATGTTAAAAGCATTAAAATCAAAATTCCAATAGAAAAAGTAAAAAGAATAACACCGGCAAATAAAGCAAAAAATTGTTTTTGAGTTAAACGTCCTTGGACAAATTTCAAAGCACCAACCAACTGAAAAAAATTTTTTTAATAAAGAAGAAAAACAAACCTGTAATAAACCAAAAATTCCAAAAGCAGCCATATGTTCACTAGTCTTAACTGGCTGGAAGCCGACAAAAGGTACTTGCATTGCCATAAGTTGGCCAAGAATATAAAAAGTTGTGTAAGCAATGTAAATCTAAAAATTAGTTTATTTGGTTAATAAAAATGTGAAAGGTATATTAAAAATAAGAGAATAAGAAGGACTTTAACGGAAATTAGGGGTGAAAGGAAAAGACGCGTATGAAAACTAAATAACCCTAGACAGGGGCAAGATGATCAAAAAATGAGAATTCACTTTCAGAATTTTAGAGGATTCATTTTTTGATCATTCTCGTCCAAGGTTTTCCTGATTTGGGGAGGAAAAGTTGATATTTTTAAAAAATATAAAAACCAAATAAATGTAAATAACTTTAGATATATGTATTTTTAAAGCAAAGCTATACCTTGTTTGTGTAATTTCCACTAATAACCAAAACAAGAACATGAAGAGGAATTAAATTAATACTTAAAAAAGAATATTTATTAAGAAATTTAGAACAAACAAATTACATAAAAACATAACCGCCCCACGCTGAAACCATGTAAAAATAAGACAAAGCAGTGAGAACCGCCCAAAAAACAGATCCAGTCTTGACAGAACGAACCCAGAGAAAATAAGTGAATTGAAGAGCAAAAATAGCAATTCCTTCATTGTCATAAGAACCAGCAACAGAACGACTGAAAAAAATCCCGGAAAATATTTTCAAAAAAAAACCTTGTATATCCAGGAGAAATTGCAATAAAACAAGCAGCAAAAAGTCCAGCTCCTGTTGACCAAAGTTCTTTTGTTAAAAGATAAGTAGCAATTGCAGTAAGACCGCTAAATAAAATTTTAATTCTAAAAAGAAATTCTTTCACTTACCTAAATGTTGGGGCAAGGAAAACACAAATATCTCGTATATGGACAGGTATATTCAAACAAGAAAGTAAATAGTGAATATATCCACTTGTTAACATCAATCCAGGATAAATAGTTCCACCAACGATACGTCCAAGTGGATACCAAGCTCTTTCTAAAAATTAATTTGTAAATCTGGTATTTCCAAAATATCTTTGGATGGCTAATGAGGGGTGGAGAGCTGCTCAAGAGATACTTTCTATTTAAAATAGGTAACATTTAGAGTTGTTCACGACGGATTAATTTTCGCCTGTGGCGATTCAAATGAAGAATTTTAGGGATATTTGAACCGCCACTGGAGAAAATTAACCGGTCATGAATAACAATCAAGAAAACACTTTTAGCTCCATCAGTCTCTACATCCTCATTTAAATAAATCAAACAAACCATCAAACCAATTCAAAAAATTATAAAATCCGTTCTCCACCATATATTGAGTTGAACGGTAATTAAACCTAGAAAATTTAAAAAAAATTAAAAAAAAACCTTTAAAATTAACCAAGGATCGAATTCATGAATTATCGATTCAAACCGAACAATGGCAAAAAGTCTAGAAGCAAAACCAACTAGCCAAGCCAATCCAAGTATCACAAAAACTAAAAGAGTAGGAAACCCGCCTTCTAAAGAACGAATTTGTGTTGAAGAAGGTTGAGGTTGTTTGGATTTTTCTTTTTCCTTTGAAGCTGACAAAGTTGATGAATCTCCCATTAAAAATTATTTCCTTTTAAAAAGATTTAAATTATAAAGAAAATATGGGGGCTTATAATTAAAAAATAATAAGCTAAATATTAAGCTTTTAATTGGTTAAACGACAGTTTATTAGCCATTTATAATTGATAGTATCAACTGTTTGCTCAACATAATTTCCATCAAAAACAACCCATAAAAACGTTTTTTGTAAATCCGTAAAATGGGACACGCCCAAAAAGGCGCAGACCGTAAAGGCACTTGGCCAAAACGGCGCAAACTCATAATTTCGAAAAGTAATATGTAGAGTGATCAAGCGAGTGATCAATCAAGTGAGAGTGATAAATTGATCACTAGTCTCTCTCATTAAAAATTATTTCCTTAAAAAGATATACATACATAAAACCTATTTCTGATCGATGTGACCTTGGTGTCCGACAGGGCTGTGCGTAGTGAACGACATATCTACGTTTTCGTCGATTCGCGGCGAATAACTACTTTTATTCGCGAACGACTATTTTTTAATACAAAACGCCAGAACTACGTTAATATGGGTACAGCCCGAAATGTCGCGGGCCAAAATGTCGCGGCCGAAATGTCGCGACCGAAATGTCGCGGGCCAAAATGTCGCGAGGCCGAAATGTCGCCGGCCGAATTGTCGCCAAGCTTTTTAATTAAATATTCTGTAAAATAATTACAAAACAAGGATATAGTTTTCAACTTAAACCTATGGAGCGTCGGCGAGGCGCTTGTGCAAAACTCCGCGCTTCGCGCAGAGTTTTGCGGCACGCGCCTCGCGGGGAGTCTACGGTCGCTGGGTTCTGGGCTCGTAACTTAATCCTATTCCTTTTTACCGATTCTCAGCCTTGAATGCCGACCTACCCTCCGTAGCAACACCAAAACAGGTATTGAAGCGAAAAGGTGAACAAGGAAAAGGCGAAAATATGAAGAAAAGCTTGGCGACAATTCGGCCGGCGACATTTCGGCCTCGCGACATTTTGGCCCGCGACATTTCGGTCGCGACATTTCGGCCGCGACATTTTGGCCCGCGACATTTCGGGCGTGTCCCGTTAATATCGATGTTTTGCGCCAAACGATTGCGAATCGACTTTTTTGTGTCTCTTTTTCTCTGCTCTGTCATTATATTTCCTTTCTCTTTTTCTATTAATTTTCTATGTCGTCGTGTCCGGACAAAATATCGAATCGTTAAAATATGGAATAGGCTAAAAAAGGGTTAAAATCTCGAATCGGGTAAAAAGGGGTTAAAATCGCGAATAGGCTAAAAAGGGGTTAAAAGATGGAATCGTTAAAATATGGAATGGTTAAAATATCGAATAGGCTAAAAAAGGGTTAAAATATGGAATCGTTAAAATATGGAATGGTAAAAATGTCGACACGGCCAAAATTGGTCAAAATGTCGAATTTTTTAAAAATGGCGCCAAAACTAGAATCCGGACGGTACCGTAATACCGATGGTATTTTTCGGTATTCCGTGTCGGTTGTACGGTACGGAATGCCTTCCGATAAAATTTAAAAGCTGATCGGTGTTTTTCGGTATTCCATACCGTATACGGTAAGGTCAAACTTTAGGTCTTAACTAAAAACTAATGCACACCACTATAATTTTTCCATATCAGGATCGCGTTATGTTTTCCGGATCCGTACGATCATGCCGGACCGGATCCGGTGTCGATTATGCTTAATTTATCCGGTCCGGTTTTACTCCGTAAAATACACTGAACTCGGGCAGAAAAGATTGCGCCGGACTACGACATAAGAGACTTATCAATCAACTTATCATCAATAAGTTGATAAGTTGATAAAATTATCAATAATCAATGTATGGCACTCATCTGACCCTTTTTTAAAAGAATTCGACATTTTGACCGATTTTGGCCGTGTCGACATTTTTACCATTCCATATTTTAACGATTCCATATTTTAACCCTTTTTTACCCGATTCGATATTTTAACGTTTCCATATTTTAACGATTCGGTATTTTAACCCCTTTTTAGCCTTTTCGCGATTTTAACCATTCCATATTTTAACGATTCCATATTTTGTACCGGAGCCTATGTCGTTGTCTCTCCATTGGAATTCTCTCCATTGGACTTTCCTCTTAACATTTCTCGTGAAATGCTCCAACAATCCAAAATTCTTAAAGTGATCCGAAAGAATTTGGTCAAGAAGTGTATCGAACTTTTTGATGAAATTGCTGAAGACAAGGACAACTTTAAGAAATTTTATGAACAATTCAGCAAGAATCTTAAGGTTTTTTTAAATGTTTTTTTTAAAATTATTTGTTCTTTAGTTGGGTATTCACGAAGATTCTGTCAACCGTAAAAAGCTTGCCGAATATCTCCGTTACAACACTTCCTCTTCTGGCGATGAACTTGTTAGCTTGAAGGATTATGTTGGACGAATGAAGGAGAATCAGACTTGCATTTATTATATTACTGGCGAGTCTAAAGAAGTTGTTCAAAACTCAGCTTTTGTTGAACGTGTTAAGAAGCGAGGTTTTGAAGTTATTTATATGGTTGATCCAATTGATGAATATTGCATTCAACAATTGAAAGAATTTGATGGAAAGAAGTTGGTTAGCGTGACTAAAGAAGGTTTGGAGTTGCCAGAAAGTGAAGAGGAAAAGAAGAAGTTTGAAGAAGATAAAGTTAAATTTGAGAAACTTTGCAAAGTTATTAAGGTATTTAAGATTTTGTTTAAAGAATTTTGGAATATTTGTTTTATTCTTAGTGTTAGGATATTTTGGACAAAAAAGTTCAGAAAGTGTCTGTTTCAAATCGATCGACTCCGACCAAGATGACAAAACTGCCAAAGATTTGGTTGTTTTGCTCTATGAGACAGCTTTGTTGACTTCTGGCTTCTCTCTTGAAGATCCACAACAACACGCTTCACGTATTTACCGAATGGTAAAACTTGGATTGGATATTACTGAAGAGGACTTGGAAGGAGGAGAGCAACAACCCTGCACTTCTGGGGAACCTGTCGAAAAGATTGCCGGTGCAGAGGAGGACGCTTCGCGTATGGAGGAAGTTGATTAAATTAATGTAAAAGGTTTTGATGGATTGATCTCCTCGTTGACTTTGTTTTTCTTTAAATTTATTTTGTTTTGTCGTCCTTATAATTATTTACTTTGTTTTTGAATCACGGATACATAAATTAATTTCACAAAAAAGTTTGTCTTGATTTTTAATTTGAGATGTGTTTTAGGGGAGGTGGGGAAACAAACGGCAGGATCAAGGTAAGCAGCACATCTGATGATGGAAAGACTTTCCGGATTTTCAATGAAAATTTCACTCATTTTCCTGTTAAAGGCTTTCAATCCACTTTTGGCTAAAGCTGCTCTGACTAAATCATCTCCTCTTACTTCTCCTCTCGATCTAGTAAGAATATATGTGGAAAAATCCCTAAAAATTACAGAAAAGGGACTGAACATTTATAAAAATGGAAAATTGCAAATTCCAAAGGAGAGACTACACGAACGAAAATTAATAGAAAAAGAGAAAGGAAATATAATGTGAAATTAGAGAAAAAGAGACACAAAAAAGTCGATTCGCAATCGTTTGGCGCAAAACATCGATATTTACGTAGTTCTGGCGTTGTGTGTTTAAAAAAAAGTCGTTCGCGAATAATTGTAGATTTTTTTAAAACGACTTTTTTTCCTTAAGAAAAAGTCGATATGTCGTTCACTAGCTGTGCGTCATGGCGTTTGGCGTTTTGGCGTTGATTTTGGCCGATTTTTGGCGTTTTGCGTTTGGCGTGTTTTTAAAATTTGAAAAATTGGCGTTTGGCGCGCCACGCGAAAATTTTGGCGCACAGCCCAGGTGTCCGATCAAGAACCACCTAAAAACTGATCATTCGATAGAATAATCAAATTTTGTAATAAGGCCTTGCCGCAATCGGGAATAGGGTTGGTCCTCGAAAAGTCGGGGAATTCGATCTCCTCCGCACGGCAAAAATTTTTTTCAGCGGAGATTTTGTGGAAGGGGTAAAAACAAATGGTCATAATATTGTCAATAACCACCGGTACACTAAACTATACAGCGCGCTTATTTTAGGGGAGAGGAGTTTATGTATTTTAGAGGGGTATTAGTAGAAATAAAAATTAAGAGATTTGTAGGATATTGGGAGAATTGTGGGATATCATTGATTTGAATGGATATCGTCGAGTGGACTTGATGGATTAAGGTTGTGTAAGGTGAATAACGTTGAGATTAGGAGATTTGAACGGATATCAAGGATATCGTAGAATTAAGGACAATATTATCGTCATATCCTAGGATTTGGACGGGTATTGGAGATATCCACCATATCCCTCTTGAGGGGTACTTTTGATTCTTCTAAATCGATTTATCCACTTAATCTGGTAATTTGACCAATAGGGACTTGTGACCTTCTGGGTCATTTGACCTCCTTCCATCAAAATAAAAAATATTAATCTTAAAACTTTTTCTCATTTATTCGTTCATTTTCTTCCCCCAAAAAATCATTTCAATTTATTCTTTTGTTCTATTTAATCTTTTCACTATTATTTAGCTTTTTCTAGTTAATCAATTTTTTCACTATTAAAAAGGAACGGATGAAAGAAAATACCTCCCCTTTTCCAGCCCTTTCTTCTTTCAGAACGGCTGCCCTTCTTCGATTTCCTCTCTTCTTTTTTTATTCTTCACCCTTCCAAAATTCGCTGACTGAACATTTATTACGTGTATTTTTATTTTCTTTTGCTTTTTTTACTCAATGTTCTCTTCAAAATATCCTTCAATATATCCCTCTCTCAGTTCCTCTCTTTAACATACATAGCTTTAATAAGTTATTTTCTAAACGTAGAGAAAAAGATTAGAGGGGTCAAGCTAGTGAGAGACTTGAAGAGAGACAGACATGGAATAACGAGAGAATGAGTTAGTGAATTTTTAAAACCCGACAAAATGGCAAAGGATATTTTGGATTTCTTTTGTAAATTTCACTCTTTCTTGGCCTTGAAATTTTTTATTTGTTATACAAAAATTGGACTCAGGTCTGGAACTCAAAACTTTGGATTCAAAATTCTTTTAGAGCTGTAAGGGCAGAAAAATAGAGTATTACCATTTTGTCGGTTGGGGGTTTTGCCGGCATTTGCAAATCTTTCCAGACTAAAAACTACATAGAACAGAGGCTGGCAATAATAACAAAGTTAGAGAAAAGAGAGAATTATAGAGAATTTAAAAATGCTGACAGTTAAAGAAAAGAAAAAGGGTGTGATGGTGGTCGTTGTTGGGTGCATGCCGTTTTTGTCTTTTCATCGAGCCAGTCGTGCCGCGTTTTTTTCTTAACTCTTTTTTTACTTTTATTAGTTGGCAACGCTCTATTTCCCCATCGGTTTTTTAACTTTTTCCCTTTTTATACTTCTCACAAGCTGATTTCCAAAAAGTTGAAGTGAAAATGAGGACTGCTGCTGCTATTCCCCCCCCCCCTTTCTTTTAAAATTAACTAAAAATACAAACACAAACACAAAACAATACATAGAGTGAAATAGTTTTTTTTTAATCCTCTAGAAAATAAAATTCATTTTTGCAGAATTCTGAAAATTACAAAATTTATTTACTAAAATTTATTTATTTTTGAGGATATTTTTTTTTGGTTACTCTTATAAAAACTTACAAATTTTTATTAATGGAATTAATATTATTTTTAATTCTGAAATTTAATTCTAATTCTTTTTCTGATTTTTATTCCAATTTCAATTCTGATTTTAATAACGTTCTGATTTTTAATTTTGAGATTTAATTCTGATTTAATTCTTATTTTAATTCGATTCTGTTTTGATTTTTTGAGTCTAATTTTGTTCTGATTTCAATACTATTAATTTTTAATTCTACTTTTATTCTGATTTTCTATGAATTTTTTTCATTTTATTTGTTTTTCATTTGTACTTACTGTTTTCTGTTTCTTTAATTAAAACAAAAACAAGAGAGAATATATGCTGATCTTTACCTAATTCTCTAACATTATTTTGTTATCTTTAATTACTTCAAATTCCCAATTTATTTTTTACAATTCTTATCATTTTATTAATTTTTATTTTCTCTTATTTTCACAATTTATTGACTATTTTTGATTGATTAGAAAAAAAAGTGGACGAGACTTGATAAAAATATAAATAAATAAAAATAATTACAAAAACGTTGCTATGCGTGGAATAAACATTTCCTTCTCTCTCTCCCTTCTCTCCCTTCTCTCTAAAAACAACAACAAACAACCAAAATCATATATTCATTAATTATTTTTTTTAACAAAATTTTTGTCTATCATTTTTAGTAGCATTTACTATAAGAAAGGATATATTAATTTAATAAAACAAAAAAATTAGTCAAAGCCTCCTTTATTCATTTAAAATATCATCAACTATTTTTTTACGTTTCCAAGTTGTTGATCTTTCCGAGAGTGAGTGAAGGACTTTGGCAAATGATATTTTTCTGATTTTTACTTTGGATTTTCCAGTTGCTTTTTTGGGGGTTTTAAATACAGTCTAAAAGGTTGTCTTTCAACATTAAACTCGGAGGTTTGGTTTAGACTTTACAGAAGGAACCAAAAAATTTTAGTTGAAGGGTTGTCAACTGATTAGTATTTTTTATTAGTGAATTGTCTTGCTTGTTTCAATCCAGAATGAGCCACGTTTTCCTGGGAGAATTGAAGCAAGCCTTTGATTTATTTAGTAGTTAAAGAAAATTACTGATCAGTAAAGGCTTCGAATTTCAGCATTCACAAAAACTTTCTGAATTTTTCAACGTTGATTAACTTTTTTTCTCATTTTTATGAAACCGAGCAGCTGTCTAATCCTCCTCCTCTCTCCTTTGCCTTTTCGAAATTATTTTCGGCCCTCGGCTGGCCAACTATATATTTTTTAAAGCCTTCGCGCACGAGAGAAGAGAAAGGGGGGGGGGGGGGAGATAGGAAGGAGAGTTTTGTCAGCCCCCAGACCATTCACATAAATCGTCAATCGATCGTTTTAACGTCGTTGTTCCCCCCAAACTCTCTATCTCCCCATCTTTTTTTACTTTCCATCCCTTCAATCCCCTCAAATCGGCAAGAAATTACCTTTTCCTTTTCCCTTCTGCGCAATCAACAACAACAAAACAATTCTTATTAGGTTCCGTTCCATGCGCGCCTAAACCTTTTTAAATAAAAAAAATTTGAAAGATCGTATAACAATAAACCGGTATTCCTTCAATGCCGAAGCCTTCTTCCCTCTGTCCTTCAAAAAATGTCCCCAACTCTCGACTGCCAATTTTTTAATCTCTTATTTATTTCCCTTTAAAAACTTTGAATTTTTAACTCTTTATTTCCTTATTTATTTATCCTTTTTGCATATTATAGTCAAACTGTAAAATAATACTGTATATTAGAGATCGAGCTTGGGAATGATCTGGGGGATTCTTGAAGTTGCTCAGTATCCACCCAAGATTAGAGCCCATTTAAATCAATCCAGGCCTGAAAATCCTTAATTTCATTCCCTAATTTTCCTCAAAATGTACATAATGGTCAAACTTTTTTCACTTTCACTCTGGTAATAGAAGAGTAGAAATTTGACGCTTAAAATAAGAAACAAGAAAAGCTTTACGTTTTTGGGGAGGTCTAACCATGATGCACCTTTTTGGGAAAGAAAAAGGTGGGAATACTCCATGTTTTTTAATCTCGACCTCTCTTTTTTTAGCCTCGATCTCTTTAAAACTCGATGGAAGTCCATCTCTTCATTTTCTATTAATAAATTAATTGTAGTCGATTCTCATTATTGAACTTCTCGAAATCACGAACCATCTTACTTATCAAAATTTCTCAAAAATCTCTTTTGATTTAACCAACTCTTTCTTTCTTGATTATAATCTAAATTTTAAATTTTCTGTTTAATTTTTCAGAGTTTCACCGCTTCCCATCACCACCACCACCACCACATCACCATCAGTTTCCGCTTCTTTCCCTACTCTGTCCGTCCGGCCTAGAGCTGTTTTTAGAGTAGAGAGTATAAACAATTAATAGAATGAAAACGTTGTGTTATTAAATTAATTATTAAAAATTTAAAAAAAAATTAATTTTTTATTAAAAAATATTTTTCTTCCTTTCCTTTCTTCTTCTTCTTCCCTTTTCTTCCTTCAATAACCTGCAATTAAAAGAAGTTTTTGAATAAAAACAACAACGAGAAAAGAAAAAAGAAGAAAATTTAAGCTTTAAAGGTAGCAACTTATGGGAGAGCCTGAGAAAGAAGATGGAGTTGTTCAATTGAAAATTGAAGAAGGTGAGAAAGAAAAAGAAGAAAAACAAGGAAAAGAAAATGGTGGAGGAGGGGGAGGGGGAAGTAGTAGTCATCAACAACAAAAACAAAAATTAATAACAACTGCTGGGGGTTCTTCTGCTTGTTCTGCTGCTTTAACAGAAGATGCTGAATCACAAGCAACAACTACAAATTTGGATGAAAGTGTGGATGGGGAAATTGGTGGGGGAAATAATGAACCTGGGTAAGGAAGGAAGGAAGGAATTGGGGGGTTTTTTAATTAGAAATTATTTTAAGAAAAATGTTTGTTGGTGGGCTTAGTTGGCAAACTACTGCAGGTTTGGAAAAAGAAATTTTTTGTTTTATGGGAGATAGGGGGAAGGAATTAAAAAGAATTTTTCTTTTATAGAAGGTCTTCGAGATTATTTTTGCAAATTTGGAGAAGTTAACGAATGTATGGTTATGCGAGATCCAACCACCAAACGTGCTAGAGGCTTTGGATTTATTACTTTTGTAGACCCAATTTCTGTAGAAAAAGTGTTATCAGTCGAAATACACGAATTAGATGGAAAACGAATAGACCCTAAAATAGCTTTCCCTAAAAAACAACAACCAAAATTAGTTGTAAAAACAAAAAAAGTTTTTATTGGTGGATTGTCTTCTAATTCTACTGTAATTATTTTTAATAATTTTGAGATACTCCCAATACTAGACACACTTCTATTCAAGATAAGGGTTTGTAAAATTTGGGTGGGGGATTCGCTTAAGCGACACCCTCTAAGTAATATACACCTCATTATAAGGGACGATTTTTTAGCCATTAGTGTTTTGGGGAGGGTTATTAAAATAATTATTTTTTAAAATTAAACAGATAGAGGATCTTAAACAATATTTTTCACAATACGGGAATATTGAAGATGCAATGTTAATGTTTGATAAAACTACTCAACGGCACAGAGGTGTTGTTTTTTGATATAACTAATTTTTTTGGAGGGGGAGGGGAGGTACCTTGCAGGTATATTTCTCAAGTACGAGGCCAAAAATAAGGCTTGCACGAGTACGAGCAAATTTCAAAATTCCAAACACTGTTTTGTTCTATTCCATTAAAACAAGCTTTTAATTCTCAAATTTATTTCTTTTAAATTTCAAAGGTTTTGGTTTTATTACATTTGATGATGATGAAGTTAGTGACAAAGTTTGCGAAATACATTTTCATGAAATTAATGGAAAGATGGTTGAATGCAAAAAGGTATTTGGAGTTGGTTATTTTTTTAAGAAATTTTGAGGCGGTTGAAGTTCCCTCCCTCTTTTTCTCTAAAATTTACCCCTTGGGTCAGACAAAGGACTTTGAAGAGCCCACCTCTAACCTTTATCATTATGCGCTAAGGAATAGTTGACAGTTTAGAATTTTTAGGGACCAAAATTATTTTAATAAAAAAATAATTTTTTTTTCAAAAGGCCCAACCAAAAGAAGTCATGTTACCCCTCCAACTAAATAAAACCCGTGCTGCAGGTTTAATTTAAAAATAAATTTAAATTACGAACTAACACGAAGGAAAAAAATTATAAGAGAGGAAAGATAAAGAGATTTAGATAAAAATAGTGTCTTACAAAATTACATTTTAAATCTTTCCCTGTTTTCCTCCCTTTTGTTAGTATTTTTCCTTCCGGAAGGCTTAAATTAAAACCCCTGTTACAAAAATTAAACTTTAAATTATTTAAATATTAGCAGCTCGTAATCTCTATGGATTAGCACCAGAACAATTGCTAGCTTATGCTTCTTTTATTCCTCGACTGCCTGCTTACGGCCCTCCTCCAGCTCCCCCCTCTCACCACCACCACAATCACGCAATGACAGCAGCGTTAACTGCAGCGGCAGCAGCAGGTTAGTTTATAAATAAACCTTTTATCACTTTATAAAATAACCAAATCCTTAAAATATTACATAATTTAAATGATTCTTAAACCCATGCCAACATTTCCCATCTTTCTATCAGGAGTTGAATTGCCATTTTGTGATATTGGAGAACCTGAGTTTAAAAAGTACAAATAAAAAAATTAAAATATTAAAGATACTTTTTCGTGTAAATTGACTCTGTACTCAACAACGCGAAGAATATTGTTATATTCGGGGCTTTTGTTGAATAATTTTTTAAAACGGCGCAATGCTGGTGGATCAAAATCTCTTTTAACGCAGGTGTATATGGACATCACCATCACCACCCTCAACATGGAAATGGAGGAGTTTCTTGTGCTGATTTACCCCAAGGCGTAGATTTGTTAAGAATTGGTCCAGCAGCAACGGGTATTCAATTTCATGGGAATGGGTTTGCCCATCAACAACAACACCATCCCCAACAACAAGTTACTAGCCATTTTGCTTTGGGAGGATCTGGAGGGAATAATAATACTGGAAATAGAGGAGGACAGCTAGGAGGAAATAATGCTGGTGGGGGACCTATTAATCCGAGAGATTTGGCTGCTGCACAGTTGGTTGCACAACAACAGGCTGTATATGAAGCTGCGATGGTAGGGGAAAATTTTTTTAATGTGGAGAGGTTTTGGTAAATGGTTTAAAGAATGTATTTTGAATACTTCGAGAAGGGCACTTATGGCTTGACTTGATATTGTTCCACCTCAAAACCGTCAACCTTATTTTTGGGTTATCTTTCGGAACCGACCTAAACCGAAAACCATTCAACCGAAAGCAGACTATTTCGTTTCTCTAAGGAAAACTAAAAATTTAAACTACTACAGACTCCCTTTTTTTTAAAATTTTCTTAGGTTTATGCCAACCAATTAAATTCTTTGGCTGCTTCCGCCGATTTTTCGGCAGCAAATTCAGCAGCCCACCACCATCATCACGCATTTAATCAACAACAACAACACCATTCATCCCACACTTCAATTCAACCTCCTCCTCCACAAATTTTCTCAACAAATGTTCCAACAACAACACTTCATCATCATGTTGGTGGTCAAATACAGTCAACAACGCAAAATCAAAAATTTGGTGGAAAGCCTTAGCTAGGAATTCAGGAAATTAAAAAAATTAGAGAAGATTAAATAAATAAATATTTTAGGCTAAAAAAAGGAAATAAAGCGGTGTAGTCCCCTCCTAAAAAAATAAATATTTAAAAAATATATTTTATATATTAATTTTCCCAATTTCTAAAAAAACATTTATATTTCCCGGTGTAATTTTTTTTTAATGTTTTTAGGGAAATAATATTTAGCGGAAATAGCTACTTTTAGAAAATTAAAAAATTATTTTGTATGAAATAAGCTTGGGGCTGGGTTCTGAACTTCAAGACCTGCAGTTGGCGGTTATGGATCTCCGAATCTGAAAAGTACATATCTGAATTTTTTCGGTTCGGATATCAGATCAGGATATCCGTGGATTTCCCAAAATCCACCTCAACCAATTCGTTTAAAATTGAATAGCTACGATGGTTTTTCTGAAATTTTAAAAATATTTAGAGCTATGCAAGTGGCTTTAGGTCCTGAACACGAATGTACATACTATTTTCTGAAATGTAGCTATTTCCTTCACATATAAAGAAGTTGACTCTATATGAAACGAAGTCGGTAATCGTTTTTTTCATTACTTTTCTCCATTACTTTTTTCCTTCATTGATATGACAGAATGGTCAGCATTTTCCTCCTTGTTCAATTCCATCATATTTGCCTGTGGCATAATCAAAAGAAATGATAGAGAAAAGAATTAATTGAAAGGAGAGGACAGACAAAACACGGACGGACTCGGACAGACAAAACACGGACAGACTCGGACAGACAAACACGGACGGACTCGGACAGACAAAACACGGACAGACTCGGACAGACAAACACGGACGGACTCGGACAGACAAAACACGGACAGACTCGGACAGACAAACACGGACAAACAAAACAGCAGACAAGCACGAACGGATACGAACAGAAAACACTCGTGTTTTGTCTGTCCGTGTGTGTGTTTTTGTCTGTCCTCATTTGAATATGCCACAGGTAAAAAGAGTGGAATTGAACGAGGAAGAAAAGACTGACCATTATTTATAATTAGGGTTGCCAAAATGGCCCGACTCGGACCGAAAGATCGAGTCGGGCCTAGGATATTTGGCCCGAAAAAGACTCGTATGACCCGACTCGATAAAAATGAGGCCCGAAAAAGACTCGTATGACCCGACTCGATAAAAATGAGGCCCGAAAAAGACTCGTATGACCCGACTCGATAAAAATGAAGCCCGAATAAAATGACTCGGAAAAAACTGGCCCGACTCGAATGTCCTCGATAAATATTTCCTTTTGGATCTTCCTCTTTGATATTTCTTTTACTGAGTAAGGGAAATATATTTTCTTTCAGAACTAATTAAATGAGCGGTTAGTTGAGTGGTTAAGGCGCTGGATTTTATTTAAAGGATTGTTGGGTTCGAGTACTAATCATCGTTTGAGACTTATTTTCAGATTATTTTAACTTTTTTTAATACAAGAGACGATTTTAAACCTTTGATATTATTTTTTGAAATTCAAAACTCTAGATTTTTCAGCTTTAGCGCAAAAAATGGAAGAAATCTGGCTTAAGGACCTCCAAAATTCCCAAAATTTTCGCCTGCTGCGCAAAAAATGAAGAAGGCGTAAAAAAAGAAGGCGTCCCCCCCGCGGCGCTGCCTCCCCGAAAATTTTCATCGTGGCCCTCCTCCTCCCCCCCCCCCCCCCGTCGGGGAACAACCCTAGTGAAGAAGATTATGAAAAACAATGTTAATATGATTTATTTTTGATGACAAATAAGCAAAATTATTTTTGTTTTTTTGAATAAATCTTTTTGAAAAAAGGCCCGAAAAAGTCTCGATGCCCGACTCGATAAAAATTATGCCCGAAAAAGACTCGTATGACCCGACTCGATAAAAATGAGGCCCGAAAAAGACTCGTTTGACCCGACTCGATAAAAATGAGGCCCGAAAAAGACTCGTTTGACCCGACTCGATAAAAATGAAGCCCGAAAAAAATGACTCGACCGTCGGCCCGACTCGAAAACGGCAACCCTATTTATAATTAAGGAAGGAAAAAAGTAATGGAAAAAAGTAATGAAAAAAAACGATTACCGACCTCGTTTCATATAGTGCCAAGAAGTTTATATGTATACTTTGAATAATCATTTAGATTTTATATATTAGTTATATTAAAAGAATAAATAAAAAGAGAGAAAAATAGGTTTTATTTAAGTAATCCTTTTTTTATAAAATTATATTGTTGAAAACGTTAGGGCATTCAATTATAAAAAATCACTCCTTGATCTTGCCCCAAATCTATAACATAGATACCTATTAACTACCCTCGTCGATTCCTTTGTTCAATTAGTGTTGTACCTCGAATGTTGGGGATGGGTATGTTGGAGGAATGATCTTCAACTTTTTTCTCTTGTCGGGGAAATCATTTTTAGAATTGATCGATGCTTTGAATGATTCTGAAAGAGTAGCATACCCTCAAGGTGGTTCCGAACATTCTTAGCTTGGGAGGCACCATACAATCTTTTCTGGGATGGATTCAGCCCCAGCTGTCCAAAACCAAAATTACTAATTAAATCTACAAACAATTTTTTTTCTTTGCTTCAAATTTAAAATTTTTATGTTTGCCCTAACGTTTCTATTCCTTATATCCTTAATTTTAAGAATTTCTTCCTCTCGGTGAGAGCACAAATTAAAATTATATAAACAAAAATTATTGGCCAGTTTTATTAGCTAAAAAGTGTTATAGTTAGGTCTCGATTATACATACATATACGCCTTTTTGGGAAAAAGTTTACAAAAAATATACCCAAAATTGGAGGCATCGCTTAAATAGCCCCCCCCCCCTACTTGCGGCCAATCAACCTAAAAAATGGTCGTATAATCGAGATCCGGCTTAAATTTCTTTATACATGTAGACTTCTTTGTAAATGCTGAAAAGTTTTTTTGACTGGAAAAAATTTAAAATATTTTCAGTATACCGTATTTCCTATATTAGAGCCCCATGGGGCTCTATTTTTCAACTATCCTCCAAAGTGTTGCTGTATTAGAGGGTGGGGCTCTAACAGAGGGTGGGGCTCTAATATAGGAAATACGGTATTTTTAATTTTTCTTTCTTTTTCCTGTCCCCTTTTATTAGATATTTACGATTTTCATTTTTTCAAAAATAAGTGACCGAAACTAAATTAGAAACACAAAATGTACGGGAACGGATTTTTAAAAATTAATTGGTTAATTAATTAAGAATAATTGATGAAGGGTTTTTAAGGACAGTCATACCTCACTTATGTGCCTCTGATCGAAAAATTTGTTACAAAAGTTTTTTTGTAACAAAGTATACTCAATTATTTGTAAACATAAGTGAAGTTTTTTTAAAAAAATAAATTAACCAATTAATATATATCCATTTAATACACCCCCCCCCCCATAAAAACATTGTAACAAAACTTGTATTAATTAAACTAAACAAGAAGCATTTGAGCTCCTCCCTCCTTTTTTCATGTTTCTCTAAATAATTTCTTGTGTTTTATCTCTTCCCTTCTGTTTTGTATTGTGATTTTTATTGAAAACTTTAAATAATGAACATTTTTAATTTTGTGTTTTTTGGGTTATTTCAGAACTTGTGTTTTTCTGAATTTGAGTTTTATTAGTTTAAAGTTAGGAAAACAATTCAGAATTATTTTATATATTTCAGAATTTTTGTCAGAATTTTTCTTACAAGAAAAAAATATTAGCAAAAAATTTGTTTCAGAAGTTTGCTTTTATCTTTTCCCCTTTTTTAAATTCCGGAATATTTCATTTTTTATATTTTTTTCAGAATTTATTTATTCTAGAATGTGTTTTAGACAGCTAAATAACACCTTTAAATTCTGGCTATAATTACTAGTTTGGTCACAGTTATGCAACGAAAAAAAAGCCGAGCAACGTAGCAAAACCCGTCGATCACCCCCAGCATTAATTTATTTTATTCTTTTTTAGAGTTGCTTTCCTTGAAGGACAAAAATAAATTTGCGCGGTTTTTTTGCTTGAATATATTTTTCTAGAATTTTCTTTACTGCAACTATTTACACGTTGCTTTAAGTCAACTAAAAATGGAATAAAAATATTTTATAATTAATAAGTTTTTATATTATTCTGTATTTAAATAATTTATAAAATACTAAATAGTTTAAATCAGAATTTAATCAGAATTTATTTATTCTGAAATATGTGTTTAGACATTTAAAATTCTGATTTTTTTAATCTATGTGTTTTTCAGTTTAATTTCAGAATTTAATTTGTGTTTTCCTGTGTTTTTTTCTTCAGAAATTAAAAATCAGAATTATTAGTTTTGTGTTTGTTTAATTCAGAACAAAACCCTTAAATTAATATATTTTCTTAAAATTGTGTTTATTTTTCGGTTAAAATTTTTAATTAATTGCAATACTTTAGGGCATTATGTATTTTATCGCCCATTTATTTTTATTCTTTTCTATATTTTTCACTTCAATTTTAACAAATTCCCCTTCTGAACTACCAGAATGTCCATTTATTGACCCCTCTAAAGATTTAAATAAATGGGCTAATTTACCTGTATTTCCACAAAAATGTAATGTTACTAAAGAAATACCTGAAGAAGGAAGTGAAGAACGGGAACTTTATGATAAGGGAATACACAGGTAAAATACAGAAATTATCAGAATATTATTAGAAATTAAAAATAAAAATCAGAACTGTATTTCAGAATATACATATTTTAATTTCAGAAATTTTATTCTGACGATTATTATTTTAAGTTGTATTTTTCAAATTTATTTTTTACATCAGAATAAATATAATTCCAGAATTTTTCCTTCAAAATTTTAATTTCAGGCATTACTTTAATGCTTGGGCAAGCGACAAAATTGGACCAGAAAGAGAAATAGAAATACAGGCACACGAAAAGTAAAAATAAATATTCAATTAATTTAATCCCCTCAATTTAATTTTTAAAGGTGTTCAGAAATAGATTATTCTCATGTTAATTTAAAAACAAGCATTGTTTGTATTTAATTTTTAAATTTATATTTATTTCCCTCCAAGGTAATTGTTTATCACAACGAAGCTTTTTCTGTTCTTGTTCGAATGATTAATGGAATATTTCGTTATACCCCCTCAAAACTTTTAAAAGAAATTATTTTGTATGATGATGCTTCAGAATCCCATTCTTCTATCGAAACACAATTAAAAGAATATTCTAAATTAAAAGGAGGGAATTGGGGAAATTTAGTTAAATTTTTTAAAACCGAAGAAAGACAGGGATTGATTAGAGCTAAAGTAAGGAAAGGAGAGATTTTTTGTTTAAAAATTATTTCTTAAAATTTTGAAAAGGTTTTTGCTTCTAGAGAGGCTTCTGGTGATGTTATTGTGTTTTTAGATAGCCATTGTGAAGTATGTAATTTTTGTTTTTAATATATTTGAGGGCTTTAACTGTAAAATACTCGCTCATTATTAGATACTCCTCAAATACCCAATACTTACTATAAAACACCCCAAATTATTAGATAAATCTTTATTTAAAATACGTCTTCTAAAATTTTGTTACCCTCTGGGTTGAGGTTTTGCCTATTTAAATACCCTCTATTTAAGACACACCTCATTAAAAGACACGCTTTTTCAGGTCCAAAGGGGCATCTTATAGTCCGACAATTTAAAAAATTATTATTTTTTCTAATTTAATTAAAAAAAGGTAACCCCCCGTTGGTTGGAACCTTTACTATCAACTATTCAGGAAAATAAGAAAAGGTATTTATTTATTAAATTTAGAAATATTATTTTAAAAAATATTTAATTTTTTAAGAATTGTTTTGCCAGTAGTTGATTTAATTAATGCTAATTTGTTTGGTTATGAAAAGGTGAATAAAAAAAGAGGGGGGAGGGGGAGGGTTAAGCGGTTTTCTGAATTGAAATAAGTTTGTTTTGTTGTCATTTGTTTCCTATTTCAATAGGTTTACTTTTGTCCGCAAACGTTGATCCTCAAAATTTGTTTAAATTAATTAAATTATAAACTATTTTGGCTCCCCTCTCCCTTCCCTATCAAAATAATATTTTTTTTCAACAAAAAAGGCAATGGTGGCTAAAGGAACATTCGATTGGGGATTGCATTATAGATGGGATTATTTTGATTGGTCTTACTTTAATAATGAAGAAAATAATATAAAACCATATAAAACACCTACAATGAGTGGAGGCTTATTGGCAATTTCTACAGAATATTTTCGGGAAATTGGTGAATATGATGTTGGAATGGAGATTTGGGGAGGAGAAAATATTGAACTTTCGCTTAGGGTACTTTTTAAATAAAATACAGTAGAGCCTTGCTATAAGATACCCCCAATACCATCTATTGTTGGCTTAAAAAATGTTTCGTTAACAAAACGAAAATAAAAAAACAGCTTCGTCACGAAGCGAGACGAAACGGGAAAAACACAACGAGACTAATGAAATGTTTCGTGCATGTCATATCCTCTATTCAAGAAACATTTAAGCTCCAAAGGATCTTAAAGTGAGGTCCTACACAATTCCTTTTCAATCATTTTTTAAGGTTTGGCTATGCGGAGGAGAAGTTTTAGTAGCTCCTTGTAGCCGTGTAGGACATGTTTTCCGTACACGACGACCTTATAAAGGAAAACGTGGACTAGACACATCTCTCTATAATGCTTTGAGAACTGCTAAAGTTTGGCTTGGTGAATATTATGAGGTAATTGGGAAAGAATGAACGCTTAAAAAACGCTCATTTAAGAACTAAATTTTAAATTATTTTAGAAACAATTCCTTCCTGCCCGTCCATCTGCCAAAAGAATTGACCCTGGAGATTTAACAGAAAGATTTAAACTCAAAGAAAATCTTCAATGTAAACCATTTGATTGGTTTATTGAAAATATTGAACCAAATTTAATGCGTAGACACGATGAACTTTGAAAGAAAAAAATTAGGACAAGAAATAAAAAAATGTTATTAGGGAGGGGAAGAAAAGTTTTGTTTAAGAAAAATGGTTTTGTATTTTATTTTTAAAATTTATAAATAATTTTTTGTGTTTTAGAAATTTTTTTAAGTTTAAGAAGGTATTTTAAAAATAAATTGTAGAAGAGAGAACGGGGCTCTGTGGGAGACTACCTTCCGTCCTCGGGGAATTAGCTTTCCAGGGACGAGGGGTCAAACACTAATCCAAACTTTGTATCGTTCATTTAGGGGTACACCCAAAGGTACCGCAGAGCTATAACTTCGTTCACAATTGGGTAATTAGTAGTGACCGGCATCGGACAAGATCAGGCCGGATTTTTTTCAGAGTCCGGGTTCCAAATCCCAATTTATTCGCAATCTCTCGATTCTTTCAGGATCGGATTAAACGAGAAAAATCTGACTGGATCCGTTCCATGTCTAGTTGCAAATCAAGAATCAGACCCCGGAAAAATCGATCTTGACGGTCACTAGTAATTGGCAATTTAATGTTAATTTAAAAGTCGTGCCGCGGTAGAAAAGAAAAAAGCTCGGGAGAAGAAAAAACCCGGGAATCGGGAAACGGGAGTCGGGTCGGGAAATGACCTCGGGAGTCGGGATCGGGAGTCGGGAATTAGCAATAAAAAATTTTTCCAAAAATTTCAAAAATTTTTTGGCGCCTTCGGCGCCAAAAATTTCGATTTTTTGCACCATAGGCAAAAATATTGAAAATTTTGGAAGGTAAAGATGCCTTACTAGCGCCGCAGGCGAAAATTTTGAGAATTTTTAGGTCAAGAAGTCAGATTTCTTCCATTTTTGCGCCGCAGCCAAAAATTTTGATTCTCATTGGAGTGAAATAGAAAGGGGTCTTGAACGATCTTAAGGGTAACTTACGAGTTTATTTCCCCGATTATTTGGAAAGATAAGCCAACAGCCTGTCCAAAAAACCTTGTAACCGCAGAGATAATCAGTGTTGGGTATTGCTGGGGGCTTTTTCTTTGAGCCAGAGCCCAGCTTTGATTTATATTTGTTGTCATTGACCTTAAGTCCTTCGAATCTCTCCGTTGGAATGAAATAGAGGAAAAGAGAGTGAAACAGAGAAAAATTTTTTTACGTTCAATTTTGGTGGAATTTTGGTGAACTAGCCACATATCTCTTCATATCCCCTCAATAGTATTAACACCACCTATGCAACATTAATCATACTCTTTATTACTGCAAATCCCTCGTTATCTCTTTAAATTCACCATAATCCTAGTAAATCACCGAAATTTTCTATACTACAACTCCACAGATTCTTCAGTTTTCAGCGCCGCAGGCGAAAATTTTGAGGAATTTGGAAGATCCTTAAGCCAAAAATCTTCCCTTTTCAGCGCCGCAGGCGAAAATTTTGGGAATTTTAAAAGACCAACAGGCCAGATTTCTTCATTTTTTCTAAATGAAAATATAATTTTGTCAGAAAAAGCCATTCTTAGGGGTGTAAATATTTCCCGACTTAGTCGGGAATTGGCATCGGGAGTCGGGATCGGGATCGGGAGGCCAAAAACTCGGGAAATTTTCCCGAGTCGGGAGTCGGGATCGGGATACCCGAGCATCACTAGGGCACAACAACTTAAAGTTTTTTCGAAGAGAAAATTTTTGTTTATAATTTTTGAGGGCTCTAATAAAATATTGAAAAATACTTGATTTAGTTAAGTTGTTGCGCATTGATAATTCCCGTGAAATATAGGATAAAAGAAATTATTAAATAGTAAAAATCATTATTATGCTAAAAAAATTAATATACAATCGGACCTCCTCACTATAAAATATCCAAAATATTAAATATTCCTCTAGTCCATTGGGTTGAAGAGCTATCTAAGCAAACCCCCCTATTTAAGATACGCCTCATTATAAGAGACAAATTTCGACCCAAAGTAGAATATCCAATGAGGTCCGACATAATAACAAAATAATTTGGAAGTGTATTTAAAAAAATGAGCAGAAAATGACGGTTATTTTGGGTAAAAAGAAGAATTATAAAAAATAATTATTAAATAATTTTAAAAAATTACATAGTCAATATTAAATAAAGAAAACCTTACCATCTAAAAGACAATTTTATTTCCCCCTCACTCTCCTCTCTCCCCAATTTATTCACAATAAGCACCCTTTTTACAATAAGGCGAAATGTTTGGATAAAAACGAGGCTCTGGGCCTCCCAAATCGCCAACATAGCGTTCTTGTACAGAAGGCATTAATGCACAAGGACGTAAAAATTCTTGTTTCTTTTCGTGTATCCATTTATTAGCAATCCATTTGGTACCTAAAAGGACTGGGCAGGCAGCATGACTTGAAAAAGAAAGAAAATAAAATTATTTTAATTCATTTTAATACAGCTGGACCTCACTTGTAGATATCCCTTGGGACCGAGAAAATGTATGCTAACTTGAGGTGTATTTAGGGTATCGCTTAAACAGCTCACCCACCATGTGGCCAAACAAAAAAAAAGAAAGGAAGATTTATTAAATCCCTGGGTGTATCCGAAAACGAGATCCACTTTAATAATACAAACCGTGTTCGAAGGTCATCTTCACCACTTCTCAACAAATTATACCAAAAAAGACAATTATATTTACTTGGTTTCATTGCTGACTTTAAATCAGTAAATACCTGAGGATTTAAAAAATTATAAAGGAATATGAGAAAAGAAATATCCCTCTTATTTTTCATCCTCAAAGAACCGCGTATATGTACAAATCCGCAAAAATATTTCCAGTAATAAAAACAAAAAATAAATTTCCTCTCACCGTAAATCCACCTTCATCTGGTTTTGATAAATAGAAAAGTGCTGTAGCAATTCTATTTCCAGTCCCCAAATCACTGAATGCTTTGGTTTCTTCCTTCTAAAATGAACAATTTAACAATTAGAAAAAACAAAAGCAAACCCTTGCAAAATCATAATGAGGGTCATAATGACCACCAATCCCATAATTTGCAATCTAAAATTAAAAATTTTTTATAGAGAAATTTTTTTGAATTTCTACATACAAAGTTAAAAAGTGTTTCGATAGACTAACATTACGTGAAAGGACTAGTTAATATATTTTGTTTGAATATTCGAATATTAGATTATATATATAAATGAATGAAATGAGTCGGTTGAGAAAAAGATGAGTTTTTTTTGGTTTTTTTCGAAACTTCCTTAGGGACGGGTTTCGTGTCGAAAAAAATGTTCACGTAGCCCGACTCACTCATGGTCCCGCTCAGGAAAAAAGACGCTGTCCTCGATAGCTTCGATAAAATTGGCATCTACTACTACATAGTACTCCAACAACTTTCGAGTTTTTTTAGAAGTGTAAACAAAAGGAACACCAAAAAATTTCATTTTAAAATAACAAACTTGTAATTCTTCAGCTGTTTCCATTTCCAAATTAGTCATTAAATTTAATCGTCGATTAACCCTTTCAACAACTGGGTGATCTGTTCCTTTTAGCCAAGCACTAAAAACATTAAAATAAATACCCAATTCTTCAAAATTTAACAAAAAAACCTTTTACTAATTCGATAAGAAGCAGTTTCCAATTTCCCAGTTTGGCTATTTTGGACTGTTGCTCTAGCTAATTTTGGTTTGGCTAATTCTTGTATTTGTTCAATTTCTTCATCATTTATTATATCTCGAAAAAGAACAGCCAAAGGATTGAAACGCATAATTTCAACTTTAAAAGGAGCCAAAAGGAGAAAAGGCCTGTCCATTTTGTAATAACAATAAAGTTTTGATATTTGTTTTTGACTCTAAAAAAGATAAAAAGAGTGAGCTGGATTAAGAAAAGGTGGGAATAAAATACAGACCCAGACTCTCTTTAGCTTCCTGGGTTTTTTCTTGACTACTAGTATATCTGTTTAGAAGCAAAAAATACTTATAGTCAGAAAATGAAATTGAAAGTTAGAAACAGCTAGACTACAAGTCCTAGTCCATGAAGCAAACAAGGAGTCCAAGCCCCTACCCGATCCCTAGTCTAAAATGTGAAATTAAAAAATTAAGAAAAGAATTTCTTTTTAAAATATTTTTATTAAATATGTAAGGCGTTTCTGTGTTAATTCAACTTATATAAATCAAAATTAAACTATTATTTAAAAGAGTATGGACAAAAATCTCTTTTAAAAAATTAAAAAACAAACCACAGGAACTTCATCTCGACAGAGAGCCTCGTAAATATCTCTTTCAGAATTGCCCAAAGAATCGCTAGCTCTAGGATTCACAAGTGGGGGAATGTTACGGCGCATATCTATTGGTTTTACTCCATCAGCTTTCATTTGGTCTTCATACCTTTTTTAAAAAATTTTAAATTAAAATATTTTAAAGTAAATCTAGAAGGCATAAAAACAGAAAAATAAAAAAATTTTAGGAAATTTTTTCAAAAATATTTTTCAAGTTATATAAACTAATATAGATCGTGAATGTCACAGGTTGAGAAAAAACAGGTTTTTTTGAATTTTTAAAAATTTATTTAAATATATTTTTTGTTGCATAATCTGTGACATCCCTGATAGAAACACTTTTATTTTCCCAAAATATAAATTTAATCACAAACCATTTTATATTTCCTTTGGCTCGAGGGTGAGAAGGAGCTAAAAAAATATATTTAAATAAATTTTTAAAAATTCAAAAAAACCAATTTCATAAAGTCTATCAGTTGTAATCAATGCCCGCTTTATATTTCCTTGTTTGAAAAGAGCAAAAGCCAAATATTCTAAAAATAAGCAAAGATTTAAAGAAAATTAAAAAAAACCAAGAATTTCAGATTCAGCAATTGAAGGAGGCATTTCACGTTTTACTCTATCCAAAGCTTCTTGCATCCATAAAAGAGAATGAAAATAATCCTTATATTAAAGAAATTAAATTAAAAATATTTAAATTAAAGACCTCTTCGTTGTAAGCAATTCGGCCAATTTCAAAACAATCAAAAGCTAAAAATTTAATTTAAAGAGATTTTAAAAGATAGTTATGGAAAATAAATTTAAACATAAGTGTCGTAGCCATTAACTAAGGAAGTTATTCTAGTTAACGTCTTTTAATGGACCCAAAAGTCCGCAAATTCTGAAGAAGGAAAGAAGTAGTGATACTCAAACTAAGGAGGGGGCGATATATCCAAAAATTAAAAATTTCAAAAATAAATTCCCAACCATTCATTCCATTTCCAATTTTAACATTTTTAACCACTCCATTAGCCAAATCGCCAGTATCAAGACGATAAGTGTCTTGTAATCGAAGCAATCCAACAGCTGCCCCATTCAAATCTTCCTTAAAGTAAAAACATTTTTATCAAAAATTAATTAAAAAGGACAAACATCTGTCGGAAATCTAGAACCTTTCTGAATTGAAATATTCTGTAAATAACTTCCAGCAATATCTGAACGCATTTCAGCTTGCAAATCTTTCCATGTTTGAGTTAATTTTTTAATCAACCTGAAGGCATTAATTGGGTTCGAGACGCTTAATAAATTTGTGTGCATTTCCTCATTGTTTTGTTGATATTTTTCAGCGATACTTTAAAATTAAAAAAAAAATTTTATACTTGTAAAGAAGACGGGAAGGATTTTCGAGACTTTTCCCCTGTTGCTCTAGATAGTAGTATGAAATTCCGGGCAGAATTTGCGGACTCCCAGCAAATAACTGAGAGGTACTTATCTTTCGAGAAATTAATTTAAAAATTCTATGTATTTAATTGCCAAAAAAATAATCATTGATTAAAAACCAAAAAGAAATAGAGGAAAAGTTCACAAAAAAATCAAGCCTTCCTTACAAGTCACAAAATTTAAAAAAATTTTTGATTAAACCTTTTTAAATGCTCTAAACGTTCAGTTTCAAGTTGTATATAATTAGTAATTAATTTAGGAATATCCTTTTCTGCATAAGTTAATTGTTGAAGGTCTACAGAAGAAGTAAATAAATCAGAATTTACAAAATTTTGAAAAATATAAAAATAAAGAAGAAAAATAAAAATTAAATACATTGACCTGAAAAATGTTAAAAAGTTTATTTTAAAAAATTATTTTAAAAAATGGAAAAAGGAAATTAGTATTCAACATATAAGGGAAGTTAAACGGAAATCATTAGATTGGTGGGGGACGGACTCTCACTCAATTTTAGACGCGGAGATCCAGTCCAGCAAATATTAAAAATTATATCCATATTGTCTCAATTTAAATTATCGTTATTAAGCTTAACCGCAGTTTCACTCAAACTATAGATTTAAAAAAATTAATTTTTGGCAATAACGGAGTGAGATAAACACTGGTTAAACATTAACCCTTAAATTTAATATAATTTTTCAATTTATTTAAAAGATTAACAGAGAAGACTAAAAAGTTATTTTAAAATTATTTTCTCAGCTACAAAGGATAAAATAAAGCTAGAAATAATTTTCTTTCGATTTATATAAATCAATATTAAGAAGCAATTTCTATCAAAACGTAATTAAATACACGCAAAAAGAATACGTATAAAGTACACGTAGAAATAAGCAGGTCAGCATTATGTGACGGTTTGGATGGTGTTCGCCCAGCGGAAACGTCAAAGTACTTAATTTGGATTGCTAAAACAAAAATAAATAAAATTTAATTAATTAAAAATATTAAGAATTAAATTATTAATTCATTCCAAATAAAAAATTTAAAAAAATCCAATATTTATAAATACAATAATTTAGATATAATAACACCGGACCAACCAAAAAAACATAAAGACGTTTTTCCGGAAACATTTTTAAGGAAGAAACACAATGTAATTTCCGGAATAAAAAATAAAAGAGAGATAAAATACTATTAGTATTTTCCGGAAAACAGAACAAAATAAAAAGAAAATACAACAAAAAACATAAAATACATTAGATATCAGGGATGGGCCGGGTTATTCGAAACCTGAGAGCCGAAACCTGGTCTTTTTTTACAACTTGAAACCCGATTCGAAATTTAACCCGACCCATACCTGATACAGTGTATTAAGAAATTATAACTCCACCTATTTTCTTCGGTCATTCAAGGTCTGGAAAACGAGTTAACAACACTGTCAAATATGAAAATCAAAAATTTTTTCAAGTGGAGATACTAATAATTTCCTAACAATCATTTTTTCCAAAAACCGATTGAGTGAAATTTTTTAGATTTTTTTAAAATTTGAGATTAATTGGTCAATGGGAACCTTGAACGACTGAAAAAAATTAGGTGGGGTTATAATTTCTTAACAGACTGTAGATATAGAGAATCAGAACAAATATTTAATATAACCGGAATAACTATAATAAAGAGAATCAAAAATATTAAATAAATATACCTAATCAGAATAATTATCTAAAAAGACCCAAATAAATAAATTAAATACACAAATCTTCTTTTTTTTCAAGCTTACCATTCAAGTTTGCGTTTCTTTCCTCTAACATTAATTAAAGACTTTGTTTTATTTAAAACTTTAACATCATTTTCAATACGTTCTTTTGCCTTAATTTTTGCTTTTCTTTGACGATTATTTCCAATTAAAATTTCTTTTTCTACTTCCTCCTTATCTTCTTCTTTTTTTACTTCTTTATTTTCCTTTTCCTCCTCCTCGTCTTCTAATTCAATTAAATTTTTATTTATCTCTTCTTTTTTAATATTCTTCGTTGATTTACAAACATTATTCTTCTTATTTTCATTACTTCTTCCAAAAATATTTCTCTTCTTTTTTGCCAAACTTTCTTCTTTCTCTTCACCTTCTTCTTCATTTTTTCCAGACTCCACTTTTTTATCCCCAACACTTTTGCAACGAGAAACAAGACTTTTAGACCTTCCAACACTCTTACAACGATTTTGCTGATTTTCAAAATAAGTAATATCCCTTTAAAAAAAGAAATAAAATTAAATAAATTTTAGGAAAAAAAGAACTTTTGTTTTGGCGGAATTAATTCTTCGATTAATTTAAATAATTCTTCAATTCTTTCTTTAGTAAACATTTTTTCATAAAATTTTACAGCAAGTTCGGGATCTTCAGGTATTTGTTTTTCACATTCTTGTTCAGCTTTTAATCTAACATCAGATTTTTCTAACCATAATAATACCTTTAAAATATTATTTTTGTAATTGTTATTCAATTGTAAATAAAGATACTAGCACAGCAGCTAAAAGAATAGAGCGAAAAGAAAAAGATAAAAATTGGGACTGAACTGAAATGGCAAAATTAAGCTGCTGTTAGACAGGCCTCACTTATACTATGTAGGTATCCCCTTCAGAGAAATTGCTTCTTATAATAGAGAGTATCTTAAATTAGAGATATCGCCTAGGCAGATACTAGCCCAGCAGCTAGTATGTATAAAAATAAAAAGAATTAAAAAGAACCTCTGCACGTTGATCATCTGGAAGCAGTTTAAGTTCCTTTTTTCTTTCCTCATGATCCTGCTCATTCGGATTTCTCTGTTGAAGTCTAGTCCATCTACCAGATCCAATAACACTCCATTCATTAATTTGTTCAGAAGATTTTGACTTTTTAATATTATTTTCTAAATAAAATAAAAATAAATTCTTCTCTCCAAAAATTCAAACCGATAAATGAACCAAATCCAAGTCTTTTTCCCATAAATGTCTTTTTGTCTTTCTGTTTAGCCTCCATATATTTGCCAAAGTTATCCATAATAGTTTTACGACGGGTTTTATAATGAATATAATTGTAGGCAAAATGACGAAAGACAGGAGATTTTTCTTCAGAATTTTTCTAAAAGTCGAATCTCATTAAAAGATATTCCTCTATTTGAGGTACACCCAAAATATTAAAGAAACCTCTATTTAAGGAACGGTTTTTAAAATTTAATTGGACATTGGGTGGGGGAGCTATTTAAAAGCAACAATACCCTCTATCTCATTATAAAATATGTTTTCTAGCCCCCCTTCTTATAACGAGTTTCTGTTTTTAAACAAAATTTAACAAAAAATAAAACCTCAATATGTAATTTAATCAAAAATCTAATCCGCATATGAACATCCATATTATTCCTTCCGGGCAAAAATTTTGCAATTTTAGCACATTTATCACGGCCAAAAAGACGAATAAAATAGAACAATCTTATATGCTCTTCTAATGTCCATGGCCGGTCACGACGTTTAGGATCGAGTACATGTACCCATCTTTAAATTAAAGTGATAAAGTGGTGTCTAATTTAGTTTATGGTAAATACTAATTCGATGTGACTTGACATTAAAGTTTAATGGACCTGGCAGCAGGGATGTCAAAAATTGATGAAAAAAAGTCGGATCGAAAAAAGTTAGAGCTTTCGGAGTAACCAGTGACACCCTACTTGACAGTTTTTTTTATATTTAAAGTTTGGGTAGAAGAATTTAAAGGACTATAGCTTGGACAGCATTTAAAGAAAATAAATTTTAAACCTATTTCTACATTGAAGAGGTGATCGCCCCCGAACGCATTCAGAAACTTTAATCCAATTCCTAGCTCCATATTTATCAACAGCCTCCAAAAGTTTCTTGAATTTAATTTTTTAAATATTAAAAATTTAAAGAAAAAAACAAACTAAATCTTCCTTTTCAGTCCACCGACCCCTGTGTATTTCTTCAGCTAAAGTACGAGAATAACGATATTCACAACTCATTTTAGTTCTACCAGGCATATAACCAGCAACTAAAAAATTGAAAAAGAATATAGAAAATACGGTAAAACCTGAACATCTGAAAACTTGTAGCTTATAATGAAGGTATATTAAATAGAGGGTATCGCTTATACACAGATTTAAAAGTACTTAAATTGAGGTTTATTGGGTATGAGGTTTGAGTGTATAAGGGAAAAACATCAAATTATAAAAAATTAAAACAAACTTTTAGCCCAAAGAATTTCATCTCCAACTTTATGCAACTTAATTAACTTGAGCAATTTTCTATCTTCTTTAGGCTTCCAAAGACTAAAATTAATTTAAAAATTTTAATTATTATTTGGCTAAAATTGAGCGAACAAAAAAGGGGCAGGGGGCCCTAAATGACCCCCAAATCAAAAGGTTATCTTCTCGAAAAAATCGTGGTTATGGGACTGGATTACCCTATGTATATTTTAAATTAAAAAAAATAAAAACTTTGGCTCTCCACCATTTTGTTTCAAATAAATAAATCGTTGAAAGCATTGAAATGCCGATCGAGTATTTCCCATATTTTCAGATATAAAATTCCAATTAGAAAATTTTTTGGACAAATCAATTAATTGTTTATCTTCTTCTTCTGTCCATTTTGTTTTGCTTAAATTTGGACATAATTGGTTATACCATTTTTGGCGGAGTTGGGAAATTGAACGAAGTCCTTTAAACTTAAAAAAATATTTTTTTTAAATTAATTTCTCTTTTTTTACATCACTAGCAGAAATTCTAGCCCAGTCGACAGTAGAATAATCACAATTTTTTTGAAGAAAAGTATTTATTGGTTGGGCTCTGCAAAAAGTAATTAAAATTATTTATTTGGGGACTGGGCTGAAAAATAAACCGAATTTTGGCAATTTGTTTGTTTGCCCGTTCAATTTCACCAATCCATTTTTGTTTTTGTGTTTTAGTTATTTCAACACCCGCAGCATTTAATTTATTTAAAACAATTTCTTTTCTTTAAAAAAATTTTAAAAAAATTAAAAAAGAAAAAAAACCCAAAATTAATAATTCCAATTTTTCCATCTTTAAGTGAAGAACAGACAGAAATACGCAACAAATTAATTTCATAATAATTCCCTGAAAATTAAAAAAAAAAAAAGTAATTTTTTTGAAATTGAGAAAAAAATACATCTCCGCCCTTCCTCCATTAATGGATCAACAGAAAGTTCTTTAATTGCTAAAGCTTCGGCATTCAGACCAGCTGACTAAAATAAAAGAAAATTTAAGAAGAATTTAGAAGTATGTTAAAACAAAAAATTGTGGGGCAGAGAATAATGACCAAAGGAAAGTTGAAAATTAGAGGTTTATATGCCCTTGAGGTTTATATGAAAATTTAACACTGGGGGAATGCCCCTTAATAAGATTGAGGGAAGGCGCGTCAACATTTAGGGAGGAAATACCTTCAGAATTCGAATTTATATAAACCTTGGAAATGAAAAAAGTTGGAGGTAAGAATGAGGACATTTGAAATTGAGGGAGTAAATTTGAAGAGGCTGAGTTGGCTGTTCGAAATAGAACCAAAAGTTTTTTTTCGGTTTATTTCTTCGGATTGGTTAGGATTAGGGTTGCCGGCCAGGTTCGAAAGATCGAAAAAAAACTCGACCGGAAATGAGGCCTGAAACAAATGACTCGAAAAATGAGGCCGGTTTCGAAAATGGCAACTCTAGTTAGAATATCCGAATATTTCCTCGAAAAACCCCCCTACTAAATCCTAATTAGGGTATAATTAATTTAATGAGGGGAATTCAAATTCTTATAAATTTATTTAAAAATTAATTACAAATCGAAAACACAAACCATTCCATTAAAATCTTTAAAATAAGGATAACAACAAGAAGGCAAATTCATTCTCTTCCTCGTTATTTTTTCATTTACTTCCAAATCCCCAAATCGACACAATTTAATTTCTTCTTGTTTATGCCTATTTAATTCAATTAATTCATTTACTTCCAAAATTAATTGACTAAATAATTCTAAATATGTTTGATTTAAAGCCAAAGAGCTAACAATATTAAGAAAAGCCGGATTTTCTTTAATATATTCTTGGGCACATTCTGAATCCAAAGAGAATGTTACTACTTCTTTTTTTGTTTCCATCTACTAAAAATAAGTAAAACTTTTAAAAATTAAACAAAAGAAAACAGTAACTATCTAAGAAAATTTAATTTTTGTGCTAAATAAAAATTTAAATTTTATAAAAATGTCCAAAACAAAAATGTCCAATTTACATTTCGTCCAACCCAAGAAAATTCTTCATTCTGCATAACGAAATGGATAACGCATTTTTTTCTTGAGCGGCCGGATGTTCTAAGTTTTCAAGGGCTGCTCTAAATGACATATACTTTACCGTTAGGCTACAATTTAAAATTGTAAAAAACTGTCGAAAATGATCGATTGTTTCGAAACTGAAAAATCTTAAAAATCGAAAAAAGTTCAAAAATTTCGAAAAAAATTTCGAGATCGAAAGGAAAGAATAAAAATTGTTAAATAATTTGCAGATTTTTGTCGTATATGTTAGCTCTCCGTTAAATAATTTGCTCGACTTTTAGTATCAAAGTTCTTTCCTTTCTCAGCGTCGCAGACGAAAATTTTGATAATCTTGCTAAAAAGTCAAAGATCTATTTGGCGCCAATAAATAAAATTTTCTCAAAAATTTGAAAATCGAAATTTCGAAACAGCTCTACTCGTTAAGCGCTACTTAACTTGTCAAATGTGAAGAGATTCTATTTTTCGAAGTCAATTAATTAACAATTAAAATATAAAAATATTTAATTTTATTTATTTTTTATTATTTCCTTATTTTTAATCCTCTTCTTGTCCTCGAGAAGAGCTTAAAGGTCAACAATTTTCTATTTATTATATTGTGGATATGTCTTTCATTATATTCTTATTTTTCTCTTAATAAATGCAACGGCATGCGCAATTGGTTTCCCCATTATTTGGAAATGACAATAAGGAGGAATTGACAAATTAGTAGAAGAAAAGAAGGGAAAAATTAAAAAATAAGAAGACGAGGTCAATAAAAAATTAAATATTTTATTTAAATTTAATTAAATAACAATATGTAGAATATTTGATACAAAGGGTAACGTGTGATTTAGGTAGTAGTGATTGGGTAGTGAGTTAAATGAGCAGTAACTGATTTGGGAAGTAAACGCTTTTAAAATCAACTTTAAAATCAACTTGAGTATCAATAGAAAAATAATTTTAAGTGGTTTGGGCAGCAAAATTTAAATTTTTTAAAATTATGCGCACAAAAATAGCAGAGTACAACCACTCAAGGTTTCCCTTTGACCAACTTTCCACGTTGAGGGAACAGCGTTACCCCTTGTTGGGGTAAAGTCTTTGTTCAAAATATTTTCATCTTTCTCTCAACATCTTTTGAGGTCCCGAATACTTAGAACTTATTAAAATCTTCTTCATTCCCTAAAAACATTTATTTATTTATAATTAATTAAAAATAAAATATATTTTTTGTTTATTTCATCCATTTCTCGCTTTCTCCCATTGTTCTTTTCTTCGATTTAATTTTGTTGTAGGTTTCAGATTAGGAGGTTGGGGTTAAAGGGAAAAAAATAGAAGAAGAAGAAGAATATTAGGTTGCATTTTGTAGAGAAATGATTGCGTGGACGGGAAATATTTTGGCCATTTTGTTTTCTCCCACAAAATTTACATACCTCCCCTCCTCCTTCCCCTCTTCCTTCCTCCCTCCACCCCTCTTAATTTTAATGAACATAATTAATTTGATCTAATCACAGCAAAAAAAGAAGAGGAAAATGATGCAGGATATTTATTTTTAATAAAGCTATTTGTGGATATGTATGAGGGGTAGGTGGGCATTATTTTAGAATGAGGCATTATTTAATTCTCGAAAAAAATTTTTCTTTATAAATATTTTAAAAATTAATGTAAATACCTATTTTAATTTAAAAATATTGAACAATTGCGTGTTTGATGACAATATAAACGTGAGGATTTGGTGCTCTACTTCCTACAAGTTTGTACTAAACATGTCTTTACAACCATTGTGAACGGAGCACTTATTAAGTCAAAAAATTTTCTATAAGATGGAATTTCTACCATAATACAGTGTGGCCCGAAGAGTGTCGTTGTTGAAAGTAGTGTTCGGTAATGGTACAGGTAATACCGAAAAGTACCGATCCATTACTCCCGTCAACCGTGCCGAACACTAGCTGAGAGATTCCATTTTAATTATTTCAGGGAAAATACAGTATATAAATATTTATAAATAATTTTATGTCAGATCTATTTAATTAAAAATCTTAATAATATTTTCTGATGAATTAATAAAAATTAATTAAACTAATTTATTTTAAAATAATTATTTTTAACCGTTATAATACAATTAAATTTCCCAACAATTTTCTTTAAAAATGTCCGGTCTCTCCAAATTACCGCAAAGTCAAATAAAAATTATATTTTTTTTTCCAAATTTAGCTAATTTTCTAAAACATTTTTGTTTTGACGACCCCTCCTTTTCTACTCAATTGCCTCAATTTTCACAAAAGAGGCCTGTTTTTCTTTTATTTTATCCCCAACATTTACATAAGTCCCTCCCTTTTTAACGTTTTTTACTGTATAGAAAGGAAGGAGTTAGTATTTAGTATATATTTTCTTGCCAATTTATTCGAGTCCATTTAAGGATGAAAATAGCTTTATTAAATTTTTTTGTTAATTTATTTCTTCCTTTTTTGTACTGTAATTTTGTTCCCTTTTTCAATAAAAATTTTTATTTTTATTGAAACAAAATTATTTTTATTATTAGGTGATTATTAATAGGCTAAATGACAACAGGGAAATTTAACTAAAATAATAATTTGTAATAATTAAGAAAAAATATAAAGATCTGTTCCCTGCATACACCTTCATCTTACAGATTAGTATATATCCTATTTCTTTGACTTTTTTTTTAATCGGGAAAAACAATATTCAACAAATAAGTATCCAAATAACATAAGTACCCCAAAATAATAAACCTGGAAATAAAATAAGGAATTAATTAAAATTAACGAAAGGTTTTCTCTGGAAAGTTTTCTAATTTTAATTTTTAAATAATTGAAAAGACAATTAAAATATTATTTCTCTTATTCTTAAAATTAAATTACCCCCTCAAAACCTCAAAAATATTTACACAAAAATATTTACTTTAAAGGAAATTAAATTTGTTTTTCTGAAAAAATTCTTTCAAAAATGTTAACAAATAATAGATTTCACTGTCCTACTTCACTAAACATAAACAGAGAAACAACAAATTCATCATCTTTGATTGTTGGCCGGCAAGAGGAGCAACAAACAGAAGTTGAAGCTAATAATGTAGTAATATTTAAATATATGTTTTTATTGTAAACTTGAGAAAGTTGGAATAAATTTTGTAGTTAAATTCGGGAAAGCATTCCGGAGGTTTTAATGATTTTGTATTTATTTCTTTAAAAATCAGAATTTAATTTAAACAATTCAAAGCAGCAAAACGATGCAGCAATGCAAGTAGCAGCACAGCAATTCATGCTTAATGGGTATGCTGCTGCCCGTACTCCTTTTGCCATACAGGAATTGTTAGGATTGGTTGCGACAAATTGTGACGTAAATTTTTATTTTCTGTATTTACTTTATGTTTTATTTTAAAGACAGATCACATTTTTATATAAGTACTGAAAAATCGTATCTGATTATAAGGGGAGAGGGGGGGGGGGATATCCAAAATTGGGTATATCTTAAAAAGGATAAACTCCCCAACCAGAACAGTTTAGAAAAGTTATACCTAAATAGAGGTATACTTAATTTGAGTTTAGATATCTATAAATAAATTTTGATTATTTAATTAAGCCACTCACTGCCAATCAAATCCAAAATTCCTCATCAACAACAACTAGTAGCTGTTTTCTTCCCTTTCCCTCAACAACACCATCAACTCTTTATTGCCAATCATCAGCGTTTATTGACCAACAGCAAGCCCTTTTTCAGGGGCTAGAATTAATGCCTGGAATGCAGGAATTTAATGGAGCTGTGGATTATGCGGCTGGATGTTTGTTGCTTGGTGGAGGAGGAGGTGGAAATGTTGGGGGAGAGGAAAACTGTAATTTCTTTAAAAAATGTTTTTTGATAAATTTATTTCTATATAACGGCGCCCACTCCTACGTCATGTATTGTCATAGGATTGTCGTTATGAGAGGATTCCACTACATATATTAAAAAATAAATTTAAATTGAGGTGCACATAAAATTGAGTTTCGTTATATAATCGAAAACGAAAATTTTCGAAAGTCGGAAGTTAAACGCCTATTTGTTTTTAGAAATTAAATAAATAGCTAATAAAAATAATTTAACAGATGGAAACGGAAATCCATTTTTACGAAGTTTTTACCCTCCCCTCCAACAACAACAATCAATTTATAACAATGAGGATATTGCTCGTTTCGGATCAAATGAATTGTCAACAGTCACAGCCTCAACAACTCAAAATATTTTATTTGGTACCCGAACACAACAAAAATATACAAAATCCTCAAATGATGTTAAAAAACACGTTAATAAATTAACAACAAATAATTTACAGGAAACACAAGGGATTTGTGTTAAAAAGAAAAGGAAGAGAAGACACCGTACTATTTTCTCACAAGAACAAATATGTAAGTACTTGAAGACATAGTAATTTTGAAAGATAAGTAAAACAAACGGGGGAACATTTAGAGAAATGTTGTCAGTCTAGTAGAAATACCCATTGGATATTTAAAATTTAAAAAATTCTATTTAAAAATAAGGTATCTAAAATTAAAAGTATTTAAAAATAGCCTTCAGACAATATTTAAAATTAAATTTAAATAAAATCGGACACACTGAGTAGATTTCACTTAAACGACCTCTTTTGTAGAGGGAAATGTCGTTAAATTTCGGGTCAACTTCCCCCTATTTAAATATCAGCTTTCGAGCAGAAAAACTGTCTTTAATGTGAAAGTGTGTGAGATGTGTAAAAATGAGATCCTCATTTAATAGTTAGACCTCAATTTAAGAAAAGTTCTCTAAAGTTTAGTTGGTATTTAGATGGAGAGGGCTGCCTAAGCAATATCCTCTATTCAAGATATAACCTCATTATCAGAATAAAGGACCGTATAACGGGGTCAGATATAAAAATTCTTTTTTAAGTTGAATTGGAAAGTCTTTTCGCCGTTCATCGTTATCCAAATGTTCCTATGAGGGAAGAACTTTCTCAAAGAACAAAACTTTCCGAAGACAGAATTCAGGTTAATTTTAAATTGTAGAGTATTTATTTATTCCTCTAAAAAGCAGGTATGGTTTCAAAATAGAAGAGCAAAACGTCGAAAAATTGATAAAACTTGGGGACCTTGCACAACAATGGCAGAGTAAATATTTCTGGATTTTTAAGTTTATTTTTTGATTAGATATGGCTTGTATGGTGCAATGGTTAGGCATCAACTACCTCTACCGGAGACAATAACAAAGTGTCAAAACGATCCTGATGGATCTGTTGCACCTTGGTTATTAGGTAAAAATACACACAAAACACAATAAGATACTTATGTATACAAGTTATATTTTTAGGCTGGCAACTGGGGGAGGGAAATAGGATACCTCCCAAGGATACCTCTATTTAATAAAGTTGAAACCCGAACCGGATTCGGATTTTCCGGGTCTGGTAGTCCGTAATCCTGGTATTTTGAATAAAACCGGATTTTGATCAGGAAAATCTGTTCCGGGCAAAAAAAAATTTTTAATCCGGAAACCGAATTAGGCATCTTACTCACTTTTAACTCTTCTAATTAATATCCCCATTGAAAGTTAAATATTCTTTCGCAGCCTAATAATGACGTCGAATAAATTTAAAAAGTTTTTTTTCAAAAGGAATGCATAAAAAGAGTATAGAAGCAGCTGCTCACTTGGAAAAAGTAGGTGATGAAGAAGATGAGGAAGATGAAGATATTGAAGAAGGGCATTTCAATAATATTGGTTATCAAAACAAAAAACAAAGAATTTCAATAAAAAGTGGTGAAGGTGGGGGAAGAAGAGGAGGAGGGGATGAATTTTCTGAAGAAGAAAAAACACAAAAAAATATTAAAATAAATGAAGGGAGGAAAGAACAAAATAAAAAACAAAATAACCAAATGTCTTCAACAAATTTAAATTTAATTAATCCTTATTTTGGAATGATGGTTTAAAAATAAATAAATGAATGAATGATTATTGACATACTTTAACAACCCTCTAGGGTATTTAAATGACTCCAAAATGATTGAGTGTCAAGCATCACATATTTGATTAGAATTACTTGAAAGTTCGACTCGATAGAAAACCCTAAAATTGTTTCGAATGTCTGCTCATTTCGAAACCCGCAACCCTACCCACCAAACTCAGATCAGGACGGCCTCAGCTGAGAACAACCCTTAGGCTTTATTTTCTATTGAATCGAATCGTCAGGCTTTTCTTCACTTTGTCCTTTTAAGTTGACATTTAATTTTTTAAAGCCTCTGTGTGGTATTTTCTAGTTTAAACCTTTGCTAATATATAAAATGGAATTTCCCTCCAAAAACTACTTTAGGGAATATAAAGAGCAATTTGATAGTTTTACTAATAAAATGAAAGGAGGGAGGGGGGAGGAAGGCTTTTTTATTTGCTTTTGCCACTTTTCCATGTTTTTTCCTTTTATTTTATTACCACAAATGAAGAGCTTGATAAAAGCAATTGACTATAAAAGTGACAAACAATAGGAAAAAGGAAATGGCGGCAGTTTTGACCTTTCGACGCTTCAATAAAATTAATCTTCTTCAATGCTTCTTAAATAAAAAGACAAAAATTGGGAAAATAAAACTTGAAAATTTTTATTTTAACTGGAAAATTGAGGGAATTTTAAATAAAAAGAGAAGAATTAAATAGTATAATTAATTTATAGCAGTAAAAACACTCAAAGTTGAGTAGATAGAAAGGTGTTAAATGGAAGGTGTTCCATGAAATTGAGAAATATATTGGAGTGGCAGGGATCGGAGCCCGTTGCTAACTTTTACAAAATTTTCAACAATTTCTAAACAAAATTTTAGAATTTTGAATTTGAATTGCATCAATTATTTGGCCAATTTTTATTGTTGTATCAATTATTATTGTATCAGTTAATTTTCCATACTTTTGGCACATTATATTTTCAAAAATTTCGCCCGCAGCACTAAAAAGGAAGAAAATCTGGATTCTTATCCATCTGAAATTCTAAAGATTAATGTAAAATGTTGTGGTGTTAGAAGAACGTTAGGGAAAACAAAATAAAATGTCTTTAATAAAGAGATAATCTAAAATAAAGTAAATAATCACATTATTATCCATTTGACTATTGAGTTAATCACACAACCAACACAATTTAATATTTATTCAGAAATTTTTAAAAATAAATTTAACAGTTATCCAAAATTGTAATCTTTCCTCTTGTAGAAATTTTTAAATTTTGAATTCGTTTGAAATTTGTTGGCATAGTGTATATTTATTAGATAATATAGAAGACACAGAAAGAGGGACACGCCCGAGTAGGCGCGGGCCAAGTAGGCGCGACCAAGTAGGCGCGACCGAGTAGGCGCGGGCCAAGTAGGCGCGACCAAGTAGGCGCGACCGAGTAGGCGCAGGCCAAGTAGGCGCACGGCCAAGTAGGCGCAAATCTTTTAGCGTAAAATATTCGAATTAAAAAATAAGTCAGCATGATATTCTTATGTTAACGAGTTAGAAGAAAGATTCTTGGTAAAAATTAGAAGAAAGGTACCTATTTTAGAAGAAAGACACCTTAAATATCGATACCCTGTTAGTATACGTTCGTACCAGGGATGGGCGAAATCAAAAAATAAAAAGCGAAATGCGAAACTTTTTTTAAAAAAATAAAATGCGAAATGCGAAAATACGAAATCGCCCATCCCTGGTTCGTACTGTATGTTCACTTAAACTAGTTAGTTCCTAAAGGCTAACTAGTTAGTACAGGTTAATTATTCATAACATTCCCTTAAACTAGTTAGTCCCCCTTAAACTAGTTTAACTAGTTAGTATTCATAACAATGGTAAGCCACAGGAATTATCAAAGCAGCACGGCTTTCACTAATTAACAAACTTAGCCAGTAATCCAAAACTTATCGACAGCTAAGTACATTTGGAGCTTTTATGAGTACAAGAAAAGATTTTTCTTAAATTTAATCAAAAAATAAAAACATCACCGAGCTTCACTTAATAAATTTTTTGCCCTAAGGAGGGCAGTTTTGGAAAAAGTCCGGTGTCAAAAGAAAGTTGCTTGATTATTTAGCTAACTAATTAACAAAATTATTTGAAGATTAACAAAGAAAATCCTGGGTAAAATTTAAGAAATTTGCCCTTGCGCCTACTTGGCCGTGCGCCTACTTGGCCTGCGCCTACTCGGTCGCGCCTACTCGGTCGCGCCTACTTGGCCCGCGCCTACTTGGGCCGTACCCACAGAAAGACACTTTTGTTTTTGCTTTTCAAATTTACAATTTTATTATTTTTTCTTTATTTTCCTTTAATTTTTTCGAGATTTAAAAAATTTTTAAAATATATTATTGTCCGCCTTACATTCTAGTAGTTTCTAAACAAACTTGTGGACCAACTTCTTGGCTTGGATCTGGCTTTTTGGCTTTCCAAAATTCTCGAAATTTTGAGTTAATGATTAGCTGAGTTGCATGATAAGACGAGATTTTCATTTTTAATTTGTAGTAGGCGAATTAAGTATTTTTACTCTTGGAATTTTGATTTAGGCCAAATTTTTGCGTAGGACGAATTAGTGGGTGGATTAAGAGGCACCGGCTCCGACTTTCAAATCTTGGCAAAGGGAATTTAAAATTTTGGCACCTGTTCCGGGCCGGTGGGTGGATTAAAAGGGATATCAGAGAATTTGATTGAATTATGCGAGATGTCGGGGGTATTTCTGAGGATATCGATGGGTTAAACTTAATGCAATTTGAGAGTTTTGGAAGGCCAAGGAGTCAAAAATATTCATTTTTGGTGCCAAAAAAATCAAATTCTTTCGAAAATTTGAAAATCGAAGGAAAAACCCCTCTAAAATTGAAATTTCGAAACAGCTCTGTTCAGGTTTTTTTAGTTTTCCTTGTCCCGTAAAAGTATTTTCGAGCTTCATTTTCCATTCTAATTATTTTTAAAATTCTCAATTCCAATCTAAATATTTATATGAATTTTTTGATAAATTTTAAGAGAACACACAAAAATATTATTTAATTATTTCAATTATTTCCTGCTCTTTCGATCAACATTTTCATTTAATAATGTTTAATGACACAACTGATGTAAACTAAAATTATTCAATTTTTTTTATTTTATATATTTAGATAGAAGTTATTAATTCAAAAATTGTTTGGAAAATAAATAATATCAACAGGCTTACAAAGCTTACAAAATGCGGAGATTTTAAATCTAGTAGGTTTTTTTAAATTTTGTAAATTTTTTTTTGAATTTATTGGAAATAGTGAAGATATTAGTCCCCCCGCTCTGTCGATATTTTTGAAGCGACAGTTGAAGTTTTATAGGATTGTACTGGGTACGGTTATGATTTTGTCAAATTAAGTTAGATTTCGTCTATTTTGGTATAATTCGGCTTGGCTCAACTATTGAATGTGAAATTTCTAAAAATTGCGTAAAAATCTTAAAGATCCGCAGCCGCAATCCGCAGTCCCCTGCTAAGCACACTCGATTACCTAATTGTAAGCATCAGAAACATCAAAAAAGCACTTTTAACCTTTTTTCCAAGGACCAGTAATCTTCACTATTACCAATTTAATTATTTTGATTTAAAAAAGTGGAGAGTTTTTTCAGTAAATAAAAAGTTTCCCCGCACGGTATCGAACTCATGACCTCAAACATTCATGACTTACAACACTATCGAACTATAACCAAAATTTTTAAATAAAACTTATGCCAAAATTTTTTATTAATAAAAATATTTCTCTCAATTTTAGGTTGTGCTTTTTATAGTCAGAAAATGCCTTCTATAACTTGGAAACTACGAATATACCCTAATGGTTACCATGGCGTGTCTCCTGGAGGTGAAATTTAAATTATTTTTTTAATTCTTTTTTTCTTAAATTACACACATTATAAGATACCCCTAAAAGGTAAATAACCTCTATTTAAAATACGGTTTTGAAATTTTGGTTGACCACTAGATGTGGGAGATGTCTAAGCTTTACTCAATATTTAAGATACAATACATTAAAAGTACCCATCTTTTTCTGCCCTAAAAGGGGGTATCTTTTAATGAGGGTTGCTATATGTTTAAATTTGTTTTGATTTAAATTTTTATTTTTGAAGATGTTTACATTTCACTAATTCGAGTTGGATTAAAAAGTGAAGATGAATGTGTAGTTAGAGCTGCCTATTATTTCAATGCAATACAGACAAGTGGAATAAATAAAGAAATTGGAAGGCATTAAAAAATATTTTCACAATTTAAATTTTTTAATTTAATTTTTAAGATTTACTGAGGATTTTAAGAATATGAGTGAATCTATTAGACTGAATATAAATATGCTTAATTCTCTGTTAGCGGATGGTAATTAAATTTTTTTATTCGGAAAAGGGAGACTATGAGGGGTGATAAGAGGACATTAATTTATTTAGGGGAAGTTGATTATTTAAGTAAATAAGGAAGAAGATCAATTAGTTGATAGTCTAGAGGGTCTATATTTTGGGGGAGGGTTGTTGGATGATTTTTCAGATACCCGAAAAAAATCAATTGTTGATTGAAATATATTAAGCTCTATTTATTTCGGACAATAATTTTAAAAACATTTTCAGGTTCACTAAAAATTATTTGTGAAGTCGAATACCTGTTACCTGATAATACGGATTCTAATGAAAATGATAATTCTTATATTATAAATATCTACAAAAATATTTTGTTGAAAGAAAAATTTCCGGATTGTGTTATTCAGGTAAATATTTCCAAATTGAATTTGTCCGCCAAATTCAATCTGGATCAGTTTTCATTTATGAGCTAATACAAAATACGAATTTTCCCTTTTTTAACTTTTTAGATAGGAAGCGAGTTAATAAAAACTCACCGATGTGTTTTAGTTGAAAATAGTGAAGTTTTTAATTTAATGTTTGAGCAAAACGACATGATTGAATCACAAACTGTAGGTTTAAAAAATATTTTTTAGTTAAATAATATAAAGATAAATTTGAAAAATTTTTCTAAAATTTTAGGGAATTGTAAAAATTAGTGATTGCTCTTCAGAAACTTTTAGAGGAATGTTGGAATTTTGTTATACTGGCAATGTTTCCAAATGTACTATTTTAATATTTTTATTTAAATTAGTGTTTTCCTTTAAACATCTATGGTATAGAAAAACAAAAATTGACTTCTCTTTTCGTAGCAAATCTTTCGTTTAAGTATTGTTCAGAAATCTCACTAGAGTGGAGTCGTTGAATAACCCTAGCCACAATTCTCTGGTGTCTTAACTACACCGCAACTCTTTTTAGAACAATTTAAATATTCCTTATTTTCTTCCTCAATTAAATGATTATTTTATTAATTTTAAGCTACGATGGAATGCTTATGTGTTGATCTATTTGCAATTTCCCACAAATATCAAATTACCAATTTAAAAATTAAATGCGAACAATTTATGGCGTCAACAATTAGTAAACTATTATTTTGAGTAAAATAATTTTTATTTATTTAAACAGATAAGGATAATTTTGTACAATATTGTAGAATTATTGAACTTTATGGGTCTTCAATTTTGGAAGAGGTATTAAATATTTTTTTATATTTAATAAAGAAATGGAATGATTTTTACTTTTTTTTGGGGGGGGGGGGTTGAGAATTAAAAAAAATTTAATTTATTTTTTAACTGGAGATAAAAGATACTTCTTGGGGCAATAAAAGAATCTAGCCTTATAATGAGGTATATCTTAGATTGTATTCCTTAGATTGCTTAATGTTTCTTAAATTGAGGGTAGCAGTATTGGGTTTATCTTAGTGAGTCTCTAGTAGAGGATTAGACTACCGTATTACCTCTAATAGAATTCCCGGGCATTCATTTTCAATCACCTCCAAAGGGACATTTTGAGAGCGGCATTCAATTAGAGGAAATACGGCAATTATTTTTATTGTAATATTTTTAGGCTTGTATTAAATATATTGTGGCAAACAGGAAAGACTTTTTAAAAGAAGATGAAGGATGGAAGAATTTAAAATCTACCTTTCCTGGTCTAACTCATCGTATATTGGAGTCAGTTATTGCAGAAATTGATAAATGGTTAACTTTTTAATTTTAAAAATTGGTTTTTTTTGTTTAAATCGAAGAGAGAACTATTTAAATTTTTTTGGCTTTTTTTCAAGGCTTTTGGTCCGTTAAAAACTTAGATTTTTTCGGGGAGTTTATTAAAAATTTACTTTCCTTGTTTAATTTAGACTTAACTCCCGGATGTCTCTCCCATCACGACTAAAATGTTTAAAACCTAAAAATTAATTTTTATCAGTTAATCAACTTTGGATGCTCGTAATATTGTTTTGAATTTTTGATGTTTTATATGATTTTACAATGAACAATTAACTCAAATTTTTTTATTAACATAAATTTTTTATTTTATTTATATCAAGAAAAGCTTCAATTAAAAAATAAAATTTTGATCGTTTTAATTACCTATTTAACATTCTTAATGTAAAAAAAAATTAAGTGTCAGAATGATTATTTAAAAATGCTTTTCTTACAGTGCCGGAAAAAAAGATAGGACCAGGCGCACACATTTTCTTTTCTTCAAATTATCTTTCGAATTTTAATCTTTTAAGGGAAAAAAATTGACAGAAATATTGAATTATTTATCCTCTATCAAATGAGTAAAAATATTTCCTTATTAGCAATTAATTCTACAAAACATTTAAAAACAAATACTACTCAATTTTTGGTGTGGAAAAAAAATATAGGACCAGACTAGAAATATCGACTTGTTCGGCCAAAAATTCTATAAAAATTTTTAAGAACATTTTCATCAATACTGAGTAGAAAAATGAAAAGACGAAGTCTGTGACTTCTTTCTTCATCGAGATCTCAAATCTCAAAAATCAACGGAAAATTGGGGTACAGTAATTAAAAAAATATTTTAACCCCCTAGAGCTTAAATTAAAAATTTTATTTTATGCCTATCTAAAAGCCCATAAAATTTACTACAAGAATATCTCAACTTAAAATTTTTCGCCAAAAGATTTTTGGAGATAGATGGAAATGTTTATAAAAATTTTTATAGAATTTTTGACCAAAAAAGAGATAAGCGAAAAAAAACTAATTTAACAGCCTCTGGTCCTATCTTTTTTTCCGGCACTGTATATCAAAAAAAATTTAAAAATCAGGATTTACTTATTTTAAACCCCTCAAAACTTATTATGTTTATTACCTATATTTTATTTTGATTATAGAATTTCTTATAAACTAAATATAATTTTATATTATTTATTTATTTAGGTCCAATCATTTCTTTTGGTTTAACCCATTCGTCAAATTGCTCAGCATTTAATAATCCAGATTTTATTGCCTCTTCTTTTAATGTTGTCCCATTTTTGTGAGCTGTTTTAGCAATTTTAGCAGAATTATCATAACCAATATGGGGATTTAATGCTGTTACTAACATTAAAGATTCATTCAAAATTTTTGAAATATTTGCTTCATTTGCTATAATTCCAATAACACAATTTTTTGTAAATGATTCTGCTCCATCAGATAATAAACGAATTGATTGTAAAACATTACGGACAATTAAAGGTTTAAATACATTTAATTCAAAATGTCCATTAGAACCACCAATTGTTACTGCTACCTTTAATTAAAAAATTTTTTTCTTTTAATAAAATAGTCCCTTTCCTTGATGCTCACGGAAAATCTAGGGTTTGTGTTATAATTAAATTCAGGCCCTCCTTTTAAAACATAACAATTAGAGATCCAACACAAAATAACCAACCCATTTTGTTTTAAATTCGACTGCTATTTTTATTTTAAAAATGTCAGTTTTTAAAAATGCATGTCCAGCTTGGATGAATCCTGCCACATTTTTAATTAAGAGCTGAAGACGGAAAGCGAAAGGCAAAACAAAATAAATAGTGGGAGAGGGAACAAGAAAGAAGGATCAAAAAACGGAATGCTGCAGAAAACAGAAGAGTTCACTGATGCGCAATAATACATAAAAGTTACAAACATTGGAAAGTCTCTTACTTGATTTCCCATAACTTGAGCAGCAATCATTGTCAAAGCCTCACATTGTGTTGGATTAACTTTTCCAGGCATAATAGAAGAACCAGGCTCATTTTCAGGCAAAGACAATTCTCCCAATCCACAACGAGGTCCAGACCCCAAAAACCGAATATCATTAGCTATTTTCATAAAAGAAGTTGCAATAACATTTAAAGCACCGTGAACCTTTAAAAAAATAAATTTAAAAACTTTTTGAAAAAAAACAAAGAAAAACCTCAACTAAAGCATCATGTGCCGCTAAAGCTTCAAATTTATTTGGAGCTGTTACCAATGGAAGATTTGTAAGTTGAGAAAGTTTACTGAAAAAAAGTTTAAAAAGAGGAATTTAAAAAAGAATGAAGCTCTGTTTGTGCAGACTTTTTCACAGAAAAAACGTTAGTTAAAACCCAAATATATAAAGATATTCAAAAATAACCTAGAAGTTTTTTCAACAAAAATTACTGGGCCAGGCTCAAAAAAGCCAAAAACCCAAGTCTGCTCTTTGGAACCCTGCAATTTTTTCCTAGGTACACGAAAAAGCAAGGCCATTCTACGGGTTTCTATGAGTAAGATTAATACTGAAAATCAAAAATAAACCCAGAAGGTAATCACGGAGAAAACGCTTCACTCTTTTCAAATGTCATTGACAAAAATAAAATTATCTAAAAACCTAGCAATTTTTTCAGCAAATCCTTTTCGTGTATTTAATCCGGTTCCAACAGCAGTTCCACCAGCAGCTAATTCATATAAACGAGGCAATGTTGACTTAATTCGTTCAATTCCATTGGCAACCTAACGAAATTTTAATATAATTAAAATTCTGAAGTGACCATCCAAAATTCAAAAAGTTTTCGCCTGCGGCGCTTAAAAATAAAAATTTAGGTTCAGAAACTCTAAAGTTGTCCCACAAAAGTTAAATGAGAGGATTTTTTATTAAAAGTAATGTTAACAAAGTAAAAAAACCTGAACAACATAACCACTAAATTCTTGTCCCAAAGTTAAAGGAACAGCATCTTGTGTGTGAGTTCTACCAATTTTAATAATATGTTCAAATTCTTTAGCTTTTTTTTCCAATTCGTCGTGAAAATATTTCAAAGCCGGCAAAAGTCGATCATTTATTTCTAGTGCAGTAGCTACATGCATTGCAGTAGGGAAGGTGTCATTGGAGGATTGTGACATATTAACATGATCATTTGGATGAACAGGAGACTGAAAGAAATATGTAGAAATAAAGATAAGAAGAAAGAAGCTATTTTTTGAGATGTGCTTTGTAAAATCCAAATCGATTGGCGTATGTTTGGGATTTGAGATTTGTAAATAAAATAAAAAGGAACAGACTTATACGCTAAAAAATCCGATAAGATTCGAAAAACATGATTTAATGATAAAGGAAAAACAAAAATTCTCCAAGAAAAAAAAATAAAACCTTCGATCCAAGAACACCCCCAAGTATTTCAATAGCTCTATTTGCAATAACTTCATTAACATTCATATTAGACTGTGTCCCACTTCCAGTTTGCCAAACAACCAAAGGGAAATGTTCATCCAATTTACCAGAAATTACTTCATCTAAAAGAAAAATTTTTCGAAAAAAATTTCAAATACAAACCTGCAGCCTGACAAATAGCAACAACTAATTTAGAATCAAGTCCAAATTCCTGATTGACAGAAGCAGCAGCTTTTTTTAAATAACCAAAAGCACGAATAATAGGTAGCGGCATACGCTCTTCTGGCCCTCCAATTTTGAAAAATTGCATGGATCTAAATAAAAAAATATTTTGAATTTTTTAAAGAAAAGTTAATGCAGATCAATCCCAAAAAACGAACCCAATAAAATTAAATACAAAATTTTTAAACAAAATTACCGAGCAGTCTGCGCACCATAATAACGATCATTGGGCACCCTAAATATTTAATAAAATTATTATTAAAATTTAATAAAAACTTTAATTCTCCAAAAGTATCTCGTTCAATTCGAAAATTTTCAGTGCTCATTCTCACAGTTTGTTGAATAAACAATTTACTCCAGCCAATTTTTGAAGTACTTGCGAATGTTCTTAAAGCAACTGCCATTTTATCTAATAGTGTAATCTGACAGAGAAAATGACTAAAAAGGCAGGGGAAAAAAATATTTTTTTTGAGACAACAAAATAAAAAGAGGAAAATGACAGACTTAAAAATACTAGAACACAAATGTGTCCTTTCGTGATAGCCTGGACTTTAAGGGGGAAGGAAATGAATAAAAATGTTAGAGAAAGAGAAAGGTAAGTGAAAGTTTTTTAGTTGGTTAATTGCTATTTTCTCAGTTGATTTTTTTAATTGTCAGTTAAGTTTTTTCAGAAATTATTCAAGTAAGTACATGTTTAAAGTTGGAAATAAAAACGTGGAGATCCAGAAAATCAACAAATATACAGAGGTTCCGTTACGGGTTATTTAACCCAAACAGTTTTGACTCCATACTTTAGGGTTAAAACAACTAAAAAAACATCGAGAGTCCCTTATAAAAATCAAGAAAATAGTCAAAGGTAAAGACAACCAAAATCAAGTATAAAGTTATGGACCCAGAGGATAAATTAAATTCACAAAATCAACATTAAAAAAATATAATGTAAAAAATACATTAAAGAACAAAAAAGGCAAAAAAATATTTTTCTGTTTATTACAACAAAACTACAATTACCCTATAACAACAAAATTACCTCACATATATTTAATTTATCCATTAACAAAAATATGATCAATTTCTTTAGAGCCAATAGGGAATACTAAAAGCACATGATAACGTCGTTCAACATCTTCAATACCCTCAAATATATATTCAACAATTTTTGCCCGTTCTCCTTCACCTTCCCCCCACTCCTCCTCATTATTATTTTCCTCTTCATTTCCCTCTTCTTCATCATCCGACGATTCTGTATGTTTAACAAAAGTTTCAAGATCCATCGCTTTTTCTCCCTTCATTTTCTTTTCCGAATTTTCAAAATAAAATCCTTTAGGTTCAAATATCTTCAAATGATGATAAATAGGGACAGCCAAAACATGCAAATGCATGTTTTGTATGCGGATATGCCTTGAAGTGGGAAGCCCAAAAATGGTGTTTTTACATAGGTACGAGCACTTTAGGACCCGGTTCTTAATGCATATATTTGCATATTTCGACCATTTCGTGCATATTTGCATATTTGTGCATATTTTTGCAAAATTTGCATATTTTGGTTCATATTTAGGCATTTTTTGTAAAATTTTGCCAAAAATTGACCAAAATTTTGAAATTTTTGGTCAAAAAAATTTTTTTATGAAAATTTTTTGAAAAAATATTTTCGAAAATTTTTTGGGGAAAATTTTTTTCCCGAAAATTTTTGCAGAAATTTTAAATATATTAAATCCTGTAGAAGTGTTCATAAAATGTAAAATTAAAGGCTAAATTAGTGTTTTTAAATTAAAATATTGATTTTTAAAGCATATTTTAACTATTTTTTGGTGCATATTTCACTGCATATTTTGGCAAATTTTGCATATTTTGATGCATATTTTGGGCTTTTTCGGTGCATATATATGCGCATATTTGGCAATTTTCCGTGCATATTTTGGCTGTCCCTAATGATAAATAAATTCAAAAGTAGCATTTAAATATCCACCAAAAAGATAAAAATATTTTGTATAAAATTGAAGAGGAGGAGAACCATCAAAAAGTAAGTCAATCATTTTTGGATTAAATATAGCTTGTTTAATTTTAATATTCTCAAAATAACAGGAAGATAATTGTTCAAGCCAGTAACGAACAAAAAATAATTCTTCAATATTTTTTGGATAACGTTTTAATTGTAAATGCAGAATTTTTGGTGGTTTAACGTCATCTATTTTTAAAGAAAAATTAAAGTTTAGGGAATTTAAGAAAATAAAAGGTTAAGAGGCAACACGAGACTAGCTCGTAGTAAATTGAACACAATCCCACTTCATCTATCCATATTTTCGAAATTTTTGGAAACCCAATACATAAAACGAAAAGGAGTGCGAAAAGGGCTTAAGTTGACTAACAAGAAAGAAATCCAAATTTTTTCTACAGAAAAAAATATCAGAAAATTCATTCGAGTTGAAAATATAAGGAATTTGTCGAAACATTTTTTTAAAAAATTTGGAATATCCTAACCAAAAAAATAATATTTTTAAAACAAAAACCTGTATTTTTAAACAAAAGAAACAAATTAATAGCTTCATCCAATTTATATCCAAACTTTTCCATATCAGACCTATTTTTGTTATTGTAGACATGACTACAACAATTACCACCATGATTACATTTTTCATTTACTTCAGTGTCTCCAGGCTGATTAAAAAACAAAGGAATACGTTTCTTTATCGCATCATTCCACTAAAAATAAAAAAGAAAAGTTTGTAAAAAATTAATTTTGTATTAACTTTGTCCTCTTTATTTCCCCCCAAAAATCCTCATATAGAGGAAAACAACCATCAAATACCTTTTTTTCATCGTTTGGTTCATAATCGCCAAACCTTCTTCCCTCTTGAATTCATCTAATATTTTCCCCATCACGTAGCTTTTCACCAATTACAACCGATACTCTTATACTTCACATAAACCAAAGTCGGAAAATTTTTTTCCGTTTATGGACAAATTGTATATCATTCAAATGAGCTTTTCGAGCTCGTTTGACACCAAAGTTAAATTTGATATGAGTCGCAATTGTGAATCGAGTTATGGTAAACCGAGGAACAACTTATTTTTGAAAAATGGAATGTCTAGAGGATTTTTAAATTCTTCACAAGAAACTAACTTGTAAAAAGCAACGCATTTTTTTGGGGGAAAATAACCAATTTTTTGTCATTTACCCATTTAAATATTTAAAATAAAAACCTTCGCTTTAATATCCTCATCTAATTTAACACGCCATCCTTTAGATTCACATTTGACTTGTTTACAAACATCTAAAATTTAATTTGAACAGAATTAAATGGAAGAGATTGCAAATTTGATTTTGAATAAAACAAGAAGAAACAGAAATGTGCTGATTTAGAGGTATAGAAGCCAGAATAGTCTGAACCTATTTAACTACTTTTTAGGAAAACAATTCTTTGTAGCCAAATGTTAAAAAATAAAAAAAAAATTGTTTTAAACTCACAATATTTCCATTCAATCTCCATAGAATAAACTTCCTTCCTAGCCAATTCAGGCTTGCTACGGTCAACAATTTCATTCAAAGATTTATTTGTTTGTTGAATAACATTTAATTGGTTAAAATTTAGATATTTAAAAATATCAAGTTTAACTTCATTTGAAAGATTTTTCATTTTTTCCTAAAATTTATGATTGAATAAAGAAAAGATGAAAAAAAATTGAACTATGTGCAGCTTTTAAATTTCAAATACCGGCAAAAACGGCTAAATTTATAACACAATTTGTGACTAAATGGATATTTTTGACTGTGGGACGAAATGTAATAGGACATTCTGGGGGAAGACGATTTTGTTAATTTAAAAACATTTTGCCAAAACTTTAAGAAAGAGAAATATTTAAATTTTAATTTATTAATTTATTTGTTAATTTTTAAAGTTTATAGTTTTTTTCTTTAAATTTTAGGAAGAAAATGAAAAATCTTTCAAATGAAGTTAAACTAGATATTTTTAAATATCTAAATTTTAACCAATTAAATGTTATTCAACAAACAAATAAATCTTTTTGTGGAATTGTTGACCGTTACAAAACAGAATTGGCTAGGAAGGAAGTTTTTGCTTTGGAGATTGATTGGAAATATTGTGAGTTTTTTATTGATTTAAATAAAATTATGAGTCCACTCTTGAAGACCTAAAAACTTATTGATCTTGAAGACCTACAACTTCTTAAAGAGAATATCAAAAGGTAATATCGAGGGATTTGGAGCCTCCTTGCAATATAGGGCAGTCTCAAGTACCTATTTTTGCTTACGCCTATTAAAAGATATCACAGTTACATAATTAAATTCTTTATAAATTTACTAGATGTTTGTAAACAAGTTAAATGTTCATCTAAAAGTTTACATTTCCAATTAAATCCAGATACTAAAGCAAAGGTTTTTATTTTAAATTTCAAAAAAAATTTTTGATTTTTTAGTGGAATGATGCATTAAAGCAACAAATTCCTTTATTTATTAGTCAACCTGAAGAAATTCACGAAGACGAATTTGATGAAGCTGTGAATTTGTTTATTTTGTTTATTTATAAAGGTTTAATTTTTTAATAGTTTCTTTGCCTTATTCAAAATTAATTTGCTTCATCCCAATTAAATAATTTTGGATCTGTAATGTTGAAAACCTTCAATTCTCTCAATAAGTTTTTGGTTGTTATTAAAAGTTTAATTATTCTTTTATGTTCAATTTAGGAGGGAATTTAAAAGAAAATTCTGAAGAAAATTTTGAAAACCTAACCCGACTTTTTTTCAAAATCTGTGACATTCCTTGTCACAAATTTATTTTTCGTTCTTATTTCTTTTAAACTGCTGTTTTATCTTTCCTTTGGTTTACAGGGAAAGGTAAGAGGGAGGGATAAATGTTGAGCAGAAATGTGTTAAAAATAATTAAAATTCTTATTTTTTAAATAGATAACAACAACAAATTACCACCAAAAATTCTCCATTTACAATTAAAACGTTATCCAAAAAATATTGAAGAATTATTTTTTGTTCGTTACTGGCTTGAACAATTATCTTCCTGTTATTTTGAAAATATTAAAATTAAACAAGCTATATTTAATCCAAAAATTATTGACTTACTTTTTGATGGTTCTCCTCCTCTTCAATTTTATACAAAATATTTTTATCTTTTTGGTGGATATTTAAATGCTACTTTTGAATTTATTTATCATCATTTGAAGATATTTGAACCTAAAGGATTTTATTTTGAAGATACAGGTTAAAATTTAACTTTCTATTCATATACCCCCAAGTATTCTTTCTCTCGAGATTCTGTAACGAGATTGTCTTAAAAATTTTCTAATCTGATGAGATTCCGCGATATTATTCCCTAAATTCCCCTCAATACAAAAATTGAGAAAAATCGGGATTTTGGGACGGGATCCAGCAAAATCTCTTCCAATGCAGGTCTCTATATAAAAATTTATGCTGAAATTTTGGTTTTTTTGTCTTTTTTTTTTGATATAAAATTAAAATTTTGAGGGTATGAGATTTTATAGGCTACTTTCCCTTATTTGAGTTTCAGCTTGATTTTTTTATTGTCAATAATTTTTCTTAAACATTCTAATTAAAAAGCAACTGATCAAAAATTGGATAGAAAAAATTAGAAAGTTTTAGAAAATTTATAATGCTTGAGAGAAATAGGGAAATAACTATTTGACATTAAAAAAAAGAAAAGTTAGGCTGACAATGAGACTAGGGGGGGGGGTTTTAAGAAAATTTTTTAAACAAATTTTAGTGGGAACTCTGAGAGGTGAGATAATAAAAGAAGAAGAAAAATATCTTAAAATTGATCAACAAAATTGCCAAAATATTAAAGAAGGAAAAGAATGTAGCGGAGAAAATTGTGAGGGATGTAAGGATAATAATAGTTATGTTGTTACAAAAGGCGAAGGAAAATTATTTAAATCTGTTGAGTATGAATTTTATAATATTTATGTTCCAAATACGCTTTTCCATATGCTTTTAATTATTTCTGTTGAAGATAAGAAAGTTTTACAAATTTTCTTATCTTGGTAGAGATTAAATGATTATATTTATTGTCTCTGTTAATTATTATTTACATATTTGGGTAATTTTTTTCTTTAAAACTAGAGAAATTAGAAATATTTTTTTCTGTAATTTTCCCCTTTCTCAAAAAATGATTAATAGTTTTAGACTTTTCTAAAGTTTTTTTCCACAAAAATTCTTTTTTCTCCAATTCTCTCCAAAATTCTAATCTCTAATATTTTTGTTGGTTAGTTTCTCTAGTTTACTTTAAATTTGTTGATAAAATGTTTATTGAATAAAATTTAAAATTAAATATAATTAATTTTTTTTTAAATTTAAATTGAGAAAATACAACTTTGTAATTTCTTAAAAAGTAGAGAACCACAATTTTGTTTTACACAAATCATTTTACTTGATATTCTTCTATTAATCTCCATTATCGGAAAATCCGGGGGTTTCCTTGTGAAAAACTCGGATCCGGGGGCATATTTCGATCAATAACTTTTTGGCCTTTCAACTAGTTCTAATAAATCTTGTCATTACAGGTCCTGGGTATTTTTTCTAGCAGGAAACTCTAACAAATTTAACAACAAAAAGTTAAGTTCACAATAAGGTAAATTATTAGACTATTTATATGAGTAATAAAGGGCGGGAAGTAAAGAAATAATTATTAGAATGCCCAAATTTGATTTATAGATTAAGGAAAGAGTTTAAAGAAAACATAAAGGATATAATTTTTGTGGAATTGTTGACCGTTACAAAACAGAATTGGCTAGGAAGGAAGTTTTTGCTTTGGAGATTGATTGGAAATATTGAGTTTAATTAGAATTTTGGGGAAATTATGTTTAATGGGCTGGTACTTGTACCCCCCCCCCCTCCTGTCAGTTTTTTACTTTTTTTACTTCTGAGGTACTTAAGTAGAAGAAAAAACATTAAAATGCAAGTTATTGGAGGAGCCGATTAGACATTTTACATAATTAAATTATTTTTAAATTTAGATGTTTGTAAACAAGTTAAATGTCCATCTAAAAGTTTACATTTCCAATTAAATCCAGATATTAAAGCAAAGGTTTTTATTTTAAATCTTCAAAAAAAATTTTTTCATTTTTTAGTGGAATGGTACATTAAAGCAACAAATTCCTTTATTTATTAGTCAACCTAAAGAAATTCATCAATACAGATTTGATGAAGCTATGAATTTGTTTATCTTTTTGGAGGAGATTTATGAAAGCCCCGGTAGTTCAGACGGTAAAGCATCTGAACGTGGTGAGCTGTTGAATATTTTGACAATTTTTTAGAAATTTTTTGGCATAAGAAAGTTCAGCCCTTCTCTAAATAAATAAAGAAATTTAGTAAAGCTCTTGCCCCACACCCTTTTCGTCCTTAAAACAACTTGGGTCTATTCAATTTGTCATGTTTATGGCATGTTAAATGCAAAGTTTCATTTCAAATAATGTCATAAGAAAAATTCTATTGGGCCGTCATATCTCTGTTCTAATTTTGTCATAAATATGATATCAGATCAGTGATTAGTTGGATTGAGAAAAAAATTTGGGTTTGGTTTAGTGTCGAAAAAAGACTGGATATTGGCTTTCGCTTAACTCAACTTGTCCCTGTACCCAAACTTTTTCTGTATTCCTTCAAAAATAATTTTAATCTTTAACTTTCTTTTTAAAAAAATATAGAAGACAACAACAACAAATTACCACCAAAAATTCTCCATTTACAATTAAAACGTTATCCAAAAAATATTGAAGAATTATTTTTTGTTCGTTACTGGCTCGAAAACCTCTCTCAATGTCATTTTGGAATTATTAAAATGAAGCAAACTGTATTAAATCCAAAAATGATTGACTTACTTTTTGATGGTTTACCTCCTCTTAAATTTTGTACAAACTTTTTTTGTCTTAATGATGGATATACAAATACTACTTTTGAATTAATTTATCATCATTTGAAGATATCTGAACCTAAAGGATTTTTTATTGAAGATAAAGGTGAAAAATATATTTCTTTTAGTTTTGTCTACACCAGGGCCCGTACTATAAGAACGAATCGTGGATTTAGTACTATAAGAATCTGGTCATTTGACACCGTCATTTAACTCATACCGAGTAGTAATTTGATGCTATAAGAGGCTTAGTATTTTTTCTTCTTGCTTACTACGAACCAAGCTCTTATAGTGCCCACAAATCGGATTTTCAAAAAATTTTCGGATCGGGTTTCCTAAAATCATCGGGTTTCGAGTCAGGGATAGATAAAAATCTGGTGTGCTTTCGGGTTAGATTTTCAAAAATTTCTTGTATCGAATTTCGTATCAAAAAAGGTCCAGCCCTTATAGAAGCCATGCCAGGGATGTGCGCCATGGCGTTTTGCGCGCCACGTGAAAATTTTTTGCGCATATCCCCGGCCCATGTCGTATTAGAAGTCCACTCAATGAGACCCTTTTTAAGAAATCCAGAGCTTCTATTAGGATATTACGATATTTTAAACAAATTTTTAGATAAAACTGTGAGAGGTGAAATAATAAAAGAGGAACAAAATTTTGTTAAACAAAAACATATTTGCGAAAATATTGAAGAAGAGGGAGAATGTAACGAAGAAGATTGTGAAGAATGTAAGAAAAATAATGAAGAGATTAAGGAATTGTGTAAATTTGTTGAGTATAAATTTGAAAATGTTTGGGTTAAAAATAAGATTTTCCGTTTACTTTTAATTTTTTCTGCTGATTCTAAAGAAATTTTAGAAATGTATCAAAAAGGCTAATTTCTTGTAAAGTTTTTATTTGACATTCTCTGAAATAATGTAGTATGCCCTCATATTTTTCCTTATTTCCTTGCAGTAACTAAATAGAAAAAAAATGGTTAAAAGTCAATCCTTTTTGTAAAAATCCGGAAACTAAAAATAAACTATTTCGAGTTTAGAGGCTAGGAAATAAGGAAAAATATGAAAGAGCATCTCTTTTCATTTTTGAGCATTTTTCTAATTAAAAGAATTTTTCTCAAATTTTTCAAAATTTGTTTTAAAATTTTGTTGACATAATTTTTTTTGAATAAAATTTAAATTATTTTTAAATTAAAAATTTTTTCTTAAAAGGTTTTTTCCCTTATAAATTTATCATTTTTTCGATCAGAATTTGGGGAAAATGGGGGTCAGTTTTGCGGATATTTTATGCGACTCAATCATATTGGTCTCATAATGGTTAGAGTATTTATACTTTTCCCTTCTCTCTTCAATTTATTCGCTAACCATTATGAGTTCGTATATATAAACATGTCAGCAAAGACTTCCAAAAACTACCAAAAATTTTTTTTGAAAATTAACAAACAAAAATCAGAATTTCTCTACCCCTCTCCATTTCTAACCCCTTTTCTTTATTTTAATTTTTTAGCTATTAAATAGTAATGTTAAATATTTCTTCTTTTGAACGTGCCATTATTGTCAAATATTTTCCAACAACAAATAAACAAGAATTACAACCAACAAAACAAGAAATTTATTCTTTTGGAGAATTAATTAAATCTTGCAATTATTTATTGTTTTATGTTTTTAGTAATTTAAATCAACAAAATCCTTTGTTTTTACAAGCATTGGAAAGACTTGTTTTTAGTAGAAATAAAGAAGGTAAAAAGAAAATTTCTAAAAGGTTTGTGGAAATTTTTGGATATTAAATGAGGAGATATTTGTATGGACTACTAAAATTGGGAGGGGAATTTTGGGACATTTTTTTGATACTTTCCATCGTTTTTTAAATTTTTACTACAGAGTAAAGCCACACACAAAATTATGAATTTCTTAAGGTTTTCGGTTCCTTCCCATTTTTAACATTTTAACGGTTCCATTTCCAGCTTAAAAAAATTTTGAATTTAATTAAAAATAGTTTAAAAATAACTTGAATAGATCGTCAGAAAATTAGAATTGTTTGGAACCACTGAGGAACCCTTAACTTTTTTTTGAAACGGGAGACACTACCCATAGGTGTAGTAACGCCTACATAAATAAATTTCAGAACCCCCCCCCCGTTCAGTCTACAAATATCAACAAAAAAATAATTATTTTCTAAAATTTCTTTTTTTTAAAGTTCTCCAGCCAAATTAAAAAAACTTTTTGGTCTCGGCAAAAAATATAGCACAGAAAATGTTTCTTTAAATTTTACAGAAATTAAAATAATTGGAATTGATGTTGAATTTAATTTAGTAAATGAAGGGGGAAATTTTCTTCAATTTAATAATGATCTTGAATTATTTTATTTTCCATCACAAAATTATTTATATAAGGTTTGGATATTTTTAGACGATTTAGGGACGGATTAGGGATTTAACCTGAATTTTTCTAACTTTAAGTTTCTTTTCCGAATTTTGGAATTTTTTATTTACTTTTAGCGAATTTTCTTTCTGCTTTCTTCTGCTCTATTTTACATCAATTTTAGAGAGCGGGCTTTCTAAAATTCTTGACCTTGATTTCGGTTGGGAACCTTTTCCAGATTCTTGACCTTAAGTCGAGTAAAATAATTGAAATTATTTTTATTTGTTTAGGCACCTTAGATGTCAATTTTCAAAAATTAAACATTAAACATTTTTCTTACAAAGAATTTTTTCAAAAATTTTTCTAAAAATTTTTTTCCCTTCAAAACAGTCTCGTCTCTTGAGATCACTCAATTTTGTCACAGCTCCTTCACTTTTTGTCCTCGACTGTTCAGAACTCAAAATAATTTCACAAGCCTACAATTCTTTAATTGATGATCAAAATTGTGAAAATTTTCCTTGGCAATTTGTTTCTCCAAAAGAATTTTTGAAAGGAATGAAGTTGTTAAAGAATTGTGGTGATGGTGGTTTGACTGAAAATGTTGAATTTGATAAAATTGGGAATGGAGTTAAAGGAATATTTTTTGGTGCTAAATGGGTATTTTTTATATTTTTTAATTTTTTTAGTTAAGGGTTGGAGATTATAGAAATTTCAGAATTTTTTTAAATTTTTTTATGCCGGGGTTTCTAATTGATTTTTGATCTGAGTAAGGTTTAGTTTACAAAAAAGGACTTTTGTCAAAAATTTACTTTTAATTTTTTAGTGTCCTCCCAGTAAACAAATGTCTAAACAATTAACTGAAATATATCCAAAAATCAAAGCTTCACATCCTTCTTTTGAAATTATTTTTTGTTCTTATGATCGTTCGGAAGATTCTTTTAAAGAACATTTTGGAGGAATGCCTTGGCTTTCTTTACCTTATAAATCTGAAAAAGCTTTGGCTAATGCTTTTGATGTTCAAGGTTTTTTTTGAATTTTGAAATTTTTTTTGAATGAGTTACGAAAGAATAACATAAAAATTCCGGAAAATTTTCAAAGCGGCGAGTGAGGGAGGGGAGGGGGGGGGGGAATCGAAGAGAATTCTATCGCGTCATTTTTCAACAAAAAAAATTTTTTAATTTAAAGGAATTCCAACATTTTTGCTTTTGGATGAAAATTTTTCACTAATTTCACGTAATGGAAGAAATATTTTACTTTCTGATCCTTTAGGATATCCTTGGGAAAGAAAATCTTTGTATGAATTAACTGAACATACAGTCCATCGATTGTCAGAAATGGCTTCTTTGATTTTATTTACTGGTAAATTTATATAAAAATTTTTGGTGGGGACAGTTTAAATGTAAGAAAAACAAAGGTAAGATACGTTTTAAATTTGGCTGGTCATTCGAGGGAGTTACCTAACTATGTATGTATATCCTCTAATTAAATCCTTTCCTTATAAGATACAATTTTTCAGCTTTTAAAGGGATAATTAAGAATGAGTTGAGGCTTATATGGAATAGAAATCAGGAGACCCGATTCCTAAAAAATTCCCAGCGTTTTTTTCGGTCGGAAATTTTTTATTTCTATGTCGCTAGATTCCTGATATAAGAATTAAAAACGAATTTTTATTCTTTTTTTATCTTGTTTTTAAATCTAGAAATAAATATTTTTGTATATTTAGATGGTTCACCGGAAGACACTGAATTTTCTATTCAATTGTTAACTACCTGTATTGATAATTTATTACAAGAAGAACAAAAAGACGAGCAAAATGAATCTAAAAATACTTTAAAAGGAGATTTAATGTAGAAAATTTTTTTTTTTGATTTTTAAAAAATTATTTTTTTAAGTTCGCTCAATTCAGAAAATGCAAATTCTTTGGGAAATGATCCTTTTCAATTTTTTTATACAGGCGAGGACCCTATTTGTGATGATGTGAGAAAAAATTTTTTTTGTTAATATTTTAAAGGTTTACAATTTTATCGAGGTTCGACATCTTAAACATTTTAGAAAAAGGCCGGGACTTATGGGGAAACTGCACATTAGTTCTGAGATATCTTAAGTGCTAGTCTTGAATTATTGTTTACATAGAGGGTGGGGAGGGGGGGGGGTACCAAAACTGAGCTTTTATTTTACATTTTTACTCCAATTTTTGTGTTAGCAAAGTATGCCGCCTCCAAAATTTGTTCTAAAATTTAAAAAAAAATTAAATTTTTTTCTCTAAAAAAGGTTTTGGAAAATCTTGGACAAGAAAATGCAGATTTACCTCTTTTATTAATTTGTGATGTGCTTGCTGGACATTTAGCTATTTGTGACAAACCTGATGTTAGTGAGGATGTTCTTCGTGAATTTGTAGAGGAATATAAAAATGGAAAATGTAAACAAGTTATTCCAATTCCGAGTAACAAAAAAGTACAGGTACAAGAATTGGGGGGAGGGGGGGGGAAGCCTTTTAAGTGATACTCGAAATTTAAGATAAATATAATTATAAGAGATGATTTTTTCTATCACAAGGGAATATTTCATAGTGTGAGGGTTGATTAGTTATTTTGATTTACCTCCAAATTTTAAACACTACATTATAATAACAGAAAAATATAAACTTATACAACATCTAACTTTCATTATACTTCCACTTTAATGTCAAAATTTTGCCATTAAAGTGGAAGTTCCGCCTCAGTCGTTTAAGCGGTATTGTTCAAGTCCAACCACTCAATTAACAATTAATCTCTTAATTTTAAAGAGCCGTACTGTTGGTGGAATCCCTGCAGAAGCGCTTGAACAATTATTAAATAATTCAGCAACAACAATTACTTAAAATCTGGAGAAATCTCTCAAAGAATTTTTTAAGACTTTTTCAGCCTTTTTTTAATTTTTTATGTGCATTATATTTATATATTTGAAGCTTTTGTAATTTTTTATTTATTTTTTTAAATTATCATAAATAAATATTTTTTAAATAAAGTCAGTCCGCATAGAAAAAATATTTTTGCGCAGCTGCAGTCCGCAATTTTTTAAATAATCCGCAACAGAAATGTGACAGTTTCGTCTTTCACCTCACAATCAACTTCGTCTTTTATGTGTTTCGACTTTCTTCTTTTGCTTTTTAAAAATCTTTTTAAAATCCATCATTTAATTGAGGTTAAAGAGTCTAGATTTTACGAAAAAAAATTTTTTTGTTTGCTTCGCGTGAATTTATTAAAAGAGAAAAAGATTTATTCCCTCATTCATTTAAATATCCATCCATCCAATCAATCATTCTTTCTCTCCTCTGAAATGACCGTCAAATTTTAGTCGATTGACCGCTGGTCAAATGAAAAGTAAAAAAAGAAGAAGACTTCACAATTGTTTAAAATAAAATATATGTAGTATTTATCCTTTCCGTCAAAAAGTTTTTATTAATTTTTTAAGAAATTTAAAGTTTTTTTCTCTTCGAAAGAAGCCTCCTAGTAATCTTATTATTGAAAAATTGTCCTTTCTGGGCATTATCGATACTTCGACAACTCGAAAAATTCAACAAAAAGGAGAAAAATTCACTAAAGGATGTTGTTTTTTAGGGGTATTCTAAATATTAATTGAAAATTTTATAAGAAAAAATTTTCTAAAAAATTTTAGGGAAAATTTGATTTACAAAAAAATAAAAGTGGAACTCCTAAAAATACTTTTCTTTCCTTTTTTTTATCAATTTTTGAACAGTTTATTTAATTAAATGAGAGAGGAGACGCGCAAGTATTTTTTCTTCTAGTACATTTTTGGAGTGATTACTAAATAAATTTATTTATAAATTTTTTTCCGCCGAATTACTTGTAGAACTTATTTAGGGGTAACAAATAAATAAATAAATTGATTTTTTAAATTTAATTTATAATTTACTGAAAAATTAAAATTTTTTTTTATTTTAACAGAAAAGTCCGCAACATTTTATCCGCAAATTAGAAAAAAATATATTCGATTCAAGATTATTCTCTTATTTCACCTTTCGCCTTTTAAAATCACTTTCGTCACACCCTTGGTACATACTATCCCGGACTTCACTATTAGATAACCTTTAAATCTAAAAATCGTCCCTTATTATGAGGTGTCTCTTAAATAGAAGGTGTCGCTTATAAAGGGAGTATTTAAAAATGAGATTTATTCTATTTAGAAGTCTAAAAATTTATTTATAATAAAATAAATATATTATAACTTGCAGATAAAAAGTTGCAGACTTTTATCAGAGTAATTAAAAGATACCTATATCCAAAATTCACCCAATTTTTTCGTTTTTGCCGCGATAATTTTTTGTAAAAATAAACAGGGTTAAAAATAATTTTTTTCTTTCACCTTTTTTATAAAAAATATTTTTTAACATAATTAAGGGCTAAAAGTCGATTAATAACAACAATAATATAAAAAAGCCCCCCAAAAACCGGCTTGGGTTTACAACAACAACACAAACACAAGATTAGTTGTAAAATTAATCAGAAATATTTTTTATATTTTGCCGCTAAAATTATTTAAAAAATTATTTAAATTTTATTTAAAAAAATTTCTTCTTCTCGGAAAGGCAAGGAATTTAATGGGAAAATTACCTTTATGGAGGTAGAGTGTACATATTTAATTTGAAAAAAATTATTTTTAAGAATAAATTTAAAATTAAACAATTATGGGATATTGAAAAAGAAAGGAAGAGAGAGAGAGAGGAGAGGGTTTTTCTAGAGGGATTTTCCTGTTAGATAAAATAATCCTCATATCCAGAGCTTTCGATTGATATAAAAATTATTTAAATTGGTTTATTATATACTTGTTGAAACAGCTGACACAAAATTCTTTAAAAATAACCAAATATAAGGATGGGCCAGTTTAGCCAAAAAGACTCACTTTAACTTACTTTAAGTTTTACTGGCCGATCCTTCTTCCCCCTCTTATTTTTTAATCGTAAAATAAAGAATTAAATCTATATATTTATATATACATTAAACTTTAATTAGAAGAGTTAGGACACGTCGGGTCCTCCCGAAAGGGATGGACCCGACTCAATGTCCGCGGCTCGAGCCGTCCTTTTACATGGAGGTCCTAGAAATAAAATAAAATTCCCCAAAAACATCTTCAAAAATATAATTTAATAAAATTTTTAATATTTCAATTATATTTTATGTTTAAAATTTTAATTATTTCCCCTCACATTATTTTATAATAATTACACTTATTAAATTTATATTACTTTTGAGAAAAATATTTTTGTTTTCTTTAACTCTAATAAAATCCTTATTATTAGCCCACGCAAAAAATTTTTTCAATCAAACAACTGTCTTACTTTGTGTTATATAATTCACGAAATATTTATTTCTTAAAAGACTTTTATCAACCCATGTTTACAGAAAACTCATTTTTCTATAAAATTAATCACTCGTGTTCGAATTCTTGATTTTATAATTAATTTTTATTGAATTAACAAGTTTAACAATTTTACGAAAAAGATTTTAAACAGCCGAAATAAAAATCGGTTTATTTTCTAATTTCTTTTTAGTAATAGGCTTATTGTTTGTGTGGCTTGCTTGTTGTTTGTGTGGGTGTGTGGTGCGATGTGTAAAAACCAAACAAATAATAACACCCAAACTAATTAAAATCAGTCCCTGTGTGAAGTGAATAATAATGAAGTGCTGTGAACCAGTCAGTTGAGAGGAGGGGGTTCCGGGGCAAGTGGGAGCTTTAGCTTCAGTTACCAACTGAGGCTTTGTTTTAGAACATAATATTGGCTCCGTCCACTCCGTCGGTCCCCAGCAGCCATATTCACATTCAAAATCCACTGGGCATTCCACCGCCTCAAATTCGAGGGTAGCTAAAATTAATGGGATAAATACACAAAATACAATAATCCAATAATACCAAAACAAATACAAAAACACAAAAAATACAAAACCACAAAAAATACAAAATACACACTAACAAACATTCAAAGCACAATTCCCAAAAAGAATAATAAATTAAAGGGCCAAAGCATAAATCCAAAAATAGCCTTTTCTATAAAACTAAAATAAAATAAAATAAAAGGGGCCCCAAAAATAACCTAAGTAAAGGTAATTAATTAGTGGGCTAAATTGAGCCTAAATATTTGTGAGGAGGACATGTTCACGTAAAAAAAAAATTCTCGAAAGATCTATTCTTCTGTTAGCGGCCGATAACAATTGGATAGGGTCGAGAATACAACGCAAATTACTAAAATAGAAAAGGATGGTGCTGCCCTGATTTATTATAGGAGAATTTACTCAAAAAAGGATTAAAAAGTGATCTTGTGTTTTACGGATGATAAAAATTAATCTAAAAAAATTGTCATCATTTACCAAATTAAAAATTACTAAAATAGAAAACAGCAATATTTACTATATTCACTCCAAATTTAAAATATTAATTACACAAAACTTAAAATTCTAATTGGAAGCGACAACAAAATATTCTTCAACGACAAATATTTACGCTACAGACAACAACAATAATTGAATTTAACAATTTTATTCTGACAATTAACTTTTATTCTTTAACTTAATTCTATTTACTCGGATAATCATTCTTGTTTTATTATATTCTTAACCTTTCCCATATTATTCAATTCTGGCATCGGAAGACGAATTGTTCACGGCTGACGAAGAGGAACCAACCCCAATCAGAAGAAAAACACGACAACAAACAATGGAAGGTATTGAAAGAAAAATTACAAATTTAGAAAAAGAAATTGTAAATCTTGGAATTAATTCTAATGGATTACCTTTACCTGAATATTATTCGGGGATGGAGGACTTTGATAATTATCTACGGCGTTTTAATAAATTGGCTACTGCTCACCAATGGACAGCGCCTCGCTGTTGTCAAATTTTACCATTGTATTTAACTGAGGAGGCACGCGCAATATATGACTCTTTGGACGCAGAAGCAAAAAGTACTTGGAAAAATGTTACTGATGCGTTGGCATCAAAATTAAAAAAATTAAATTCCAAAGAATCGGCTCGGAGGATTTTATCGACCAGGAAACAAGATGCTCATGAATCTATTCTTGAATTTGCCCAAAAAATTAGAGGATTAATTTCTAAAGCTTTCCCTGAAAATTCCTTTACAGAAATTGTTGGAGAAACCCCGGAAGCTCGACTTGTACGAATAAAAAATTGGCTAGACGATATAGCTAAGGATTATTTTAAAAATGGATTAAGAATGGAAATAAAAGAGAAATTGGCATTTCAACCTACTAATTCAATGGAAGAGGCTATTACTAGCGCAAAAGAAATTGAGGAGATTCAAAATGCGCTTAAGGAAGATAAGTGTCGTTTTTATCAAAATAATTTAACAGAGAAAGCCTTAACCGAAGTAAATGCGGTCCGTGCCGAAGTAAATGCGATTAAGGAGCGAGTCGATAGAGAAAGAGGTGCCCCTCCTCAGAATTGGAGAGGAGGACAAAGAAATGAGTGGCGTGGACGAGGAAATTTCCCCATTAACGCAAATTGGAACGCTGGAGGGAATAGAGGAAACCAGAATTTTTACAGACAAAATAGGAATGGCTATCAAAATAATTGGCGTGGAAATTACAATAGAGGAGGTTTTCAAGGAAGGTGGGGTCAGAGAAGAGGAGCCGGAGCCTTTAATTCGAATCGAATCCCAATAAGTTCGCAACGAAACTTTGAATCGGGAGCTGGGCCTTCGAATTCAGCTAGGATAAGCAGTATGACCATGCCATTCATTACTGTAATGATGATTTTGCTGGCATTCTGTCCAGGAAGTCTGTCTCAATATCAAATATGCCCAAAGGAAAAGATAGGAATTGCTATGGATTTTCCCATAACTCAGGAC